CAGGTCAAGGAGAATTAGGATAGAGTAGTGACCACAAGATTTTGCAGCGAGTAGATCATTGGATACTTTGGTCAGTGCTGTTTCCACAGAGTGCTTAGCGCGGAAACCGGACTGAAGCGAGTCTAGCTCCCTGGGTCCAGTGTGGGGCAGCTCCCCAGTTCTCCCGCCCGCTGTTTAGTTTGCCAGTGTTGGAATGACGTCATATTCTGGCTCCCGGCATCACAGGGGGCACGCGAGGGAGGAGTGAGAGGCTGCCTACCTCGCCACCTGGCTTTTCCATCCCCCTCTCCTCCGGACGGTCACTGGCATTTGTTGGCAGAGCAGGCACCTGCCATCAAGGTAAGCAGGTGCCTGCTCTGCCTTACCTAGCACAGCTTCGGGGGTGCCCTGAGGTGGCCAGATGGCCACCTCCTGGCCCCCCTGTGACAGGGCTCCTCTCGGCGCCCCCACCTTTGTGCGCCTTGAGCATTGGCCCGGCGCTGGCGGCAGAACAAAAGCCTCTCGCCCGGCACTGCGGCCCCAGACAGAGGCAGGCAGCCCACCAGGAAACATCCCAGTGGGCACCCCCAGCAGGCTGGTGCCCTAGATGAATGCCTAATTCACCGGTTGCGCCAGCCCTGTGTAAGCTCACCTGCCACGTCAAGGGAAAACCTCCTATGTTTTGTTAGTCATACACTAGCAATGCACCTTGCGGTCTTCAGCTATAAAGTAAAATCTCTAATGAGACATGGAGGGGTATTTTTCTACTTATTAAACTTTACTAGGGAACACATGGGGTGGATGAAAAATATAAACATACAATATAAAGCCATGGCCATAAAACAACAAAAAATAAACTCCAGTTATTTAAATGTGCATAGGGATTTGGGATAATATGCAAGTAACTTTTTTCTTTGTTTATTTTTATTGTATGTATTGGTGCTGATGTGTACCATAGTCATTGCTGATGCCCAGGAGTCCACGACTTTAGGAGCAGGGCTTAATATTTTATGATAATATATATATATTATTTTTTATACTCCATCATGTTGGTGCATTTTAATATTTAAATTGTACTCAAAGTTTGTACATCTCGGAAGGATTACATGAAACATAAAAGGTGAAGAAGAGGGAAAGAGAGCATTACAGTACTCGTCTTTCCTGGTAGCAATTGTATGAAACTGAGTCACATGCAACGTACATAAATGTACAACAGGTCCGCATTGTTACAAAGCTCAACATTGTTAGTATGTTAGTAGACAATACTGGAAGTATAGGATCAGTATCAATGGAAGTAATAATAAAGTTGTATATATAAAAATTTGATCTACCGGACCATATTATTCCATAATTTAATTTAATAAATAAATGAAAACAATGCTTTAACATAAGTGTTTTGGATAAAGGATATAAATCATTAGAAATCTCTAAATTAGAGAAAATCTATCTCCTTCATCCAAACAGTAAAGCAACTATTTCCTTATGTTACTCCCAAATTTCTACTAGACCCAACACTAAATGAAATTATATGTTATCATGGGAGTCAGAACTAGGCACTCAAAATGATTTGGATGATTGGCTCAGTTTTCCCCTAAATTATAAGGTATAACACAATGCATAAATAATTTTGAAAACCATTTTAAACTCATATCTAGATGGTATTTAGTTCCGGCAAAACTACATACCATAAACCCAAATATACGTGATAAATGTTGGAGAAAATGTGGAAATATTGGAATAATGTCCCATATATTCTGTCGCAAATAAAAAGCATTTTGGAGAAATCTACCTGCATTAATTCAAAACATAAACCCATTTTTTTTAAACTTATTTTACAACATTATTAGGCTTGTTTAAAAAGTTTCCTCTTCCATAAAAAAATTGACAAAATATTAATAGGACATAATTTAATTGCTGCCACTTGTTCTCTACCCCGATATTGGAAATGAAACCTAATTACCGTCAATTAAAGAAATTTTGAGAAATAGAGAATAAAACATACAACAATCCCCCTATTAGATACGTTATTATACTACTGGAACGCATGGGAAGAAAATGTAAAGAAAATGTATTGTTTGTAAATATTTATGTATCATTTATTTGTTATGTTTACATAATGCTATTATCAATAGATATTATTTAACGTAATGTTTTATTCTTTATTGTGATGTACAGATCTATATCTAATATATATATATTATATAAATGGATACCCCTTTTCAACCCATTAATATTTATTGTATCTGTTACTATTGTTCATTGTTTATTACTATATATGAAAAAAACACTCTAATAAAACATAATTGACAGAAATAAAATATAGTTTAAATTGCTGTAAAATAAAAGACACTGAACACAATTATAAACGCAACACTTTTGTTTTTGCCCCCATTTTTCATGAGCTGAACTCAAAGATATCAGACTTTTTCTATATACACAAAAGGCCTATTTATCTTAAATATTGTTCACAAATCAGTTGTTCTTCAGACCCCTTCCATATAACAAGGATATCGTCTATATAACGACGCCAGTTTGCCCCTAGTTACGCCAATATTTTTATGGATTATTGGGAATCTTTGTTAGAGTTCTCCTTTGCCGAGATAATCCATCCACAGGTGTGGCATATCAAGATGCTGATTAGAGAGCATGATTATTGCACAGGTGTGCCTTAGACACAATAAAAGACCAATCTATAATGTGCAGTTTTATCACACAGCACAATGCCACAGATGTTGCAAGTTTTGAGGGAGCGTGCAATTGGCATGCTGACTGCAGGAATGTCCACCAGAGCTGTTGCCCGTGAATTGAATGTTCATTTCTCTACCATAAGCTGTCTCTAAAGGCATTTTAGAGAATTTGGCAGTACATCCAACCGGCTTCACAACCGCAGACCACGTGTAAACACACCGGCCCAGGACCTCCACATCCAGCATCTTCACCTCCAAGATTGTCTGAGACCAGCCACTTGGACAGCTGCTGCAACAATTGGTTTGCATAACCAAATAATTTCTGCACAAACTGTGTCAAGGAAGCTCATCTGCATCCTTGTCATCCTCATTGGGGTCTCGACCTGACTGCAGTTTGCCGTCGTAACCGACTTGAGTGGGCAATTGCTCACATTCGATGGCGTCGATGGAGTGGTGTTCTCTTCACAGATGAATCCCGGTTTTCACTGTACAGGGCAGATGGCAGACAACGTGTATGGCGTTGTGTGAGTGACCGGTTTGCTGATGTTAAGGTTGTGGATCGAGTGGCCCATGGCGGCGGTGCATTATTGGCTCATTGTTGTGCCATTCATCCACGTTCATCACCATATGTTGCAGCATGATAATGCACGGCCCCATGTTGCAAGGATCTTTAAATAATTCCTGGAAGCTGAAAACATCCCACACTATGCAGTACTGAATCATGAACCAAATGAAAATGTAAAGGCAGAATATCTTTTCTTTGATTTGTGATCCTGAATTGTTTTACTTTTAGTCGACTAAATCTTCAGTAGATTTTTTTTGTTCGACACAGCTAAAATCTAATGGGTTTAGTTAAAGCCTCTATCTGTCTCTTTTGCCCCTTGCCCAGCCTCTGAGTCTCTTTGCCCTCCTCCCAGACCCTCTGTGTGTCTCTTCCTCTCCATAGCCTCATTTGGGGGTGTCTTCCCCCAGCACCATGTCTCTTTCTCCCCCAGCCACTCTCATTTTGTGTCCCCCCTCAGTTAAAAAACCCCTTGTTACTTCTCTGATTCCAGCGCCGATGTCCCTCGACCAAAATTCGCTTAACAGCCTGGAAATCCCTCTAGTGGCTGTCTGGTAAACAGCCACTAGAGGTGGAGTTAACCCTGAAAGGTTATTATTGCAGTTTCTTAAAAGCTGCAATAATTAGCTTTGCAGGGTTAAGCGACCTGGGACACTGTACCTAAACCACTTCAACGAGCTGAAGTGGTCTGAGTGACTACAGTGTCCCTGCTGAGCTGGGCCCCCCTTGCACTTAAGGCCCTTGACTCTGGAGGGAACCCATCACCAGGCAACAAGTTAGGCTGCACCGGCTGTAATTCCGCCACTGGATGCATTCAAAAGGATTAGGGGATCAGACTGTTTTGAGTTATGTGTGTGATGATATGATATAATCTTGTCATTCTTTTTATTATTTCATCAGGTACCGTAACAATGTTTGGGTTATTGGTCATTCCTTTGTCAAGCGAACCATACAAAGAGTAGGAGCTGAACTTCCATCTATATATTGGAAAGGTGTAGGTTGTCTGAGAACTAATAAACAAATAATGTATTGCTATTGTATTGCATTGCCCTGGCCAGTTCCAGTTATTTTAATAGTTCACATAGAGGGTGATGTAGGCTTTGTTAAACCTGTTCATTTATTCCATTGTTTAATGAATGTTTTTATGTTTCTGCATGAGTTATTTCCTTCAATCATTTTCGTTTAGTTAGAGATGGTCCTGCGCATGCTATGCTTGGAATCACAAGAGTTGAAGGGAAACCACAGTGCTAGGAATATAAAGGTGTATACAAATGCAAAGAGCGTCTTTTGCCTCGTACAGTTCCCTATTGTGGTTGTAATCTTTGATCCCGCTAGTGCTTTAGATATCTTTGTGTCTATTTCTGGTTTCTGACTTGGCTTGTGTATTTGGACTATTCTGTCCTCTGGTGTCCTTGACTCAGCTTATATATTTTGACTATCCAGTTTTCTGGTATCCTTGACTCAGCTATTTTTTTACGTTCTCCCATTTTCTGGCTATTCCTGACTAGTCTATTTTTGTATCACGTTAAGCGTGGCCATTCTAAAGTCCGCAATGTGTTCTATTTAGTTGGAGGTTACATTCTGCATGTTGGGGTTTACTTTACCATGACAGGTGGTTACAAAAATAAAAAGTTGTAAAAGGTTAAAAGTTTATTATATGTTTATTGTTATGAAAATTATGGCTGTAAGCCTCTTACGCTTTGAATAAATTTCACAGCCAGTCAATTGAAAATAAAATAAACTGTGTCTGTGTCAAAATATTGTATACCTTACATAGCAGCACAATGCTCAATAACTAATAAAGCAATGTCTCCCTCTACTGTCAGCGTCAAGTATTGCAATTTACAGACAACGCCATACACTGAAATATTTTTATTGATTGTTCAAACTCCAAAGAAATTACACATGAAAATAAAACATCAACAACTACAAAAAAAAAGGAAACAGGATCTACAATTCAAAAAGCAAATAGCATTTTTTATTTAAATGCATTTCAGCAGAGGTGATAAATCAAACCCTTTTCTGTCAAGAAGAAAAATACACACATATTACAACAACCATTCTTAAAATAAGAATTCTCGAAACCATTTTCTGCAAGTTTTATTTTCCAGTTTTTTATTTCCAGTTTGCAAGTACCACAAATAGCAACTGTTAAAGGACCAGCCATTACCTGTGCAGTTGACTACCAAGTCTTAAAAGAATACCATAGCTTTAGGGATACAAACCTATATCTCTACCACTATATTGCCCATGTCCCCAGTAATATTTAACCACCCCATTTTCAATAAGAAATATTTTAAGAAAGCTTTTTACTTACCCTTTTCCAACGCCAAGACTCCCTCAGTGCTGCTAACCTCTTTGCCTCCCACAACGTCATCAAGGTGACGTCATTTTCTCTATCGATGGTCCTATGCAATTCTCTATGAGGGACCTGGTGCGCATGTGCAGTGCACACATCCAAAAGCATTGAATTCAGTATTTTGCTGTGGACTGTAAAGTCATGTGACTGAGTTTTACTCAGTTGTTACAGAAGAAGCACCTCTAATGACTGTCTCTTCCTTTCATCCCTCCCTACCCCCATGCCAGCTCAGAGCACATGCCTGCGCACTGAGCCGGTTAAATGGACCAATTGAAGGCTTTTCTATGAGAAGCCTTTGATTGGACCTTGGTGCAGCTCTTGTGATGTCAGATGGAGTGTTTCGAGCAGTGCTGAGAGCTTCACCTGCGCTTGGCAAAGCTAAGTAAAGCCTTAATTTACAAAAAAAAAACTTTCAATGCGTTCTTTAGGGGGGAATCTGATGAATAAAGTCAATAGGGCCGTATTTGGAGATTAAAAAGAAAGGGTTGGAGAGATCCTTTAAGAAGCAGTGCACACTGTATATAAGCTGTAACAATATGTTCTATGAAAGAGTCGTGTACATTCATCCTCGTTCACATTATATGATAGTCACCTTCTCATTAAGGGATATACAGAAATAGAATCACAGCAATTTCATAGTCTAGGTACAAAGTCCAATAATAATGCATGTATCTGTGACTGATTTTCAAATAAAAACTGAAAAATATTACGAAAGTCATTTATATAACTTGTCAAAATGATATCAAGAGTAATAATGTAACCTACAACTGGCTTGCGCAGTGTGAGTCAAATGCTTAAAGTTAATGCATTCCACACACTGACTTATGGTATTTTAAATTTCACATCGGTCCGAAGCTGTTGAAAAGCAGCCGTGTCATTTGTCAAGATTTAGAAAACAATTATGCGCAGTTTCTTAAAGGTTAAATAATGACATTTTGAGCACTGTAATCTTGATGTTTGTAGCTCTAGCTATCTTTTCACTGGGGAAATATCTGAAACTGATTAGAATTTCCCAAGCTACCAATTCTAGATATAACGTTTAAAATCCTATTTGTGCAGGCCAGTCAATACATCTACTGGATGATCAGTTTATAATTATCAGTATTTAATCACATTAAAATATGAAATGACTTTACTTTATTTTTACATTCTGGAGTGTTGCATTCCGATTGTTTTATATAAATACCTATTATATTGTGTTGAGATTTCACTGAAATTCCAATGTAACTAAAAGTCATGCATAGGACAAATTAGAGATTACTTTATTTTATACATGCCTCTGAAAATGGTAGAATTTGTCAAAAAGCCAATATTGATTGAGTTCCACCAACCTAACTTTGACATTTCAGTAGCTAATAAAGGCAATATGGTGCCGAGGACAAAAAGCTTCAGGCGATGATACCTCACTTACCATCTCTCTCAGGCACCACCATCTAGGAGATGTCACCTGAGGGTAGGTGTTTGCAAAAAAATTTAGACACCTATAGAGCGACAGGTTCACTATAAATGTAAGATGAACTATAATACTATTGATGATACCACAATTTTTGGGAGGTATAAAGAGCTGAAGTTAGTTTTGTAAAAGTTTTAAGACTTGCAGAGGTTGGTGCATCGGAATAATTTATTGCTACTTCAAGTGGAACCTTTGCACCATTTAATTAAGACAGACATACATAGATTTCCATCTATCAAATACACGTAAAAGAAAATATTAACTGCAACATATTGCAGACATTTGTCAACAATTACTGTGTGCAACATATGCACAAATCCCAACACGTAAACAAAGAGATTACAGATTGCTATGTGAAGCAAGATGAACATCATTCATGGATGAAGGGGCTCTTATTGACATAGTGCACATGGACATGTGGAGGCAAATAAAGTATGGTGAATGTGTAGGGTACCAGTCAAGTGGAACAGTGATTTAGTAGACAGTAGGTTTGTATATAGTCAACTTCACATGTTCTTTAATTTTGTAAATGTACGTCACTGTCTACTTACACGCACATTGTATTATGATTGTGATGTATTGATCATTGTATGATGCAGTAAAGTACTGTCGTGTTGAATGTGGACAAAATCCTTCTCTTGTTAAAGGGACACTATAGGCAACCAGACTACTTCAGTTCATTGAAATGGTCTGGGTGCAGTATTCCAGGACCCTTAAACCTGGAAAAGTAATTATTGCAGTTTTTTTTTTTATAAACAGCAATAATTATCTTTATGGGTTAGTGGCTGTCTACCTGACAGCCACTAACCCATAAAGATAATTATTGCTGTTTATATACCCGACAGCCACTAGAGGGACTTCTGCATTTTCGCCTACCTTTTGGTCGCCTAACTGACACCGGTCATCCTCACGCTATGCATGTTATGCATTGAATAATGCTTTCCTGTGGCAAGGGAGAAGCGGAGGCAGCCTCAAGCCAGCACTCAGGGACATCGGCATTAGACTCAGTTAAGTGACAGAAGGAGCTTTTAACCCTTTCTGCACCGCGGCAGGGGAGGTGGCACTATATTTTCTACTTAAAGGAGTAGAATTGGACATTCTTCTCTATATTCAGGGAAATTTAGATATCAAACCAAAATGTACTAACCTCTGAATGTCCTTAGTTTGCAGCAAATACCTAAAGTCAGCAGTGATACCTTCAAATTCTACAAACTGTCTGAGACCTCTCAAATAATGGCCCTTCCACTCATTTAATGAGAGCACTGCAGTATCTCATAAACACGGGGTGAAATGTGTGTAAATAACCTCAACAGATTGTACAACAGCTGATGATCAGATTAATGGGCTTCTCATTCATGAAATGAGGAACACAATAGAAGCAGCAATTCCTAAAATAAACTCTGAGTGGCAATACAAAAATACTTGCACACTTACTAACGTTATATAAACCATTCGTCCATAAATGAGAAGCAGCTAATGTGTATGGCACACTATCACAAAGAAAATCTATTCACTTTTTTTGCTACACTAAGAAAATGAGGATAATTTACAGATGGGGACTTAGGTGTTTGTGGAGTGTCCCTTTAATTTAACCATCACTATAAAAGACCCTTTGGTTGTGCTTTATATTTTATGCAAGCTCTGTTTCATGTCACACCACAAAGCACAATAACATATTACCATTATTATGACTTGCATAGAAAGACAGATATAGAGATTGAAAGAGAATTAGGTTGTTTCCTTTTTCTTTGAACCCAGTGCTGATAACCAAACACAATGTAGCTTGAGGAGACTAGTGCCCTCTGCTGGATGCATGTAAAAAGTAATGCAAGCAGTAGTGTTCCTTCCACTAGCTACATTGAAATATTAAAATATTAATTTATTAATGTGACTAAGACATTACTGAACTGCATCCAATAAATCTCACGCTCTATTTCCTTATACGTCTAAAACAATAAAGGTCATGATAGGTTAGTGCAAATAGACTGTCTAGTTTAACAACAATACAGGCATTTAAATCTAACTTGGTCTTGCAAGATTCACATTACATATTATCATACACACGTACATATTTCACCTGCAAGTTGTGTTAGTAAATATATCATAAGAATTTACTTTGCAGCAATTCCACATTATAGAGGTTCTGATGATCAGTGTCCATAGGCCCACAACATCATGCATACTAGCCTTTGCCATAATGCATTGCGTGCGTGGTATATGAGCTATGGACAGCTGCTTGTCAACCATAATGATGCGTGTACACACTGCTGGCAACAGTGTTCCACTACGTTAGATGCAACATTACATAAATAAAATAAAATATACTTTGATAAAATAAAAAGCTTGACCTTCTGTGATCCTCATCTTTGCATGACAGCACCCTGATACTGACTGAATGAAAATTTAAAAGTCTTCATTCAAGAATCTGCTTGTTACAACATGAGTAATTGCATACTTTTTCATCCAATAAAAAAAAAAGGAAACTTAAATAATAAATTGCCTTTCTATGCTACACCTATATTCCAGTTACTACAGCAAAGTGGAGTGTTTCATCAAGAGATTTGATGGCTACCCAGTGTGGTGTAATGTGGTTAATCAATTCGCTCGGGTATCCAATCTCCCAATCAATGTGATTGCAAGAAAGAAAACATAAAGATACCATACATTTCGAGTAAAAAATAAATATCCCACCCCAGTATGCACATACAAACTTACTGTAAGGTGGTAAGCATGCAGTGATGCTCCTTGATACTAAGCGGGTGTTTTTATGCAATGTACCACACTTTGTGAATATATGCAAACTGAAAAATGGTTCAGTCTTTTTTCCCCACTATAGATTCTGTTTAAGCCACTTGATATAACCATCTCTGGTTCGAGCACCAACTGAAAAGTATGTTGGCCAACTGGCAAATATCATGCAGCCATGGAAGCCATCATTATAATGGTCATGAGTAACATCAATCCCTGCCTCTTGCAGACGTCTGGCGTATATGGTTCCATCATCCCTTAAAACGTCATGTTCACAAGTCAATATATAAGTCTTTGGAAGCAGCTGAAGCGTCTCCTGGAGTGCAATTAACGGAGAGGCCCGTCTATCAATTAATGCAGGTATTTCCTGAATTATATTGGGGTTCCCTGTGCTTTGTAACACTGGCTTGTAGTCTTTCTTGAAAGACAAAGGTAACAGTGAATGCCAGTTTAAAAGTTCCCGCAAAGACAGTGTTTCACTTACATCAAGAGACGTATGATTGTTAACCTCCAATGAATGGGCAAATGTGTGGCTCACGTTTAGGTAATCCAACCAAAACTTTATCATAACAAATCTGGAGACGATTGGCATGTCCCTGTTTTGCTGATAAGAAGGAGTATTGAAATCCAACATTTGAAGTACCGGGTAGATCAAAGCTTGCAGTTTCGGTTTGATAGTTACATTAGGATCTCCAGCAATCTGCACAGAAGAAAAATGACATGCGCATTAAATGGACTGACAAGATGATTAGTAAGCAGGTTAATTCAGAGCATGCTACAACTGGGCACTTTTTTTAAAGAGGTATGGAAAGTGGATATATTTTGACACTAAAATGATTTGTTCATGATGTTGACTCCAAGTCTAAAATGTAATAACAGCTATATATCAGACGTTTGTCATCTTACATATAACAATGACATATGGCTCTTTCAAAGCAATATTAAGTCTACTGGAAAGATGACCTTCTGTAAAAAAGCCATTCATTATCATGCGTTTGGATTGGTTAACAGCATAGCAATAATTATTGGGTGGAATTGGAACACATTTTTGCTGCTTCTGCAAAACAATGAGCATTAGAAAAAATATGTCAATGTCTGCACTGTCATAAATCTGTTTTAACACTTATTGACATAACTACAAAAATACTTTAAATGACTGTCACACAATGACACATCAACATAATAAATGATAAATCTTCTTAAGTTTCAGAAGTTAATATTTGATATCATAGGATAGGATGGCTGATATTCGGGAAACTTTGTGAAATCTACATTAAGGGAATTTGGTTCAGTTTTACCAGTGTTTTTATTTTAACAGTGGTATTTGGTTAGAAAAAGGTAACAAAACACTTCTAAAGGACACTAGTTAACCACACGGGTTTTCACAATTGTCATGCCAATGCCAAACAGGCTAGAACAGCTTAAAGGGATTCTATAATGCCAGAAAAACAAAGCCGCTTTCCTGGCACTATAGGGTTAATAGCCCCCCCCCCCCCACCTGCCCCCGTTCCTGTGTCACTGAAGGGGTTAAAACACATGAACTCAGCGCCAATGTCAATCGGCGCTGGGTCAGGCTCCGCCCAAAGCATTGGCAGGGGGGTCCTAATGTGCGTGCGCATTAGTCCTCCCCATAGGAAAGCATTATTCAATGCTTTCCTATAGGAGAAAATCTGATACTGGAGGTCCGTGAGGATGTCCAGCATCAGATAACGGACCAAAAGAAAGTTTGGATTCCGGTAGCCCTCTAGTGGCTGTCTGGTAGACAGCGACAGAGGGCAGACTTAGAGCTGCATTGTAAACATTGCAGTTCTCTGGAACTGTAATGTTTTACATTGCAGCACTAAGTGAAAAAGGGTCACAGCACCCAGACCACTTCAATTAGTTGAAGCGTTCTGGGTGCCTACAGTGTCCCTTTAAATTCAGTCTGAAGCTTTAGTCACTGTTATGATCTTACTTAACAAAGCATAGCTCCAACACTGCCATTCACAGACGTCTGCAGGTGTCAGACTATTGTAAATCCTTCAGGTTTGCCTTGTTGCTTCCCCCTGTCTCATGAGCCTGGTCTTGCTTGGAAAGATTTCCAGCATATTGGTGGCATACCTTCCTATACCTCATGCAAGAGAAACACTTGCTGTGGGAACATTGTGACATTGGGTGTAGGAAGTTCTCCTGTCTTCCTTTGTTAATCATTTCCAGCCTAGACCATTATGCTTCCAGCACAGAGAGGACTATGCTGAGGATTGATTGACAGGTGGGAGAGGGGACACTTTTTTTAAAGAGCATTTTAAATTAAATTCTATACATGTACACATCTTTATACTTTCAAACATTTCCGCTAGCACAATATATAGTTGTAAATTTAATTCTGTTTAAATTGTATGCATTGTGATATGTACACTTTAAATAAGATATACATTTTAAGTGATTACTTCTGTTTAGTTAATGTGATTTTTGACAAAACAGCTACTTGTAATCAAGTGACATCATTTTGGTCCCACTCCACTGGTGCATAACGTCTATAATATTTTCTTGTCCTCTTGTTAGAAAGCATACACAAGATTTTACTTGTAAACTATTTAAAGGGACTCTCCAGTGCCAGGAAAACAATCCGTTTTGCTGGCACTGCAGGTCCCCTCCCCCTCCCACCTCCCAATTCCTGGTTGCTGAAGGGGTGAAAACCCCTTCAGTCACTTACCTGAGACCCCCGCCGATGACCCTCGGCGGTGGTGTCGGGTCGCCGCAGCTCCTCCTCTTCATTACGTCGGCCGGTGGGCGAGACTGATCCCACCCGCCGGCCGTGGAGACCTAATGCTTTTCAATGCTTTCCTATGGGGAATTGAGCGACACTGGAGGTCCTCACACAGAGTGAGGACGTCCAGCGACACTCTAGCACAGGTTTTCTGTGCTATGGACCAGGAAGTGCCCTCTAGTGACTGTCTAGTAGACAGCCACTAGAGGTGGAGTTAGCCTTGCAAGGTAATTATTGCAGTTTATAAAAAACTGCAATAATTACACTTGCAGGGTTAAGGGTAGTGGGAGTTGGCACCCAGACCACTCCAATGGGCAGAAGTGGTCTGGGTGCCTGGAGTCCCTTTAACAGACACAAAGACGGCAAAATAATGCAATGTACAGAAGCACAAATAAATGTCCATAGCGAGCGTTTATCACCAACAATGGTTCTAAAGCAAAGACTACTTCCGTAGCCGTCATTCAAATTACACAGGAGCAGTTATTACCTGCTGGCAAACAGCAGCTGCCAAGTTTCCTCCTGCGCTGTCTCCAGAAATGGCAATTCTGTCTGGATCTATGGAATATTTTTCAAGAACCTCCGGACTCAAGAAGTACTTTGTAGCGGTGAATGCATCATCCAGTGGTGTAGGGAAATGAACATCTGGCACTAATCTGTATCTACAAAAAAAAAAAAAAAAATTGTATATTATATTAAATGGAGAATAATGGAATGACTTTAATGGAAGGACCTCAATTTTAATACAGACAATTTTGCTAAAATAAATGAGAACTGAACCTTTTATACAGAGCATAAAACACAGACTACTAAGACAAATAAACAGTAATTAAAATACATTTTCAAGTCATCTCATTTCATGAATAATAATGAATACAGGTTGAGCCATTATTGTTAATTTCTAACCTCAATATGGTATCTCTTCGAAACCCAAACTGCCTATTCCCAATATGTTGGCCTACATTAAAGGGACACTATAGTCACCAGAACAACTACAGCTTATTGAATTTGTTCTGGTGAGTAGAATCATTACCTTCAGGCTTTTTGCTGTAAACACTGTCTTTTCAGAGAAAATGCAGTGTTTACATTACAGCCTAGTAATAACTCCACTGGCCACTCCTCAAATGGCTGTTAGAGATCCTTCCTGGGTCATGGCTGCCTAAAATGCATCCAAACATTCAGTATCTCCTCCCTCTGCATGCAGACACTGAAGTTTACTCATAGAGATTCATTGATTCAATTCATCTCTATGAGGAGATGCTGATTGGCCAGGGCTGTGTTTGAATCATGCTGGCTTTGCCCCTTTGTCAGTCTCAGCCAATCGTATGGGGAAGCACTGTGTTTGGTTCTGGCTACCACATCTGATGGTGTCAGCAGACTGCTTGTTTTTTCGAGGCAAACAGCATGCAGAGTTACAGCTTCAGGGTTGAATACAGTAAGATTTTTACTATATTTATGGAGGCAAGAGGGGCCCAGGGTGGTTTGATGGTGGTTTTAACCCTATAGTGTCAGGAATACATGTTTGTGTCCCTGACCGTATAGTGATCCTTTAACATCTTTGCTAAGGAAAAAGTGAGAATCAGAGAATAGGACATATAATTTTCTGATTTAGAGATAAAAATGATTGTACCACAAACTACTGGTAGGAATAGTAAATATGAAGTGTTAAAAATTGCCTGTTACTGATAACAAAAAATAGGATACACGCAAAGAGTGAGTACAAGAAATTAAGAAACATCGAAAATGAGTAAGGGTTCAAAAAGGAGAATGCTGTCTGCCACAACTGATGATGTGCAGCATTTCTTTATCTAAATAAGAGTTTAAATTATATTTGATGTGAATATCATTCAAGTGCCAAGGTATCAAAGATAGATATTTGAGTTTTATACGTAGCATATAACACTGAAGCAGAAGATTTAGTTGCCCTTTCTCCTAAGAAGACCTAGTCTCCTGAACTCAAAGAGATCCTCAAAATAGAAACAGAATGTGACTGCAGATAAGAGCCATTCGGACCATCTAGTTTGCCCAATTTTCCTAATACTTGCATTAGTCTCTTATATCTAGGATAGCCTAAGGCCTATCCCACGCATGGTTAAAATCCCTCACTGTGTTAACATCTACCACTTCAGCTGGAAGGCTATTCCATGCATCCACTACCCTCTCAGTAAAGCAATACTTCCTGATATTAATTTTAAATCATCTTGTTGTGGTAGATTTCCTTCTTTTAAATATACTACTCTCCTTTACTGTGCTGTTTCCCTTTATATATTTAAATGTTTCTATCATATGCCCCTGTGTCATCTTTCCTCCAAGCTAAACATGTTAAGATCCTTTAACCTTTCCTGGTAAGTTTTACCCTGTAATTCATAAACCAGTTTAGAAGCCCTTCTCTGAACCCTCTCTAAAGTATCAATATCCTTCTGGAGATACAGTCCAATACTCCAAGTGAGGTCTCACCAGTGTTCTGTACAATAGCATGAGCACTACCCTCTTTCTACTGCTAATATCTCTCCCTATACAACCAAGCATTCTGCTAGCATTTCCTGCTGCTCTATTACATTGTCTGCCTACCTTTAAGTCATACAAAATAATTACCCATAAATCCCTCCCTCAGATGTTAAGGTAAGTAGTGTATCTCTGCCCATGGGTTTTTACGCCCAAAATGCATTAGCTTGCACTTATCCACATTAAATGTCAGTTGCCACAGCATTGACCATTTTTTTAGTTTACCTAAATCATTTGCCATTTGACAAGTGTAGGTCATTAAATTTCTATTGAGGTGCTTAGCATGTGTGGTCACCTCTGATACTTTTGTAGCTTTGTGGGTTAATAAATTACCAAGGTATGTTAATTTCAGTTTGTAAAACACATTAAATAATAAGTTTAACTTGTATGGCTCGTGAACAGGAGGACAGTGGTGGACCAGAGGCTGCATAAATTCTCCTAAACAAATGAAACACATAGTTCCCCATGAATAGAAAAACCACAGTCATGTTATATAAAATGCCACCATAACATTGATATATTTGAAGTGTACCTGCAACCCATACATATTTAAAGGGACACTCCACTGCCCAAATACAAAATAAATAAAAATCACTGTTTAGTAGATTTTCCCCAAATGAAAACTTGCATGCATTTAATCATACATTTTTTTCATTGTAGTTATATCTAAAATCAGCTTGCAAAACCAGCAGTTCTCTTGTTTGCAGCCTTTGCAAGCTCTAACCCCGCCCAGACTTTCTGTGGCTGACCAATCACAGACTTCTCAATGCAGCTCACTGAGAAGTATTTGTAAGTCAGGTACTCTGGACAATTGTGGTCAGCTGCATTGAAGGACCACTATAGTGCCCTGAGGGTGATTTTCACAGTGAGAAGCACGCAAACGCCTCTAGCGGCTGTCAATGAGACAGCCACTAGAGGCTGGAATAACCCATTTATAAACATAGCAGTTTTTCTGAAACTGCAGAGGCTGCATAAATTCTCCTAAACAAATGAAACACACAGTTCCCCATGAATAGGAAAACCACAGTCATGTTATATAAAATGCCACCATAACATTGATATTTTTGAAGTGTACCTGCAACCCCTACATATTTAAAGGGACACTCCACTGCCCAAATACAAAATAAATAAAAATCACTGTTTAGTAGATTCATGGGGAACTGTGTGTTTCATTTGTTTAGGAGAATTTATGCAGCCTCTGCAGTTTCAGAGAAACTGCTATGTTTATAAATGGTTAATCCAGCCTCTAGTGGCGGTCTCATTGACAGCCGCTAGAGGCGTTTGCGTGCTTCTCACTGTGAAAATCACCCTCAGGGCACTAGAGTGCCAGGAAAACGAGTATGTTTTCTTGGCACTATAGTGGTCCTTTAATGCAGCTGACCACAATTGCCCAGAGGACCTGGCACCCAGACCACTTCATTAAGCTGAAGTGGTCTGGGTGCCTATAGTAGTCCTTTAAGCTATTGAAACCAGAAAGTAACATTACCAGTTGTCTGATTGAAAGCCAATGGGGTGTAACCAGGTTAATTTACAAAAGTGTCAATCTCTATTGAGAAAAAGAGGACGTGACCCTAAGGGCTTTTTAACCTTGTATGTATTGTTTTACATACAGTATGCAATGAGTAAACATTGTATTTAAAGACACACCTGCATAACCAGATGAACAAATAGTGTGTCATATGAGATTACTCAATCTTGAAATCGGCTCAGTAAATTCTGCAATCTTTGTTAAAACATCATAAACACATGCACATTCAGGAAAGGTGTTACATTTTTAAACTTACTCAACTGAGACAACCACGGCATTCACATCTTCAGACACTTTACGGCACAAGTTGTCATAAGATCTTGTTCCTAAAACCAACCAGACATGTCAAAATACAAATATAAGAAAAATACAAATGTTTAAGCAAAAATACTACACTTATATATAATATCATAGTAACATATTCCATTATGTAACTGGATTCACAAAATACAAATGATATCTATTTTCAGACACATATTGGTAGGCAAGTCCTATTGTAAATATAAATGTAAATTACTCTCATTTTATTATTTACATAGCGCCAGCAAATTCCATAGCGCTGTACAATGGGTACATTAACAGACACGTATTTATAACCAGACAAGTTGGACGCACAGGAACAGAGGGGTTGAGGGCCCTGCTCAATGAGCTTAAATGCTACAGGGAGTGGGGTAAAGTGACACAATGGGTAAAAGTAGGGTTATCTAAGTAGGTTGCTAGAAAAGTATTCACTGAGGGCTTAGTAGTTTATTTTTGACAGTTGCAGGAGAGTAGTCAGGGTGCGGGGATAAAAAGCTGTTAACAGTTTAAGTGATACGCTTTCCTGAAGAAGAGAGTTTTCAATTTATTTTTTTAAAGGAGTGGAGACTGGGTGAAAGTCTAATGGAGAAGGGAAGAGAGTTCCAAAGAAAAGGTGCAGCCCTGGAGAAGTCTTGAAGGCGAGCATCAGAGGTGGGAGTACGGACAGAGGATAGATGTAGGTCTTTGGCAGAGTGCAGGGGCGTCGACGGGAAATACTTGTGTATTAGGTAGGATAGGTAGGTTGGAGCAGCATTATGTTAGCAAGAATCTTAAATTGAGCCCAATATCTTACTGGAATCCAATGTAGGGACTGACAGAGGGGGGAGGCGTGGGAGGTGTGAGCGGACAGGAAGATGAGCCTCACCGCCACATTCATTATAGATTGCAACGGTGCAAGCTGGAAACATGTAAAACCACTGCGAAGGAGATTGCAGAAGTAAATAAGCATCACATTCTCCGGAACTCTTAAATAATTACATGGAATCAGTATGACAAGACGTAACGTTGCATGCCAGACTCCACAGTCTTGCTGGTGACTATTTGTCTTCAATGGCAGCCTTGAAGCACCTAGATTACTAGCTATGCTAAAAGTTCATAATGTCTCACTCAATGCAGGATTCCTGACTCTATTGAATTTGTCAACATAAAAAGGCATTCAGTTTTGAAAATTAACAATCCTTTTACACTATTTATGTAAACAAAGAAAAAAGCACACGCAGACCCGTAAGGACCCATGAAGCGCCTGGTATGAGATGCCTCCAGGTAAGCAGGACTAGCTAACTGTGTCTCAAAAAAAGAAGTCACTGACAACCTCCAAACTGTAATTTCACCACTTGTAGATGTTGATAATGTCACATGAGTATATTTCCTTCCTTACCCAGCTTGCTGGCAAGCACAGGTTGCTTAATTTCTTAAAACATCATGCTCACCTAAGCTAGTCTGAGTTGTCACAAAAAAGTATATTTCACACACACAAAAAAAATCATACTGGGTTAATATGACTCCAATTTAACTGTCAGTAGGATTTTATAGTCTCTAATGCCTCCAGCTGACATGCCGCAAGTAGGGCCAAATGCACTAAACATGCCTCCAGCAGCTGCTCTACCTCTAATATCTTATGAACAATCACTAAATGCCCCATACCACCACTAACATCCCCTCCCCTTTAAAAAAAAAGAAAAAAAAAAAAAGAAAGAAAGAAAGGCATAACTTACCTGTAATCCAGGCCCAGTTCTAGGCAGGTGGGGGAGCAAATAGTATGATTTTGGGAGAACAAGCCATATAGCCAAATGTCCCCGCCCCCTCAAGCAATGGGTGGGGTAGAAAAAAAGTAGGGGGGAGACATGCCACTGTCCCCCATGTGTGAACCCCTGCACTGATATAATGACAGGGATAGTCTTGTTATTGTACTCCCCCTGCTCTCACTCATAAGCAGAGATGGTCAGGATTAATGAAAGGGGCATTGTTCACTCATTAGTTGTCCATCCAATAAATATTGAACCGTTTCGGCCTCGGTGACTAGAGGTTTCCAAGCTTCTTTTCACCCCAACTAAATAGGTTCCTACCTGCCCCTCTCACACTAATAATAGCGTCAGGGCCTAAAATATAAAAGCCTGTGAACAAAAAAGATTTCTATACTTACCATGTGAGGTTTTTTTTATTTATTTTTTTCTATCTTCAGCCCCCAAAAATGACAAGTAAAAATCCATTATATCCTGCCAGAACTTTTACAATTAAAAAAGACACAAATTGCAAAAAATAAATAAAAAAAATCAGAGAACCCAGAAGTCACAGAGCTCTGACAGGCAAGTCACACATCTCAGTGTATTTTTTTTTTGCACTGGGATACATTGGATTTTTATTTGGTATTTTTTGAGACTGACAAAAGAAAATATAAGATTTTTTTTGCAAATTGCTTATTTATTTTTTTAGAGTTTTTGGGCTCCATCCACTACTAGACTTTTTGGGCTCCATCCCCAAAAGATGTCTATGTAGGTAGACATCTTTTGGGGTGGGGGGTTCAATATTTATTGAGTAGGATGGGCTGGAAGCAAAAGAGGTGAAATTGAATTACTCACATCCCACCAGCTGCAGATGGTTTTGGGGGAAATGGCATGTCCAACACCCCTGGACTATTTAACATGTTCTCACCCAGGCATGCGGAGGAACAGTGGCAGCTTCCCTCTATACAGGATTTATACATGTCCCATCCCACTGTTAATAAGATGGGGTCTTTAGCGAATGGGCAGTGATTCCATCCCACGGCTCTCCTTATAATAAAACATACCCTTATTCACTTATTTCATAATCCTCTCCAGTACAGGAGATTAGGGATAAAAGCAGTTCCATCAGACCGTAATGAGATGCTCCTGACTGGTGCATCAGATCCTGGGGTGGGTGTGGTACTCACAGTTACAAGCAGGCACAATAAACAGTGTTTAATTTCTTTTCAGTCATTTTTAAGACCTATAGAAATCAGGGATGTGGAATTTATTTCGCCAGATGTTTGGACATGCAGTTCCTGTTGCTGGGCAGGTATTTCTTTTTTTATGTAGCCTTGCCAGAAACAAATAGAGTTAGCCCCACAATTACTGAAGCAACTGCTTCGGGCATTAAGGGAGGGCAATTTCTGGGAGACATACCTCTCGTCCTCACTCCTGAACAGCAGCTTGAGGAGGAAGTAATGAGATGCTTTCTTTTCGGGCACTGGTAAAACCGCTAAGGAGTAGAATTCAACAGCAGCCATGTACTAAGTACAACAATTCCAATATATTTAAATAGAAAACACGTTTGAGCATATTTGAAATCATATTGGGTACAGTAGATGGAACACTGTCAATGTTACAATAACTGTATTGACTTTTGTTGGTCGCGATGCTGTCCCTAAAGACGATTAAAAGAACCCCGGTGAATTGGTGGGCTATTATGATTCACTAGAGGAAGCTTGTGACGGTACTATTCGCTGGGCGATCCGTCATTTAATTATAGGAACTTGGGACTGTGACTCTGGGCAGTGGTGTCAGTCTCTTGACTTTAAATCTTGATAGCTTGCTGTGTGTTCATTTGTTGATGCTCTTCTGTTATTCAGGTCTCCTATTAGGTGATGAGGGTCCCAGTCGTGGTAAGGCTGACAGGTTCACATGTTGTAGGAAGGGCTCCGGGACATCCTCCGATGTCAGTGTGAGGCTCTCTCTCCCGATTTCAGTTAGGAGGGATCCATCCACTCCCCTGCGGTAACGTATGCTAGAGTCTCGTAGTTTCCTGGCTATAGGTGCCAGTTTTCTGTGAGGACATAGAATAGCCACTGTTGGCCCTCATTAGGTATTGTCTCCATTTCCCTGGTTCGGGTCATTATGGCAGACCTCATGTAGAGGTCACGGGTCACCACAATGATATCCCTGGGTGCTTCACTGGGCGCTGCAGCACTCGGAATGCAGAGGTGATCTGTGGCATGTCAGCATTGCCTCTAATGCCCATGGTGTTCATGAGGTTGTTGATATAGGGTAAGAGCTGTGCGTTACCAATAGTTTTGGGAATACCTCTGAGGCGCAGATTTTTACGCCTGTGTCTTGCCTCCATTGTGGTCACTGTTTGTCTCAATTGTTGTACCTGAGAGGTAAGCCTGTCCAGGCTATTGTCAGTAGCCCGGAATTTGTTTTCTCTGGAGGTCTCTCATGCCTCTAGGTCTTGGACCTTCTGGCGTACCACCTCCACCTCAGTCTGGTCTTCCCTCCAGACCTTTCTTAAGTCTACCAAGAGCCTCTTTATGTCTAACTTTGTGGAGGGTGACTTCTCCTCCTCAGACTCTGAAGAGTGGGATGTGGCATCCGATTCTTCCTCCTCTGGCAAGGCTTCAGATTCCTTGGGTGCACAGTGGGCCTCAGGCGCCATCGGTGGTCCCTGAAACTGCTATGTTTACATGTGAAGGGTTTAAACCTGAGGGACCTGGCACCCAGACCACTTCATTGAGCTTAAGTGGTTTGGGTTACTACATATGGTGTCCCTTTAAAGCAGCACTTTCACTTAAAATAGCATTGACTTAAAATGGCAATGTTTTCATACCTGTACAGTAGAACACTATCTTTTGCCACATTTTGAAGTTTAAACAAGATATTTTGGATTTGGCAATCCAACTCTAACATTTTTTTCATTTTATTTTACCCCACAAATATAATCTGGAAAGCTTTTGAGAATACAAAATAGTAAAAAACAAGATTCAAGTAGGTGGCAGGTCTGTTTCAAGCAGTGTGGGAAATGTTGTATTATAGCAGTAATAGTGCAACCAATGCTAATGCCGGTCATTGATTATGGGGATGTAGTGTATGCACCCGCACCGCAAACCTACCTTAATAAACTTAGAGGATCACTATAGTTTCAGGAAAACAAATTCGTTTTCCTGACACTATATAACCCTTAGGTCCCCCCACCACTCTCAGGGCCCCTCTCCCGCTGGACTGAAGGGGTTTAAACCCGTTCAGCTACTTGCTTTAATCCAGCGCCAGGTTCTCTCGGCGCTGGTGACCTCTCCTCCCACTCCGACATCAGCTCAAGAGTGGAGCGGAATGCACATGCGTGGCCAGAGCCACGCGCGCATTAAAAACGCCCATAGGAAAGCATTTCTTAATGCTTTCCTATGGACGTTCTGCACGCTGAATGCGATTTTCACATTCAGTGTCGCAGAAGCACCTGTAGCAGCTGTCAGGAAGAAAGCCACTAGAGGCTGGATTAACCCTGCAATGTAAACCTGGGGGACCTGACTTGAGCTGAAGTGGTCTGGGTTACTATAGTGGTCCTTTAATACGTTCTATAATTCGTTCTGCAGCTTTGTACTAGAATGTAATTACTTTACCCACCACTGTGACAAGTTAAAAGAGCTAAACTGGCTGTCGTTGCAATCCCGACGCACTCATCTTTCCAGCCTTGTGCATAAGAGCATTTCTGGGAAGCTCCCACCAGTGGCGGATCCAGGGGGGGGGGCAACGGGGCAATTGCCCCCCCCGAGAAATCCGCCGGTCTCCCTCTCCCTCCCCTGCCAGCACATGCAGGTGCTAGCCCTGCAATGTGCCTGCGGACCGGGGGGAAGATCACAGATCTCCCTCCCCGGTCCGCAGGCACTGTGCTGACAGCCAGCAGGGGAGGGAGAGAGGACCCAGAGCTCAGGCTGCGGCTCCTCCGGGTCCTCCTCTCGTGAGATTTGGAGCGTTGCCGCGGTTACCACGGCAACGCTCCAAATCTCGCGAGAGTGAACTCAAGCCTGGGAGCGTGGGCTAGAGTTCACTCTCATCACCACTGGGACCACCAGGGAATCCCCCACCGGACCACCAATGAATCGCCCACCCGACCACCAGGGAAATGTCCCCCCTCCTCCCCAGTAAAGGTAAGAAGGGAGGGGGGACATAATGATTATTTTTATTAAACTAAATAAAAAAATATATATATTTTTTAAAAAGCCCCCCTACCCTTATCACACACACACACTCTACACACATACACTGATCCCCATACTGCCCTCCCATACACCCATACTGCCCCCCCATACACACACTGCCCCCCATACACCCATACTGCCCCCCTATACACACATTGCCCCCCCTATACACCCACACTGCCACCCATACTGCCCCCTATACACACACACCCCCATACTCGCCCCCTATACACACATTGCCCCCATACACATATACTGCCCCCCATACACACATACTGGCCCCCCCATACACACACATTGCCCCCATACACACACACATTGCCCCCATACACACATACTGCCCCCATACACATATACTGTCCCCCCATACACCCATACTCGACACCCATACTGCCCCCCCTATATACACACATTGTCTCCCCATACACCCATAATACTGCCCCCCATACACACACACATTGCCCCATACACACACAATGTCCCCCATACACACACATTGCCCCTAGTATACTGTCCCCATACACCCACACCGCCCCATACACACACACACCGGCCCCCATACACACACACTAGCCCCCATACACACACTCTACACACATACACTACCCGATACACTGTCCCCCATACACACATGCTGCCCTGCCCCCATACACACACTCTACACACATACACTGCCTCATATACACACACTGCCCCCCATACACACACTCTACACACATACACTACCCGATACACACACACTGCCCCCATACACTGCAATACTCACACACACACTGCAACTGTTACACACACATACTGTCCCACACATACACTGCCGCCCTCACACACACACTGTCCCCCTCACACACACACACACTGCACCACTCACACACACCACTGCTCCTATGCCCTACTACTGCCCCATTTCCCAGCAGACCTCAGGTAAGTTGTCAAACTGTTCTTAAACGGTTTGACTACTTACTCTGGGAGGGGGTCCCGGCACTATTGACACCATAACCACTACACTGAGCTGTAGTTGTTATTGTGTCTGGATTATTTCTTTAAATAATCTACAAGTGCCCCTCCCGAGATCAGGCTCTGGATCCGCCACTGGCTCCCACCCTACCTGAGTAGAATGCTCTCCCCAGCTGTTCCCACCTCCTATAGCCTCAGATCCAGTACTAGCACAATATTAAGCATACCGCAATACAAAAATAAAGTGTCTCGATCCTCCTTTTCCTACAGAGCACCGCGATTATGGAATTACCTCAGGGACACAGTCAAATCTTCATTCAATCTAAAATCTTTTAAGAGATCTATGGAAATATATCTCAGCACAGAATGCACCTGTCATGGTTGAATATATTTATTACCTATTATGTATTAAATTTATATATATGTGTGTATGTATATATATATATATATATATATATATATATATATATAGTATTTTTGTAATATTGTCTTCCTATTGTAACATTGCAATGTTTTGTGGACTCAGGACATACTTGAAAACGAGAGAAATCTCAATGTATCCATCCTGATAAAATATTTTGTAAATAAATAAGTTCCATAAAGCTTTGTTTTACATATATATATCGGATCAACACACAATCAAAAAATAACAGTGCCCAATTGAAATCATTAAATAAAATATTTATAAAAGTAAAACAAAAAAAGGTGAAAATTGTAAATATATTGTAACAACATACTTGCACTTCCAAGGGCCCATCCGCCACCGTGAATATAAATAATACTGCGTTTCAAGGTTCCGGAAGGTTCTGTTGTTGGTTCAAAGATTCTAACTTCAACACCATCAAAGACAGTATCAGTGACTTTCATATGTCCAGAAGATATAGGATCATGTTTGTCAAAGTAATTAGATACAAAATTCAGGACTCTCAGGTGATGGCTGAGACCAACATAATGGGCCAAGTTGCTCTAAAACAAAAAGAAAAACAAGTAAAATATAAGTTTTTAATGTAAAAATGTCCACATGAAAAAACAACTAATCTTACCAACTGATTTGTGCTGGAGAGGATGTGGCCAGAAGGGTATCTATATCCACATGTGGTGGGAATGCCCAGAGGTGCAAACTTACTGGAAACAGATCGCAGTGTTACTGCGCGATGTTTTTGACAAAGAGGTCGCAATAGACCCGTGGGTGTTCCCATTGGTAAGATCTATGGATGATTGGACAAAAGCGGAACAAAACCTTTTGCATAAGGTGAACCTGGCTACTAGGAGAACTCTGGCACAGGTTTGGTTACAGAGGGAGACATCTACTATCCCTATGGTGATACAAAAAATTAAAGATACGTTCCTTATGGACAAATTAACAGTGCAGGTCAGAGGGACAATGAAGAAGTTTGAAAAGACTTGGGGCCCCTGGATGGCTAGCGCAGCGAGTGATTAAGAGATGGATGGGGTGGGCTCAGTCCCCCACACGCACCGCTCATCTTACTTTTGATAACGATTAGCAGCTGAATATATATACTATCCCCAGATGGGGGGACTTTAAGGATCCCCCTAGGAGGTACTCATAACCTAGACTGCCCCCAAGCACAATTTGATATGGTCTTTCGGTCTGTCCGCCTCTCGCAAGTGGTACCCTGGATGATCCCCCCCACCCCAACTACTCCCCCTATCCTTCCCTCTCCCCCAGTCCCCTTTGTGCACTCTCCATTCTCTGAGGGACCTTTTTCTCTATTCTTCCTTTCATATGTTTTGCTTACTACACACAAATTTACGACTTATGGTCGCTAACACAATAAAAAGAGGATGAGCGAGCACATCTGGGTACAATAATGTCCCAAGGTTCTCCTAAATGGGATGCAACTATTGACCGTAGGATCTTCCTATCTTAAAAAAAAAAAACACTCAGGACAGGATGCTTGCTATTGTACGATTACATGACCTACTTTACGACACACAGTCCTGGTCGCAATTAATGATTACCATTGTTTAACTATCCATAGTTGGGTTTTTGCTTGTATCATGTAAATGAATATTGAGGATGTAATTGTACAAATGTTCCATTGTGTGTAATATTATTTTGTTTTGTTTGCATTGACTTTGTTACCCTGTCCTGAAATTAAGAATTAAAAAAAAAAACTTAAAAAAAAACCCTAATCTTATATTAGCCATTGTACGATGCTGTGAAATATGTTGGAGCTTTATAAGTACCTGTAATAATAATTCTAACATATTACATATAACAGGTATGAATTTAAAACATCACTCTAACATTGTGTTATTTTGTTAAACTGCTATCAGACTGAGCCAACTCAAAGGTCCTATGGGTAATGATTGCAAGAAAATCACCCTGGACTGATCCTGTCACTGAGTGGAAAACAGACTTTAAAAATGTAGGTTAAAATATGCAAGGAAGAATAAACACTCAGCTCCACTATTTCGGAATAAAAATTGTGTTCTTGAACTTGTTAAAGCGTACTTTGCAATGTATAATTATCCAATTCTCAGTACATTACAACAGTCAGCATCTGTAATGATAAAAGACTATGCTGCTAAAAAGGTTCAGCATCTGCTGAATTCCTGTTGCTCACATTACAAATACTGAAGGTGAAGAAAGTAGGGGAAAGTTCAGCAAACACCCATCTGTTTTATGATCCAGTGGAAATCTCTTACTGCCCTCCCTTGCTGGTCATAACACCAGTACAGATACTAAGAGACAGAGTAAAGCTTTGTCTGCTGCCTGTGTATTCCAGTTATTATTATTATATTTATATAGCGCCAACAAATTACGTAGCGCCAGTTGTGCAGTTACAATGTGATATATTTAAAGGAACACTCTAATTCTCGGAAAAAACCCAACACATTTTATTTAATTAGATGCTTTCCTTTCATGTTTCAAATACAACTATTAGTTTGGTTTTATTTTAAATAATTAAGATACAATTAAACTCACATTTACTCCAAAAGCAGGGACAGTCTTTAAGCTGCAGTCAATCCTCCCTGGATGACGTAAGCAGTCCTGATAACTTTTGTTGTATCAGACGACTGATATGGCGCTAGCGCACTAATTACTGCAATCCATAGAGGATGCAGTGCTCCTCAAGGCACACCTAACAGTCCAGGATTTAGGGATTTCCCGGGTATATCTAAAGGTGTATAGAAAAAAAAAAAAAAAAAAACACCATAGAGTCTAAGGTGTTTTTAGTTTTTTTGTTTGTTTTTTTAAACACCTTAGACACAACCTGGTAATCCCTAAATCCTGGACTGTTAGGTGTGCCTCGAGGAGACGATTGAGGAGCACTGGAGGATGCATTTGATCCAAAACTTCTATATTAGAAGAATTAGCCACACTTACTGTCATCATGGAAAAATCAAAGGTCTTAAAGTAAAACTATAGTGTTATGAATACAAAGCTGTATTCCTAACACTATAGTGCCATCTCCCCTCTCCTCCCCAGCACATAAAGGGTTAAAAAACCCTGTAGTCACTTATCCAATTCCAGTGCCAATGTACGCCTCCTCCGATGTGGGGCCCTAATACACATGAACCACAAGTGCCATGTGCTCACTATGCTTTTCCCATAGGAAAGCATTGACTCAATGCTTACCTATTGAGTTTTCTCTGACACTGGACTTCCTCATACAGAGCTCTAATGTTCTTAGCATAGACTGGATGGCAATTAGAGTTGCAGGAAACAGAGTTCTGTTTGCATCCATCTCAGTGAATGCTCCGTCACCCTGTGCAAGTTACACTGATGGAGATTACAGGGATATATGATGTCACACCTCACAATTTCAGAAGCTTCCATCTGTTAAACCCATATATTCAAAACACCATGTGATTAGGACAATCCACAAAGATCTGTGTGTTTTCTGGGCAAAATATAAGACCATTTATTTGTACATTGCAGTCTGCCTTCAGTCTAACTGCTGAGATATATGATGAATTTAATTAAATAATACATTCTAGTTATGGTTGGAGAACCTACTTAGCATCAGAGCTATATTTTTTTTTAAATGTTGTAAGGTTTACTGAAAATATTATAGGCTCATACAGATGAGGATACCAACAGAATATGTTTCCTTTACGGGGGTTGGGGTTGTAATCTACTCATAGGCAATGGCACTCTTGGATACCAAGGCAGAGGTTATAGTGTGTACCCCATGCTGATTGTCACTGCAGTGGATACTGAGTAGCTTGGCATGTCTTAATGTCATGTGAGCAAAGGCTAGAAATGACTTCTGCATTTGCAGACTAGAGAGTCTGGAGGGTTACTTCAAGTCATATTCCATGTGGGTAAAAAGTCAAAAAACAGCTTGACACATTTTGTTAAACTTTCTCCCCCTTCCTTTGTCCCTGGGCAATGACCTCTTATAGCAGATGAAGCAATAAGATTTTACTCCAGGCTGGTATCCAGGGCACTTATGTAGGTGTTAGGGCTTTATGTAGAAATCACAAATTCTAGGAAATAAGTCAGTAAGCCACAAGTAGGAATTTGTATCTGTAGGACATTTGGTTTAATGAAAGTGCAATAATGTTAACTGCTTTTTTCTTTTTTCCTTGAAAACCATATCAACTAACCCTCTTAGCACACTATCTTTTCCCAGATTACAAGTCAATATCAGGATGTGCTTTTCTAGATGCGGCTAACTGACAGGCATTCACACAATTTGAATAAACAAGTCTAAAAACCCTTTCGATAATACCATATAGAACATGTGTAGGAGCAGTCCTGGAGTAATCATTTGAACAGTCTCTCTCATGAAAACATTGCTCTGCCAAAATTACAACTATTACCTTGCCCATTAGGAAACTGTAACACCCATGTGATAAGATGTTTTTAAAGTTGGATGTTTTTCCCTAAAACGTACCATTGCTGTTTAGTGAATAAAACTGAGACAAGTATTTTTAATATTACTAAATACTGCTATGCAGAATTCAATCACGTGCAGGCAAAAACAATTTAGCTATTTACAGAAAAGATCCTGTAAATCCCCAGCAATTTTCAGCTTATCAATACTGTCCTGTGTCAGTAACTATTCAAATAAAACACACGGGAAACATTTGTATGCTGTTGTTTTGGTACATTTTCACCAAAATAAGTTATTTATATTAATAGGTATTATATCAATTATTTAATATAAAAACTAGCAGCAAGGATCATAATAGTGATCATGTATAAAAAAAAAAATGACAGAATGTTTTGGTAAATTAGAGAAGCATAGAAAAAGAGAAAATAGTTACTTTTTAAGTAAGTCTCAACACCATCACTTCCTCAAGTGGTTATGATGTATATATACAATTCCTGCAGCCTATTTACATAATTTATTTTAGTTTGTATGATATTTTATTTCTCCAAACATTTTATTAGGTTTAACCAGAATAACAGAGCATAATGTAGTTTGTGAGATATTTAATATGTTTTATTAGTACCCTAGCCAGATCCCTGACGGTCAATGAGACAACCACTCTACCAGCTTCTTCATAAGAACTTTGCTCATATTTTATATTTTGCCCTTCCAAATGCATTGCATTGTATTTCTCCATAAGAAAACAAAAGCATTGCTAAAGTATATGGATTTTCATGCATACACAATTAACCCTCAATGCGTCTCAATGAGAGATGCATTCGTTTGGATGATGTACAGAACTAACTAGGTAAAATTGTGAGCTGTGCTGTGTCTTTGTAAGCGTGGTTGTGAATACAATGCATTACGTTGTTGAATAGCACAGTTGGATCACAATACTTCTCTATGCGAAGCTCTCAACCAGACACAATACTCAGCATGAACAAAGATGTACATCCTGGGCAGAGTGGGGGTGGATCTTCACCAAGAGAATAGGATTCTGAGGGTAATAGCAGGTTAAAATGTAGGATAGTATTACAAGGGCGTAACTTTATTCCTAACATTTTGTCACACACATACCTTAACAACAGAAGGAATGTGCCACTGACAGAAGAGCTGTGCAAACCTCTTAAAAAAAAATAATAAAAAAAAATCTTACAATGTAGCAATCACCATAGAAACCAGATGAATTAACATTCAATATCCAGTTGGTTTCTATGGCAATTGCTAAAAAATTTTCAAAAAATAACTTTTCCTCACTTCTCTTATAACACACTTTTCTAAATCTCCCTTTTGTGCATTAATATTATAATCCAAAATAATTAATAATACTTTAGACAGCTATAAAAATATTCAGCCGAATATTTGGTTCAACATATAACAATTGTGTTTTTTTTTTCCCTACTGCTATATTATATAGCTAAAATAGCAGTACATTTTTTTTTTTAAATACAAGTATATATGGCATAATGTTGTATTAGCTCTAGGAGCATCGTTTGCTAGGTTTGACATACATCAGTTTCCCTATGCATGTCACATAAAACATTGTCTATAAAAAAGTAAACCCAACTTCGAATAGGGATAAACTTAGTTCTCATATTTATCAAGACAAGGAGCAATGTGACCTGTTCCACTGACTGCTTTAAAAATAGATATAGATTAGACAGGAAACCCCCATTCAAAAGCAGTCTATTGAGATTTCCCCTTGCAAGATGGTCACAGCTGTTGTGTGCAGAATGCCATCTAATCCTTAATAATCAATGTAGGTTAGAAATAACGTAACATACCACATCCTGGGCACATCTGAAGGTAGCATCTAACAGCATGAGTTTCCATGGCTCAGATACAGTGCTGGGTAAAGGGGTGTACACATAATAGGCAGTGAACACACTTATTGCAGTAAGCAGGGCAGACTGCACTTTCATGATGAACGCTGACTCTCCCCAGCTCTGGCAATACCGACTCTACACAGACCAAGTTTCAGCAAGGTTGTCGCTTTCATTGAAGAGCTATGACATGTGCTGTCCAATCACACAAAGGCAGGAAGGCATGTCATCCAGGCTAGTGTCATGTCCTTGCAAAGCTACAATGTAAACGACAGAAAAAGCAGTGCCACCTAGCGTCAGCATGCAGCATGCACGTTTAATCCGGAGCACAATATGAAGAATACAGCTCTCGCGTAAGAAATTCTTAGCATTCCAAATCAATAATAAACACAATGAAATGTGGTAGCTTGAACAGAGGTTATTACTAAACATAGAATTAAGAATTGAGAAAAGTAACATGTCTTTAAAAGCTATCAAACTGGTCTGTAGCTACAGGTCCAGGTATAATTGATTGAAATTTGTAATTCGTCATGCATACCTCCAAACTGTCCCTATCTAGGAGGGATAGTCCCTATTTTGGGTCCAAATCCTTCTGTCCCTTTTTGATTACCTAATGTCTCGATTTTCTAGGCGTTCCATATTGTTGTGTCTGTGAGCCCCTCCCCCCAGCTTTAAACTACAATAAATGTGTTTAGAAAGGAGTCTGTGTAAATAAGATACATTGTTATTGTTCTAGAGCACATTTTAGTTACATAAAATTTTATTTGTAAACCACTTATTGCTCAGAAAAGCCTTGCCCCAGGCCACACCCCCACTCACACCCATAAAATTGATGTGTAACTTTGTCCACTCGAAATGTTGACTTGTGTTATGAATCAGAAAAGGAAATATATATTTATAGGGGGGTTGCAGTATGAATAGTATGAACATCACAAAGACATCCATCTAATTCATACCTAAAGAACCTCTAAAGTCACCCAGGCCACTTCATCCCTCCCAACCAACCCAATTTTCAGGTCCTGTCACGCCATTCTGACCAGGGAACTGTCCCCAATAAGCATAACACGAATGCATCATAAGACATGCTTGGCTATGTTCAGGGCGATAGCACCTTGCAGAGTGCACTGAAGAAGGAACTGCTCTCCATGGGCCGGACAGGCAGACTGGCATACATTCATGCCAGGCTGTGCTGCCAGTTGAATGGACGGCCCCGGTGCCATTTCCCCCTCCCACCTGCATCCCGATTCTCAGGAAGCCAGAGTTACTTGGTGTTCCCATAATATTTTTTTTATATTTTGCAAATTACATCATAATCCAGTTCAGGAAAGGCAAAGCCAGGGAAAATATTGCAAATTAAGAGGAAAAATGGAAGCATAGCTTGTTATTTATAAAAATAGTTGCAGTCGCTTTTACATTTGCAAAGTTTAGTGCAAATGCACCACTATATTATGTATAAAACTTTTATTCCACTTAAATTGGGGATTTTTATCTGTCTTTTCTGTAATGTATCGAAGTAACCCCTTCTTCTGCCACTTATTCCCCTTTTAAATATTTTTGCTATTTTTTTCCACCCGGTGATTTCACAGTTGATTACATTATCATAAGTCAAATTGTTAAAGGAACACCCCCCACACACAAAGCACTTTATCTTGCTTACCTGTCATGCTTGTGCTGGTTTCAACAAAAATTTGCGCTTTTATATTTTGGGACAGAAGCACTGCCCTGGCGGTCAATCAGACAGCCAGGGAGGTGTTCTTCCTCTTCCATTAGTGCCAGGGAGCCAATGGAAGCAGCAGGTGTGCTGTGCAGGAGCGCCTGCCTGACTTACCCCATTTTCAATGAGCTATATTACAGTTAATTGAAAAGCACTGGAGAACTGCAAGGGTGTGCGCACAAATGTCTCTAGCACTGAAGCTTTCATTATGGGGTGGGTCAAAGAGAATGGCTTGAAAAAGCCATGGCTGCAGCTTTTGTAAGCTATTTTCAGACATACCCCAAATAAAATATGCAGAAATAAATGCATGCATGTATTCATTGGGGGTATATCTACAAACTTGTAAAAAAAAATAAAAAAAAATAATAATAGTACAATGTTTCTTTTATGTAAAAAAAAAGATGCATTCACAACCTGAAGGATTTAGTCCTTAAAGGACCACTATAGTGCCAGGAAACTCGTTTTCCTGGCACTATAGTGTTAATAGGTCCCCCCCACCCTCAGGATCCCAGTCCCGCTGGGCTCTAGGGGTAGGAAGGGGTTAAACGCTTACCTTTCTCCAGCGCCGGACTTCCTCGGCACTGGGGACTCTCCTCCCTCTTCCGACGCCATCGGCTGAATGTGCATGCGCGGCAAGATCCGCATGCACATTCAATCAGTCTATAGGAAAGCATTTCTCAATGCTTTCCTATAGACGCGAGGAGGAGGAGAGGAGGCGGAGAGTCCCCCCGCCCGGTGCTGGAGAAAGAGGTAAGTTTAACCCCTTCTACCCCCTAGAGCCCGGCGGGAGGGGGCCCTGAGGGTGGGGGCACCATAGTGCCAGGAAAACGAGACAGAGCTCCATGTTGAGGGTCAAGCAGTGGTCTGGTTTATTGAGGGCTACCTGCCCAGTATTTATGCAGGTCTCCCACCTGGTGGACACTCCCATAGGGGACCAGATGGAAGACTGGAACACAGACAGACATGTATCACATTCAGACACACAGAAGTAAAACATCCCCACAATGCATCCTAATTTCCCTCCCTCTATCCTGGAGATAATAATTATTATTATTTTTTTATTATTTATATAGCACCCAACAAATTCCGTAGCGCTGTACAATTGGGAAGTAATCCAATTATCTCCTAGGACAGAGGCAAAATCGCCATTATACACGTGGGGACACAAAGACAGTAAAATACTTTAAAATATACAAAGTTACATTTAATACATGAAATACAGACATGTCACATATCCCCTGATAGCTGGGATCTGAGCGCACATAACTACCTTAATAGCGCTCAGATCCTGTTCACACAGTTCAATTGCCATGGAGCCAAAGTCTTTAATTACACGAATAGACTCCATGGCATAGCTATCTGGGTTAAAACATTCACTGAAGTAAAGTCCCAATCAATTCAGCGTTCGGCTAAACAGCCACGAATAGAAGCAGGGAAGGCCGGAGGCTCAGCAGTGCCTGCACGTAAAAGTGTCCGCTTTTAGTGCACTGATTCCGGGCTGAGCACCGCTGGCCGTCCGGGGAGCTCCATAACACTGCCACCTAGCGGCCGCTAAGTGTAACCGCAGCCACCCAGTAACAGTCAATTAAACTGCTGTTAACCGCAGCTACTGGGTGGTCAATTGACTGCACACGCCAGCTTCTGGGCGGCCAATTAACAGCGCCTGCCGGCTCCCCACGGCTCTGGAGAGGCTAATAGAAGGTGGTTTGTGCGGTAGACTAAATCTACCGAACGGCTGTGCAGAAAGGCATGAATAAACCTTTCTGCACAGTAAAATTAACTGTTTAACTGCTGGTCCATAATCCAAAGGCAGCAGGCAGGCAACCAGGCTCCTCCAATGCAATGTGGCGAGATTGGTCTCGTCAGACACCCAAAAGTGACATCTCTGGTAATGGTCTGGAGGCCTGCAGCAGTCTTTTGCACTTGCCACTATCTTTGCTCTGTGCATTCTCTTCAGCTCCTGGCTTCATCTGCCAGGAGACATGCCAGTTTTGTAGTCTCGTGCATGCGCAAGAGTACATCACTGAGGTCTATGGAGCATGGAGGATCCCATGAGAGTTTCTGTAGATCGAAGTCTGAATCTCATGTGCTGGGATTGGACAAAAGTTGATCTCAGCAACTTTTTTTTTTATTGTCCATACTTTGTCTTCTGGTTTCTTGGGTAAGTATTTCATAAAGATTATCTTTACGAAATACTGAAAAGCTACAAAGCCACTTTAACCCTTAAGGACACATGACATGTGTGACATGTCATGATTCCCTTTTATTCCAGAAGTTTGGTCCTTATGGGGTTAAGCTATATATTTAAAATATTCTCTGACCAATATCTTACTAAGCGATATAACTCTAATTCTCTAATCTCCGTATGATAACGACGATGGGATTTAACTCTCTTCTGCAATACCAAGGAGAGTCGTGTGGCCATACGGACTCAGGGCCATCCTTTGGGGTGTGCAAGCTGTGCGGTTGCACAGGGCACCAAGGCAACAGGGGGCGCCATGTGGCCAACACAGCTTGCACACTCCCTGCCCTCCCTATCTTCCCTATCCTTTACCCGGGCTTAGCAGAGAGAGACTGTAGATGGCGGAGCTAAGCAGCAAGCAGGGGTGGGGCTAACCAAGGCCCAAATCTTCTGCCTGGTAAGTGAGTCCATCTACCCCTATAGTGCTCCTGCTCCCCCTATCTAACCCCAATAGTGCCCCCCATCTACCCCTATAGTGCCCCTGTTCCCCATCTACCCCTATAGTGCCCCTACGCCCTCAACTACCCCTATAGTGCTCCTGCTCCCCCATCTACCCCTATAATGCCCCTGCGCCTCCCATCTACCTCTATAGTGCCCCTGCTCCCCCCAACAGCTTTTATAGTGCCCCCCAACTACCCCTATAGTGCCCCTGCTCCCCCATCTACCCCAATGCCCCTGCTGGCCCTGTACGGACTTAGCATTACTTGCAACTTAGTTGGAGTGATCATTTGTGGGTGTTTTTTCTTCTTCTTTTTCTTGGCTTTGATTTATACGCCCTCTTTTACTGTTAAAAAAGTGAATATAAAATATATATCAGCATCCTTGTACTTATTTTATTAATGATGCTACAATGCATGACATGTCAATTATATTGGCATGTCATGCATTGTAGCATTGTAAAGCGTTACGGAATCTGTTGGTGCTATATAAATGGCAATAATAATAATTATATCTTGCATTCACAATAAAAAAAAAATGGCTTAAACAAAACCCTCAAACAAAAAACATATTTATATACTTTGTCCAAAATCTTAAAACTCCTTTCTCAACCCCATTTGGGGTTCATTCACCAACCAGCGAGTAGAGAAGAACCGAAAAACCAAATTGCAAACTTTTAGCCAAGTTAAAAAAACAAAAAGATTTTAAAAGAAGGTTGTCTGTAAAGCATGTTTGACTCAGCTGTGATATCTCCACAAACTGACTGTTGGTTTGTTATGGAGACACCCAGCTCCACAGCGGAGGCTCCTGCTCCCTCACTGTGCTCATTTCCTCTGTTTAGTGAATAAGCCCCCTCTGGCCCTACAAGGTGGATGAGAAGGTAAATAATTCCAGCCAATCACAGACTGGCCCCGTGACGTCACACCGGCACACTGCCTGAGTCCGTTATCACCCAATCGTTCAAACTCGCAGCCCACCAATCAGCATTCGCGCGACGTTTCCTGTGACAGAGGTAACAGCGCGAGCTAGCCAATCACGAGGCGCCTTAGAGCGTGCATGCCACTGTCGGACCAATAGCGTGCGCGGTGACATTTCTCCGCTGGCTGTCCAATCAGAGGCCTCCTTATGTTTTGGCTCGAGTTTTTGAATACGGTTGATGGCCGCAGCTGCGGTCCTTGGTCTCCGTGTAGCCGGGCGCTGTGTGTGTGTCTGATAATAACGCCTAGTTACTAACATAGAGACCTGGGATTGGGAGAGCCGCGATACGGAGCACGGGAGCGGTAATTATCGGGAACCTGCAGCGGGCTGGTGACAGGGGGGGATGGGTGGAGTAACCTGTTCTAATACCTGCTCCCTCCCGGGGGTGCTGGGAGATGGCTGTTATTTACATAGAAATAGCTGGATATCGGCTGGCCACAGGGGCCGCCAGGTGTGCACCCCACAGTGCATACACACACTGCTTCTCACAGTTTAAATAGTGTGTGTGTGTGTGTGTGTGTGTGTGTGTGTGTGTGTGTGTGTGTGTGTATATATATATATATATAGTAGGCTAGAATGTGACCGCACTCCAGGGACATCAATATAAATTAAGTAAAACCTTAACATTTATTTCATTCTATCTATTAAACTGTTGACTTTTTTTTTTTTTAGTTTCTTTGAAAAACTTTCACCAGAGTAGAAAGGTGTATTTTTTTTTTTTTTTTTTTTCAAAAAAAATTGGAAATGTCGACATTTTAATAAATACAATAAAGTATAAGTTATGGTTTTATTTTTAAACTGCTATTGAAGACCCTGGCTTGCGGTCATGTTGTGTATTTTGTGCCCTCCGCCACTGGGCATTACACATTATACCCTGGAGTGCAGGTTCTGTGACTTTGTAGTAGGACCACCTTTTCCACTAAATCTATATATATTTAAAAAGGAAAAAATCCTGCAATTCACCCATGTTTTCACTTTTATTTTACCTAAAATGCTATTCACGTGGAATTCCCAAGAAATCATACATTCTTTGTCGTTCCAGATTACAAGTTATGCAGGACTAAATACTTGTATTTGAAGAAGGTATTAAATATAATTTTTTTTTTGAATGAGCACTTGAAAGCTCTTTAAGGTATATCCAAATCACAACAAATTCTGTACATTGTGTCAGCAAAAATGCTTGTAAATGTGTAGACAAAGAATTATTCTCTATTTCAGGTATTTTTACCTTCTCAGGCTTTAGTGATATGGTATGACTTCATCTAAGGGTGTGTTGAGCAATCTCCCTGCCCACAAAAAAAAAAAAAACCCAGACAGGTTATCCACTAAAGTAAGAATTCAAAGGAAAAATTATGTCTGCTATTTTTTTACAGTTCAGCTACTCTGGCTTTAACACTGAAATCTATTTTGATTTCTCACTTTGGCTGGAATTTACAGCATGTTGCAGGACCACATATTACATTATTCTCTAGCAATATTATGGCTCTGCTAGCATCATGCACTTGATGGACTTGCAGTTCAGCAAAAGCTGGGGCTCTGCCTTTTGGCTGCCCTGTTTTTTTTGTTTTTGTTTTTTTTTTTTTAAATATATAATTTTTTTTTTTCAATATGGAGGTGTGTCTAAACAGTTGCATTCTGAGAACCTTATTACAATAAAGTCAATGTATCTATATATTCTGCATCTAGATTTCAGTAACATCCCAGAGACCTAAGAAGCCAGCACGAGCTTCCTGTTTTTAAAAATTTATTTTAATGGTAAAGCCATCATTTAGAAAACACTGTAAAATTAAACATGATGCCAAAAAAGTCACGTACATAGGAGTGTTTAGGAAATTAACCGCTCCCCCAGCTCACCCTGGAATTGATGCCAATACAAAACAATTTTTTTCTTTTTTCTGGCCTCTTAAATGCATAAACTGCTCAGGGCGATGTCAAATACACTTGTCACACAATTTCAAATGTCTGGTGAAATTAAACTGGAATTGTCACTTCAATTTTAGCAGTCTCATAGCTAAATAAAAGTTGGCTATTGGGTATACTAATTTTGTTTAAATTGTTTAGATTTTCTTTTAACTTGAATGCCTTGCAGGGCATAGCCATAGTATATCAATAAGTAAACTCACTCATACAGCAATTGTTAGATGACTAAGCGCTCATATTCAAGGCAAGCTGCTGGTTCAAAGGCATAAAAAAACAGTTAAGATCATCCTTTTAAAATTAGTAATCCAGAAGAAATTAGAAAAGAGTTGGCTTGTTTCTACAAAGCCTATTACAATGTAAGAATGTTGCTCGTTCCCTATCTCTACATTAATCCGATTGCGTCCATAATTTCTAACCCAATCCTTTAGTGTGATATCGGTTTCAGCCATGCTTTGCCTAAATTGACACCTTATAGGTTCGCAGTTGCATTTCTAGAATGGTTTATGCCCTGTTAAAAGTATTTTCTGCTGACATGCTATATTCTGTAGGCTTTTTTTCCCTACACCCTACCCTTATTTTGTAATTCACTGACCTTTTTCCTTCTTTTAAAAAAAAAAGTTTAAATATAAAAAAATAAATGTAATCTATAAAAATACAACTAAATCCAGAGTTGGCCATCACTTTCACCTCACTGCCCACCCAGATCCCATGCTCCGTCTATGGGCTAATCCACAATTCCCAGAGGGAACCCTTTGCTCCATCAGGCAGATATTCCCATATCTAATCCAGCCTAGAGTGTGAGACGTACTACCTGAAGGATAATTGACCACACTAGTGGCATTGCTTTTGGGATAGCCCCACACAGCTTGACTTACCACTAGACTATTTACTAAATCTCCTCCATCCCACTAAACAGATTTCGAAACACGACGTGATGGGTCTCTTATACAATATGCTGATTCAGGTGTTATACCTCCTTCCTCCCACTTTCATGGACGGGAGAATATCCGTGGAATATATTTTACAGAGTGGAAAATTATGGTTGAGCTTACCCACAAGTGTTCTAACTGGGAGAGAGAGCTACCAAACAATCCTATAAGCTGTTGACACAATTCCCCCAGTGCTCTGATTGCCTTACTCACACCTCAGTGTTGGCAGTGTGGGGTGGAGGAGGGCAGCCTACTCCACATCTGGTGACATTGACCCAAGATCTGGGGGTACTGTTGCATCCTTCCCAGTGGTTGGTGAAAGCATTTAAAAAGTCATCCCAAGACTACTTAATGTAGCCAAAAAGCGAATTCCCCTTTACTGGAGGACGAGCAGACCCAGACCATCCTTTTGGCAATGATTCAATTCGTGCAAGCCAGGTGGTTCCTGTCTGTGTGGCAACGAGTGAGACCACTTAACTTTTTTTTCTTCCCCCTTCCCTTTACCTATCCTAATACTTCTGCACCCTTTAGACTCTCTTAGACAAACTGACAAGTTGCTGTGCAGGTTCTGCCTCTGCACATTTATATACCTAGCACTACACTGAATTCCCACAGAGTCAATGATATATACCTCACAGTAGGGACAAATGTGTGAATATTGCTTTCATATATCTGAGGTTTCAGTATACTGAGATTTAAGCTTTTGTCCCAATGAGTGAAGCCATGCATCTTCAAATATTGTCCTTATTTATTTCTTTACTTCTGTACACAAATACTGATCTTTTATTTTATACTCTTATGTCAAACATTTGTTGAACACAAAACTAGACTGAAATAATACTGGAATATTTAGTCTGATGTACTGCACTCTACACTAAAACATCTTTGGGATCAAGTAACGAATTATTGTGAAATACACATTTTATTATGAATCTGTACATAATCCATAACACACCATATTTTAGTTGTCGTACATGATTATATACTTTACTCTACAGCGGAAAAAAATCACCATGAATGAAAACAGCATTCTGATATCTGCTGCAAGCAAGAGCATTCTGGCAGATTCTTCTGTCTTTGACTCTAAAATCAATGAAACCTCAAAAGAAAACCTGTTTGCTGGTTCTGCAGAAAATGATGGTAAGATTCTAAAAGCCTTTCCTCAATTTCACCTCGCTTGCATTCCAAAAAAATGCTTCTAAAGGTTTTTGTACATTAATTTATAGGGATTTTTGGGCTTCATGGGTACAGCTTCTCTCGTTATTGCCAAAATCTTTTCCAGCAGTTTCACAAAAACAAGAGGATTTCTCAATGTCCCTCAGAAATATGCCTTTAAATTCCTTAGAGATACTAGAAAATAATTTTCTTTAATTTTTCCTAAAATCGTCTTGACTTTTTCTTTCTATCCTGAATAACATCTTTCATTTTGTATTTAATCTACGTAGAAGAAATGCCTCAAATTGAAACCAGAGTGATTCTGGTGGAAGATGCTGGGAAAGATGACGACCTGTTAAAAGCTTTGGAGGTATTGTTTTCCATTTGAGGTCTTTTTTTTTATTTTTTTTTATTTTTTTTATAAATATCTTTTTTTTTTTTTATACATGGCTTTGTTTTGCTTCATCTCAGTTTTCCTTTCCACAGACAGTTAAAGTAATGGAAGTTCCTGTTATAAAGATAAAGGAAAATTGTACAGAGAAATCCAGAGACTCATTTATTAAAAGCATTGTAAATATGGTATGGTAAATCATTCATACCAATTTTGCATGAGAGCACTTCACAAACCACTCTTGAAATGGTGCCACTAACTTCTGTCTTAAACTCTGCTTAAAATTTGCTACTTGCAGAAAACGTTCATTTTAACACCCTATGCTCAGTCACTTAAACTTTTTATGTGTAATTTGTTTGGTAGCTACTCTTTTGAGGGACTTGTGTTATTGTACTTTTCTATGGTGAAGGAATGGTGGTTGTTCGTTTTCCAGATCAAACACTACTATATATATATATTATAATATTTTTTTTTTTTTGGTGGCTGGCTCTAATGAAATCATATTTGAACACTGTATAAGTTGAAATATACATGGTTTTTGTTCTTACACATTGAGTTGTGCAGTCTCTTCAGAGAGAAACCATCAGGAAAACAAATCAAATTAAATGCTCAGCACATGTTCACTTGTGATAAGGCCTCTTTTTGATAGTTGTAGAGTAAAAATTTCAATAATGGTACACAGTTGCCTATAAATAAAACACACAAAAAAATCACTATTTTGTAGATTTACCCCAATAAAAACATGCATGTATATTGCATTTTCCCCCATCAGTGATTAAGCTAGGCTTCTAACAGCTGCAAATCTCTCCTCTGCAGCCTTTGCAAACATTCCTCTTTTTCCCCACCACAGACTAAAAATCTGTGCTAGGGGAGTACTCCAGACGATTGTGATAGCGCTTTTCCAATGCTGCTTAATCAACAATTCACTGTAATACAGATCATTGAGAAGAGCAAAGACAGGCGTGTCTTAGCCAACATAGAACATTTCTACTGAAATCAACACTTACAAACTGTCCAGATATATAAAGCACTAAAGCAAGTTTCTTCCCCCCCCCCACCAATTGGGGAGAGGGGGGTGGGGGGGGGGGGAGAGGGAAAGCACTCAAACACAGTTTTCACCATGCATATTTTAAGCCAATATCTAATTTAGGTCAGGCAGCAAGTCCATTGATACTGCATCTAGTTCTGCATCACTACCTACCACCAGTGGCATCTCCTCCACAACTACCACGCTTAGCCAGAGCAGGGGAATGTTAAGCATAATGCCATTAGTTGAGTTAGACTCGGTCATTATCATCCCAGGGTTGTGTCCAGTAGCCGAAGTCTTGAAAATTTTGTTGGATTTCAAAACGGCATGATAACAAAATCACTTGCCTGCTTGCCCAGCTGATTGTTTCCATGAGAGAACGGTAAAAAAATAAATTAAAATAAAAATTGTTGTATTTTAACAAAGTGCAGATTTCAATAGATTTTGACACTTTTGTAAATTACCCCCTCCCCCTGACTGTCACACCCAGACTTTTTTTGCTTTCTAGTTTGTTTAGCTCAGTGGGGCGAAACTCAAGTGGCAGCAAACTCAGAGCACCTGCCTTGCAAAGACTAATCATTGAGCTAGTTTGATAGGACAGCCACAGAAAGTCTGGGCTGGGCTAGAAAAGCAGGGCTTGCAAATACTTCAGACAAGAGATTTGCAGCTTTTGGAAGATCTTTTTAGATATACACTCAATGGAAAAAAAATTGCATAATTAAATGCATGTTTTCATTTGGTGAGTATCTACTAGACTGTAATTTATATTATATCTGTTGTTGTGTTTGAGCAGTGTAGTATCCCTTTAAAATTAAACAGATGGTCCTGATCCACTGGTTTGTCTCTACATAAACATTCTGGTAAAAGTCCTCAGTTGACATATTAAGATCTTTATGAAAGCTATACAGCTCCCTAATTACATCAGGATGAAATTTTTTATTTTTTTTAAATGAAAGAAATATCCTCATTTATCAAAGTAATCATATTAGTGCAAAATAGAATTGCCAAGTCAGACTATCTGCTCATGCATGTGGCATCGAAATTATTATTATTATTTTTTTTTTCCTTTCCCCCCCTTCTTCCAATCACTTTACAGGCAAGCTCTGTCAACCGTGTCAGACAGACTTGAGCAAACTTGCAGTGTGAAGTGATAATTGCTCACGCTTTTCTGTTTTAAGACTGTAAAGCTTATATGCGAGCACCTTAGAGTTTGTATGCACTGGGCTGACACATTTTTTCCTGTGCATGTTGTCCATGGTGCTACTTGTATCAGACATGCCCACCAGTCACACTTCAGCCATCTTCTGATAGAAGACATGTCCATGTTAACAGATATGCAACAAAGTGCATCTAGTTTTGAAAGTGTGCAGGGTGTTTTTGTTTGGGGGGTGAGGGGGAATGTTCTTGGTTTTAAATTTTTTTATTTATTTATTTTTTTTTTTTCATGCCTAAAAGTTTGAACAAATCATACAAATACAAAAATAGAGTATCGTACAAAACGTAATCTGATATAGCCATCTTTAAGTGGAGCTGTAACTTTTCTGCACAGGTGTTCAATCCCTTAACCCAGTAAACACTATTCTAGGGGATACAAATTGTGGCTTGGGTAACCTGAAAAAAACAACAAATTTACCTCCAGTGGACTTCTGTCGTCAGTGTGTGCATGGTACTTTTATGCTTTCTGGTATCTCCAGAGTAATGTAAACTCCAACGGTTACTTAGTTACGCACCATATCTGATCAGCTAGGAAGGCATTTAAAAAAAAAAAAAAAAAAAAGTGACTAGCAGCTACTGACTTGTGCATAATATGCTGACAGTTCTGCTTTAATATGTCATATTAAAAATAAAACCACAAAGATTAAAACAATAACTTCAGTACTTTCTTTTGGGATGTGCAAGTGCTTTTTATTTGGAAAAACAGACCCGTATCATTTGTGTACTTGAATATGAGACATTTGCTATACTATTCTACACAACATTTGTGTGGATATTTGTTTTTTTTTTTTTTGGGTAATGCCTTTAGTAATTAAAAAATATGGAAAATGGGAAATATTATCATATGGTTATACAGTAAATAAAGTAACTTGTTTCATAATCTCTCTTCTGGAAACAAAAAAGGAGATTAAAGTTCCCTGCATGAAAACGGACAATGTGAAAGAGTATGCAGATGCCGATGGACCTGAATTCGAAAACGTGTTTGTTTTATCAGACTTCCAGAATCCCTCCTTTCAATACTTGTATAAAGCGGATTGCAGAGTGCTTGGACCACCAATAATCTTATATTGTGCTCGCAAAGGAGAGGTATGTTGACCTGAACTTAATTCTAGCTTGTGTTAGCTTTTTATTGCTCAAATATACTTTATATGATTGCAAAACTTTTTTATTTTATTTTTTGGCGTGTAGCAGTAGCAGTTACGATATATTCAGTGTTAAAGGCTAGAAATACAGGAATGCAGGTTTACAGTATAATTGCATAATCTTCGTGTGTGGGCTATAAGATTGGATAACTGCGGGCTACCGGTCGGAGTGTTGTCAGTAAGTGGTACAGATCGGCATTTGCTAGGCACGTCTGAAACAATCAGCAGTCAGGTCACGCCCCATGATTGCAAAACTTTGTGACAAGTAAATGATTACGAGTTCAGACTTATAACAACCCCTTGTGTGTCTGATGTAAATCACATCTTTACGAACATGTGGGCATAACTGTGTTGAAGTACAGTAAGGCTGAGTCTGAAACTTCAGGATGCAGCTTTGTACTATTTTTGAGATCACAATTTAATGTTATATATATGTATATTCACCTAGTTATGGCAAATCACATAACCATATATTGCATTTAAATAAAAATTTGTTGTGTTTCTATTCTAGCCTTTGCCTTTTACTTCCCGACCTCTGTATTGTGCAAGCATGTTAAATTTGGTGCTCTGCTTTACTGGATTCAGAAGAAAAGAAGAATTGGTAAGAAAGTGTTGTTGGTTTTTCTTTTTTTTTTCTTTAAAATCAAAGCTGCCTAGCTGTTTTTGTATGTAAAGAGTGGTGAAAACCAAGATCTGTTGGGGGATGTACTCTTGTAAAACAGGAGTTGAAAACTGATGGTGTAGGCTAAAAAAACAAAATACCCTCACTGTTGTCCTTGGTCATTATTTAATAACTGCCACAGAATTGTTTAGCGATGAATACTTCCCACTTGGCGTGGGTAATATGGAATAGTCTTGGTATTCTTTGCTTTGCTTGTGTCATTAGAGGTTTCAGTATTTTACAGTGAATGCTAGTCGTACCGTGTTTTTGTAATCTAGAGCAATCTGATAATTTTCTAATTTCTTTCTAGGTAAAGCTTGTGACCTTAGTTCATCATATGGGCGGAACGATAAGAAAAGATTTTAGCTCAAAAGTTACCCATTTAATTGCTAATTCAACGCATGGAGATAAATTTAGGGTGCGTATATCTTCTTAGATTTGGTAGCCTAAAACTAAATTTCATCTATCAACACTTTGGCGCAAACACATTCTGCAATGTTTTCCAATGTATTCAATTTAAAAAAAATGCATTCACTCATCTACTCCATTACAAAACGCTTTATCTGTTTTCACTGCCTTTTATTAGGCTTGGTTTCTGCAGTTCCTCCTATTTCAGTACTCCATTATCACACTTCTGTAAATCCCAAATGCTGCTGCCTGAATTCTCTGCCGCAGGCATTAGTCTGCAAACTTTTCTATTCTACTAATGTCACCTCTTTAAAATCTTTAAACTGAGAACGTCCATGTTCTACATCCACGTCTTGCCATTTCTCATTAGCTTTCACTTGCAATTGCTTATATTGTCACAGTGAGGCCTACCTGCCAAGCCTTGATTGTGGGGAAAGTGTGGGCATAAAGGGATTAAAGCATCACAATCTGTGGAATTTGTAAAGACCCATGACTGTGACATCATTGCTGGATGTCCAGTGACTTGGGGCAGGGGGGGTAAGGGGTGCAGGCAAAGGTAGGTTTTACTTACAGAAATCTGTTCATTGTGAGCACCACCATCTTCTTTCGGATGATCCTTTTTAGCTCCTGGTACTTAAGAACCAGGAGCCGATGTCATTGAGGTCTATGGAGTATCCCCCCCAAAACTGCGGCATCCTCCATAGAAAATTCCCTACAGCAGTGCTAGTGACTGCTTTGGAACTGGCAATTTTTGACAGCAGTAGCTCTGCCCAGTCTCGATAAGTGTTGGGCGTAGGAAATATACTGAGTAGTTGCTACTTTGTCTCCATGTTTCAATATGTTACTCATATTGATGGTGTTGGAATTTCACTGAATTTATAACCCAGTCTTTATGATATACTCATTTTGTGTGCTACCATTACCTCTAGAAGGGCATAACAATTAAAACGGTGAATTACTAGTTTATCTCTACAGGTGTGTGAATCCCGATAATAGAACTTAAAGATAGAATTGGATTAATAGTTTAAAAACAGACAAATGTTGCACAGTGGCAAACTTACAAAGATCAAAATAAAATCTAAAAGCAAATTATACAAATGCAAAAAAACGGTTCCTAAAATAAAATGACACTTAAACAAAACACAAAACCTACACTAGTGCAAATCTTACGGTAGTCCAGTGGGAACTCCTCAGTATATCTTTCCTGATGATCAAAATAAAGTTGAAGAGTAGTGATGTCACAAACGGTTTGCCGCGGACTTATCATTGAGTAAACTTTGACCCTGTACCTCGCAGTCAGCAGACACATTCCAGCCAATCAGCAGCAGACCCTCCCACCTCCTGGACAGCTCACTAAGAATGCAGCTTCACAATGAATGTAAAATGGATGCTGTCCAGGAGGTGGGAGGGTCTGGGAGGGAGGGTCTGCTGCTGATTGGCTGGAATGTGTCTGCTGACTGTGAGGTACAGGGTCAAAGTTTACTCAATGATGAGTCCGCGGCGAACCGTTCGGGACATCACTATTGAAGAGGTGTTCAGTTTGATGTGGGATGACCATTGTATATCAGAAATAAACCGTATATTCCTATGCCTAATCGTTTTGCTTGGGTGAGAACATTTTATGGAGGATCTCTTGCACGGAAGTAAAATTCTGAGGTTCATGGCAATTCGAGCTATCAAAGCTGAAGATGAGCTTAGAGGATATGGTGATGCTGAGGGAGAGCGGTTCAGGTAAGTATTTCTGCCTTCCCCTCTCCAGTTGGTACTATCAACTGGTCCTTAGTGCTATTGTCTTTTTAGTGAAGGTGGAGGGCCGTGAAGCCATGTACCTGGCTTAGGTGACCAGTGGGTCCATCACACCACGTCTTTACAGAGAAAAGGCAGTATCTACATTACAGCCTAGGGATACCTCCACTGGTCACTCCTCATATGGTTACTAGAGGTGCTTCATGGGGCAGTGCTGCAGTGTGCCATTCAGCATCTTCACCTTCTGCATGAACTTTCCTCATAGAGCTGCATTGATTCAATACATCTCTGACAAGATGCTGATTGTTTGGCTTGTGCTTGCTCTGCCCCTGATTTGCTTCCTTGACACTCTCAGCCAATCCAGTGCTTTCCTATGGGGAAGCATTGTGACCGACTGACTCAGTTCAACACTTCTGATGTCATCCAAGCAGGCAGATCGGGGTCAGTCAGCACCAGCAGACTGGAATAAAAGTAAGAACTTACTATAAATAGGTGGGCTAGAGGGGGACTAGATTGTGTTTTTCACACCAGGGTCAGGAATACGTGTTTGTGTTCCTGACCCTATAGGGATCCTTTAACATCGCTTCAAGATTGCAAAGCTTACGGATTAAGATGGCTGTATATTGTAAAGTAATAACATCCTTTCTTGTTTTACTCATCGGATCTAGTTAAGAAAATAGACTTGAATTGTAAAACTAGACACATGCCAAAGGCCATATTTTTAGATTTTAACATTTTAATAATGCTGTATACAGAATGTACTTGTATAAAATAAAGAAACTGTATTGCAGAGTCTAGCTTATAAACCTGGTTTAGACATATAAATGCTTGATGCTCTGTCCCAGAATGTATTCTGGAATTGAGCCATAAACACTGAGTTTTTCGTATGCATTTCACAGAAGCAAGCTGGATGCAAAGTTAGTATAAGAATTTGTCTTTTTTTTTTTTTTTGCACTGTTTAGATTAAAAATTAACATCTGGATCAAATGTTAAAGGAACACTTGTACAAACAATACTTGAGCCACTCCAGGGCTGCACCTTTTCCGTGGAACTCTCTTCCCTCTCTGTTTGACTCTTACCCAGTCTCCACTCCTTCAAAATAATTATTGAAAACTTACTTCTTCAGGAAAGCATGTCAATTAAACTATTAATAGGTTTTCATCCCCACACTCTGACCCCTCAACTGCAACTGTCAAAATAACCTACTAAGCCCTCAGTGAATACTTTTCTAGTAACCTACTTTTACCCTTTGTGTCCTTCTAGCATGCTGCTTCATTAAGCTAAAGTTTGGTGACTTTAGTGTCCCTTTAATATCTAGGCTTTTTGCTAATCCTTTAATTTTTTTTGGAATCGTGTCTCCTAAATATGTCCAACCCTTTCCTGGTAGATCTGTCAACTATAACTGGACACAAGGCAAAACAATGCATTTCTACACAAATCTGAGTACTTGATTATGAATACACTATATATTGGTGTAAAGTTTCTTTAGCAGCATTTTTTCCTCTTTTAGGTTGCTGTTAGTTTGGGTACCCCCATCATGAAAGCAGAATGGATATTTAAAGCTTGGGAAAAAAGGAATGAGCTGTAAGTATGCAGATAGCGGTCATCATGACAGCGCATGCCTAAAACTGTACATGTTCGTTTACCTTAGAGATGACCAACTATAATTAATAGTGTATGCTGTTCAGACTAGAACCTTACCAAAGTAAGATATCCTTTAAAAATAAAGATTATTTTAATGCTGATTTTCAAATCTGTGAGCTGCAAACAAAGAAAAGTAAAGGATTCCACTTAGTTTTTGTTCAATTTGAGGATTTTTCAACAAGTCCACAATCTTTTATACATTAGTCAAACTCGTTATAATTTTACACTCTAAACATCTGACAGATTCTGAAAGGGACATATTTGCTAGCTTTATCAATTATATGAAGAAGTGACTAGGTTTGACAATGTGTTCATAAAACTTTTTTGACTGTTAACAAGAAGATTGTCGAACCTGAATATTGTCCTTTAGCCCTTAAAATTTACATTCCATATACATTATGCCTATGGGTTTAGTTCCCTTCCCCAGCCAGGAAAGGTATCTACATGCCAGCACCTACAATATTATCTGATGTCCAAAATGTGTTTTATTTTAAGAATATATTCTAGAACTAGCTGCATTGTTTTTCTAACTTATTTATTTTTTATATTCTATTACAGTGAATTCAGTGCAACAGATGATGAATTCAAAAATTCTTTTAAAGTTCCTCCCTTCCAGGACTGTGTACTAAGTTTTATTGGATTTTCTGATGAAGAAAGGGTTAGCATGGAAGAAATGACAGAAATGCAAGGTATTGGCATGAGTAAACATGATTTTTTTTTTTTTTTTTTTTTCAGACCCTAGGAATTGCTTGGATCATTCATAAAGCATTACTCCTATATTAACAGGGGAGAGTACATCATTACACTTAGCAGATAATTAGATTTTGAGATCTTTCATTGTTTCCTATCACTTTTGTGTTTTGAAAAGCTTTTTAACAAATGGAAATATATTATTTATACTAAAATAATTTCATATATTGTTTTTCCTGGAGTACAGCTGCAGTACTTGTGGGATGTTCAGGTATAATTGGGACAAGTAGGCATTCTTTAAATTTAAGCACAGTAAAAATGCCTTACTTGTTCTGGTTTTGGATGGACAAGTCTTGTACTACGATCTACTCTGCTGTGGTGTGGCAGACATGGGCTTGTTATTTCCCACCTACGTGTTGGATGAGTCAGGCAGGCCATTAGAGTACAGGAACTCTACAATATTTTTCCGACTTTCACAGGATTCTTTGGCAGGCTATGACCAACCAGGGAGGCAACCTGTCAAGTTGGACATTGCACCTGTGCTCTGTTACTGGAACGCACAACAGTTTTTGGTTTTTTTTTGTGTATTTTTTTTTCTAATTTTTCGCAAGCAAACATAAAAGAAATTGAGGCAATGAGCAGACAATCTAAGAGGTGAACATCTGGGTCTACTCCTGAACTGTCATCTGGGGAATAGTTCACCTGAACTATCATCTGGGGGTTCTGGCTGTTCAGATTCTTCAAACGTATGTTCTGAACAGGAAGCAGGCTTTCCTATGGATCTAGAAAAATTTAAGGAGGTGCTTAAAGTAGTACAGGATGAAGTATCAAAGGGAATAAGAGAGTTTTTCCTATTCATCGCCAGCTTATGGTCCTGATTAACAGTGTGGAAAAATCCTGAAAAGAAAGCTTTTATTTCTAAACAGTTTAAACAACTGTTTAAATTTCAGCAAACATAAGCATGGGGAACACTTCCTAAAGTTGATGTTCCATGTGCACAGCTCTCTGTAATGACCACACTACCCATTAGAGAAGCCACTGTGTTAAAAGGCCCAATAGATAAGAGGAGACACCTCTTGCAGGTAAATTTCAGGCTCAACAGTAGCTAGATCCTAAAGGGTATTGATTTAAGACCTTGAAGTATTTTTTAGGTGAAAGTTGTAAAGCTATTTAAAAATATAAAGTTGGCTAATTAATATCTGTGTGAGATGACAGATGAATAATTAAGGTTGGTTGCAAGGAACATGAGCGCCTTTTCTGGTGCTCTTAAGGCGGTCTGATTAAAATCCTAGTCTAATACTGCCTCCAAGTTTGCACTGTGTGAGCTTCCATCTGAACATTAAGTTACATAGCTGAAGGGAGAATTGTGTACATAAAGTTCAGCCTTCCTCACATTTGAAAGTTATTTGGTTCAGCATTAGATGAACTGATAAAACAAATTTTCTGTACACAAAAGGCACTCAGGAAAGGAGGTTTTTATTTGCACAAGCGTTTCAGCCCTGTTACAAAAGGAGATATAATTACAGAGAAGAAAAGAACTGGTCCTTTTGTAAGTCTAAGGATTTCAAGTCATGGGAAAAGGGTTCTTCTTCCATGTTTAATAAAACCAGAAAATTCTGATACCAGAAGACCAAGACCACAATTCCTCTTCTCCACTTATGCATGTCAAAAGGAAGATGCTTTGCTTTCAGAAACTTGCAAATTCATAAACGCATCATAGTCCCCAAATTCCAGGGTGTATATTCAAGAATATTCCTTGTAGAAAAAAAGACAAGCCCTTCAGACCCATTCTAGATTTAAAGACGGTCAAAAACTGTATTCATCACCAAAGCTTCAGAATGGAAACCATCCTATCAGTAACCCATGTTGCCATCAGATGATTTTATGGCAACTTTAGATCTGAAGGATGCTGATCTCCATGTTCCTATAGCTCAAAGATGGGGGGGGGAGGGGAGGAGTGAGTGAAGATTTGCTATAAAAATGGCAGTTTTACATTTTCATTTTGTGGTTCTTCCATTAGGCCTTTCTAATGACCAAGAATTTTGCAACCATTCTTGCTCCGGTTGCCGCACTTTTAGAGAAAAGTGAATTTTATAGTTCCATATCTGGACGATTGGTTCATCAAGGCAAAATAGTTTTTCCATTTAAAGTATAATTTGAAGGTTACTCTGACGAGACTCGAACATGGTTGGCTCATAAATGTTCATGTATTCCAACTTGAGATTTATCTCTAGTTTTGAATGTCTGTGTGGAACCATATGAACCTCTGGAAGAATGCTCATTGAAACTTCTCACATAAATTGTTTCTGGTAGCTATGGCCAAAAGAGGTTGGAAGAAAATGCAATTTCTGCATCACTTGAATTTACGGATGTCTATGAAGACAAATATTACCAACCTTCTGTCAGAATCCTTCCTTGACCAACGAATCTTGTTTTCATTATCTGGATGTAAAAGAGCATTTTCAGTCTATCTAGCCAGGAATAATGATTGTTGCAATCAAATTATTTTTTCAATAATTACAGACAGCATTTTAAAGGTCTTCAAATATCCAGGGCTTTCATTGGTAGATAGATTACTGAAGCCATTCATATATCGTCTTCTTCCAAAGGTGGTGATCTTTCCTGCAAAGTTAAGGCTCAATGTACTAGTGCAACTTGATCTTCATGGCTGAAATAGCAATGCCATCTCCAGAGGATATCCACAAGATTGCCCACCTGATCCTCTTCTTATTCATTTATTCATTTTTTTTTTTCTAAAAAAACTACATGCTAGTAATCTTAGCCTCAGAGGAAGCTTCATTTGGATGTTAGGTGTTACAGGTGGCGTGTTTTAATTTCCAACTTCAATTCTGGTCAAATTCAGAGGTAATTCCTATTTAGAAGTCTAAAAGGGGTGGGGGTTGTTTATCAAGTGTGTTTACATTTATAGGAGGCCTACTTTTCCCAATTTGTATACCTAAACATCCCTCACAAACTGCAGCTAAATACGAAGAAAAAAATAATTAATAACTACAATTCCTTTTTTTTTTTTTTTTTTTTAAATAAAAATTACCCTGGAATATGATCTTTCTGATATTGGCAGCATAACTATCAAAGCACACTTCTGTGGAATGCCATTCCTTTGTTTTGGCAACTAATTGACACTCATTTGTTTAGTATTCATTGAAAAGTGTCTCTAAATGTAAATCTACTAATATTTTTGTTAAGGTATATATGTGTTATATTTACTTGGAACTCTTGTTTTGTTCACTCTGAAATGAATTTACTAACTGGAACTGTGTAAATACTGTTGTATGACCAAACAGTATAAACTTAGTCTTCAAGTTTGTGTTTGTCTGGTATGTTATACAATGTAAAAGTTAAGGAGTAGCAATTTGGGGATCTGTGGTAGATCCTGCAACACCGATGCGTATTTGAGTAGCTCTGTGAAAGATCCATATTTTTTTTTTTTTTTTGAAGCATCCTTTTAAAAATTGGAGAGATGGCTGATGATAAATGAGCAATTGCAATAGTGAATGGCACACTTATCTAAACTGTTCACCGGAGCAAATAGTCTGCAGCATTAAAGGACCACTCTAGGCACCCAGACCACTTCAGCTTAATGAAGTGGTCTGGGTGCCAGGTCCAGCTAGGTTTAACCCATTTGTTCATAAACATAGCAGTTTCAGAGAAACTGCTATGTTTATGAATGGGTTAAGCCTTCCCCTATTTCCTCTAGTGGCTGTCTCATTGACAGCCACTAGAGGCGCTTGCGTGCTTCTCACTGTGATTTTCACAGTGAGAGCACGCCAGCGTCCATAGGAAAGCATTATGAATGCTTTCCTATGTGGCTGGCTGCGCGCGCAGCTCTTGCCGCGCGTGCGCATTCAGCCCAGGAGGAGGAACGGAGGAGGAGAGCTCCCCGCCCAGCACTGGAAAAAATAAGTTTTTGCATAGCCGGGCGGGAGGGGGACCCTGAGGGTGGGGGCACCCTCAGGGCACTATAGTGCCAGGAAAACGAGTATGTTTTCCTGGCACTATAGTGGTCCTTTAACTCCAACACAGAAGAACCAGGTAATCAATAACTTGCAAAAAGGCATCTTTTCAACTTAGTGGATTGATAAAGGCTCTGCAGAGTTTCAATGTTGCCCAAGAATTCTTCAGTTCAGTCTGATTGCCTTGTCTGGAAATCCATATTTGTCTTAATATTTTCTAATTGCACGATAGTTTTTCCTCAAATGCATGAGAGATCCTCTTGTAACTTGAGATTCCTTTTAATGTAAGAATGAGGTTTGTGACTTTGATACGATGTGCAGTATATAGGAATTAATTATTTTAAAGGGACACTATAGTCACCAGAACTACAGCTTAATTGATCTGATGCATATAATCATTATGTGCAAGCATTTTCATGTAAACACTGGGCTTTCAGAGAAAAGGCAGTGTTTACATTGCCCCTAGGGACACCTCCAAGTGGCTACTCCTCAGATGACCACTGGAGGTGCTTCCTGGCTCAGTGCTGCACAGTTGGCAGCACTGCCGTTAAGAGTCTCCACGCTCTGCATGGGGACGCTGAATTTTCCTTGTGGACATGCATTGATTCAGTGCATCTCTATGAGGAGGTGCTGATTGGCCAACGCTGCATTTGGTTCCGCCCCTTGCCGATTTTTAGACAATCTAGTCCTTTCCCCGTGGGAAATCATTAAATTGGCTAAAAACTGGCAATTCTGATGTCACTGGGTGGGCAGGGCCAGCGCCGGCAGACACGCGAGGCTCTGGAAATGACGCAAGTTTTATTAACTTTTAAGGGGGGCAAGACACCTAAATGGTGGGTTTAGCATTATAGGGTCAGGAATACATGTTTGTGTTCCTTTAAAGACTAGCAGAGTAAAAAAAAATGCAAAATTATTTACACTGTGGTTCTCATTTAATAATATTTGGTGCGTTTAAAAATTTTTTTTAATTGTAACACATCGGGTCAAAGGGGAAATTACTTCCATTTTCAGTCATATGGGCTGAAACGGGTTTATACCATTTGGGAATTGTATAGGTACTAAGAAAAAAACAAAACCTTTTCATCTGCCCAAGTCATAAGTTTTTGAACATGCCTTTGGGGGGGAAAAAAAGGGTATCTGTTTGTTACAGAAGTTTATCGCTGATGTATCATGAACCTTGCTCATATAAAGCAAGATGTGACTTGCCTAGGGTAATCAGTAGAAGAGTGGATGGGTCAGAAATGTCTCTCATGGGGGATTAACCCATTGCACTGCCCATCTGGCACAAATCTTTAAAATTGTTGTGATATGGTAAATTGTGCCAGCCAGGTTTTCTCGTGTTTGGGGTACTATCCGATTGGTGTTGGAGAGGCTATGGTAGTAGAGAAAACTATGCACATGTATGGTGGAAATTCCCCTAACTAGAAGCCCTCTGAAATTGTGTCTAGGCTTGTTTCCACCATAACTGGAGCCTTAATTTGGGTTTGGCCCAACTCCATATATTTCCCCCTATAAAAATGCTATTGAGTTACCGCTTTCTAGCAGCAAGAAAAATTTAGTCCATCTCTGACGAACTACCTCTGCCCTCTCCCTAGTCCATATCATAAGCTGTGGGAACAAGTGTCTCACAACAGGAACAATTACTTGATTTGCTTTGGGATTCTGGAGATTCTATGTTGCGACCTATGGCTGAGATTCTACTTCCCCGTTTCTTGCCTTAGACATCCATCTAGTGTGCTAGCACTACAACTGTTCTTTGTATTCTTTTTCTTGTGTTCAGTCTTCATTCCTTGTGGTGGTTATTAAGGGCTGAAGAGAAAACGAATAACTGTCGAAATGGCTTGACAATCGGTTGTAATAGCATATGTGCCATTATGCTTATTTTTTTTTTTTTTGCATAGCTGTGAAACAAACGGATTTATTGCTTTGTTATGGCACTCTCACAATATTTGTATTGGGAGCCTGTACATTGATGCTAAAATTTGCAATCGGGAAGAAAAAAAAAGTAAATACATTTTTAATTTGAAACATGAATGTTTCATTTAATTGAGATCATTGGGTGATACCATCTAACTAAACTGCTACTATAGCATAGCCATGAATGTGGAAGGACCATCATAGAGATATTTATTAGCAACATGAAGGAAGTATTTATTTTCCTCTTCAGATTTATGACAAAACCTTTTTTATATTGGTTTTTCAGATTGTTTCCTGAAGGATATTGAAATAATCGATCTTCAAAATGTAGACTTGTATTTGCGTTTACAAGCTGCCTTATGTAAAGTAATTCATATAAACGCTGTTCTTTTCCTTTTCACATATATATTTTATTTATATATTTATATATATATATATATGTGTATATGTATATATGTATATATATATGTGTATATGTATATATGTATATATATGTGTGTGTATATATATATATATATATATATATATATATATATATATATATATATATATATATATATGTATGTGTGTTTTTTTTACAACTGTATTTTTATTTCTTTTTTTATTTTATTTTTTCTTCTAATGGGGGATCGGAGAAATCATTGGAATTTTGTACCACAATAAGGCAAGAAAACTACTTGTCTCCAAAGAATCAATTTCTAAATCTGCACAGTGTTACTTTTTAATGGAGGCTGTGTCATTGAAGGATAATTTTAGTATACCAGACTCTTATCAATGTTTATAGTACCTAAGAGTTTTTCATGAAGATTGATGCCTCAGTGGATGCACTTGTCTGACATCCCTGATCTCTATGGAAAAAAATAAAAAAAGATTTTGTTAGCCCCTGGAGGTGCTAAGGCTGCAGTGGCTGAAGCCCATAATGTTTGCTTATGACTGCTTAAAGGAAAGCTGACACACGTTTAGAAAAACACACATTTATGTCTTTGTCACCTGTTTTGGGCATTACAGGGTCTTTGGTTCAGCAATATTTGTTTGCACAAGTACTGGATTATAAAGTAAAGCATTGCATTTCTTGGCATGGTTAGCAAGTTAATACTTTAATCACACTGAAATCACCAACCTAAATTTAAAGTCTTTACTGCATAGACCAGCCACTGCTGGTACTTAGAAGACCATCTTCCTTTTGCATGTGAGAGTCTCCACTGAGTGACAGTCTGAGTTGTGCATGCATTCTGGTCATTTTGCTTAAACTATTGTGACAATTCACTGTAAACCTGAGATGGGGAATGTAGTGAATTGGAAGCATTCTTTTGTTACCCATTTCAGAAGGCTTTTGTGAGGTTATAGTGGAAGGTTTAGTAACTCTGGAGATGGATCAGCAGGATAGGCATTGTAACCAATTCAATTAGATGAAATGGTTATAGTGCCTATAGTTAATGCTGTACTTTAGTTGCCGTCATCTCAGACATGACCATTCCATTTTGTGTTTACTGCTCAGTGGTCGTTTTTAGGCACACCATTGTTGCATTTATCCAGGATTAGAAGCACCTTTACTTTTTTTATGAATTGCAAATTTATAACTGATTAATACTGTATCTTGCTCAGTTGAGTATTTTAACTGTTCATTGAAATCTATTGTCATATACTTTATGCTCTGTATGCCACATATATGATGATCTTACTACAAGTACCTAACCTATTTGTTCTAAATTTTTAGGTGGGCAGGTCTTACCTGTTGGCAATGAAAAATGCACTCATCTGGTAGTTGAAGAAAGCTCTGTGAAAGAGTTACCTTTTGAGCCTCCTAAAAAGCTATATGTCGTAAAACAAGAGGTAAACCTACAAACTGCATCTTCAATTTGTCTTTCTTCACACAAATTGCAAATGTACTAATAATCCTATTTTCATTTTTTAATAGTGGTTTTGGGGAAGTATACAGATGGATGCCAGAGCAGGAGAAACAATGTACCTCTTTGAAAAGGTATGTCGTGGTGTGTTTTTAATTTAATTTTATTTTTTTACCTTTTTGTTATACTTTTTCTGAATATGGCTTTCCTTTCAGCCTGACAGCCCAGCTCTTAAAAAGTCTGTGTCCCTACTTTCGTTGAACACCCCAAACAGCAATCGAAAGAAACGCCGCTTAAAGGATACTTTAGCACACATAACAAGAGATACTGATATATCGCCATTTCCACCTCGCAAACGTCCTTCAGGTGACCATTCATTGTCTATAGGATCACTGCTTGATATCTCAAACACACCAGATTCGGCAAAGTCCTACTCAGGTAACTTGGCTTCTGTTAAGTGTGTATGTGTGTGGATGGGGGGGTCTTTTTGGGTTTTTCTGATTTTTATTAACGTAATTAGGCTTTGGGGATGTGTGATTTTATTTAAAAAAAAAAAAAAAGTCATGGTTAGAAAAGTGATGCAAAGTCTTTAATATAATGTAATTAATCTCTACATTAGAAGGAAAAGCACAAAATAGAACATATATATAAAAAAAATTTTTCACCACAATGCTGATAATTCAAATCCATATAATCTAAAACAGAGCTCTGATATGTCAGAGTACATGCTTGTTATGGGACTCTGAAAGGATATGTTATTTGTTGACAATAATCAGATCCTTGCGTTTTTGGGCTATGCTTTGTGTGCAGGCCTGTAGCAAAATTATATTTGGAATTGCCCAATTACAAGCAGCAGCACTCCACACAAAATCCATTAGACACTTGATATGATTTCACTATATATTCATATTTGTATTTATCATTTGCATAGAAGGCAGTCTATTTGATTCTATTAACCTCTTCCTTTGTCGTTGATTTTACCAAGCTTTTGTTTTTTTGTGTGGACTTTTAATTTGTATTTATATTATATATTTTTTTTTTCTATCTTATTTGCCTCAGGAGCAATTGCCTTCAAGTTTTAAGTTTAATGATTCTGAAAATTAAATAGAGTATAGGGTATTGATTCCTAGAAACAAAGTTGCAACATTTTGCCTGGCATTATAGAAAGTCATATGATTTTTAAATATGCCACAAACTACATGTAGCCTTGCTGTAAATACTTGTGGTACCATTCGATGGAGAAATGCACTACATAGCTAAAATATCAAGTTGGCTCGCTGGGGTGTTACTTGGTGGGGAAAAAGACAAAGGGCTTCAGTCCAAGGGTATATGTTATGCCCCCTGCAACATATATTAACCTTTTTGTAATTCCCAAAATCTAAATCATGTTTTATGAATTACTTTGACACCAAAATCTTTGTGTGTATATATGTGTGTATGCTTATTAACTCCACAGCTGCTATTTTAACCCGCAGCCTTCGCTCCAAGATTCTCCATTAAGCCTGCATCCACAGCAATCCTGCCACACTTTGCTGTATAATCAACTCCACAGACAGTGCAATAAAGTGGCACTTTAGCAAATTATGCAACTGGAGGTTATATTTATTATAGTCTGTGGGACAGAATCTGTTCTCTCTATAGAGTCTGTAATATTATAGACTGTGGGACAGAATCTCCACAAAAATTGAGTCACTGCTAAGTGTTTGAGTGTCATTTAGTTCCAGACCAGTAGTTTGCCCTCCTTGCAAAGCTCACAGCAAGTGCAGACCACTTTAAGCACTCCTGATTCTGGTGCTCCCTAAATAACTTGAAGTACAGCCACCGGGTTCCCCAGTTTGACTCGAACTCATCACTTTGCAATTGGACTGCAAGGAGCGATTAGTGTTCTGCACCCACTAGAGGCGCAACCATGTGCGCCTCTACTGGACCTTCAGGAAAGTAAGCTGAATAGGGGCTAAATAGAGAGCATCTCTACAGATATATATAATGCAGAGCTTGAATAGACCACTTATCCACACATTACGAACAGTCAACCTGCGCTACACCACACTCATTATACACAGCCAGCTTAAACACATGATTTGAGTGTGCATAGAGATGAGACACTGTCATGGACTCTAAGCAGGAAGCCACATTCTATTAAATTGAAATAATTGTGTTTTTGGTGAAGTAAATTCTCATGAAAATTAGATTGGGTTACTGCTTTAGATGTGTTAACTTTCATACCTCCTGTCATGTTTAGTAGTGAGGCACAAATAAGGTTCTTATTTCAGTTGTAACAAGAGTTTGTATATTTATAGAAGACTTTTTTTCTTCTTTCTTTTTTTTTTTCTTAAACAAAATTTTATAAAGTGATGTTATGCCAATGTAATTGTCAAAGCATTTATTTGAACATTTAGAACTTGCTTTTCAGACACTCCAAAGACTGGTGCAAAATCATCTAAGTTTCACACCCCTGCTCCTCAAAAACAGTCAGCAAGGTGGCAGGTTGCTATGGAATTATATCAGACTGAGAGCAATTATGTTGACATTCTCACTACAATAGTACAGGTAAAATGTTTAGTATTAAAAATAAATGTCATATAGCAGTGTAAAACTCAGATTTTAAGTGTTTGCCATAAATAATATTGCTAACAATGAGAACTTTTTAATCAATTTTGATTTTTGTTGATTTTTGAGATTAATATATTAAAGTCAATCTTCAATAGAAAAGAGAACCTTATTAACTCTACAATATATTTTCAGCTTTTTCAAATTCCATTAGAAAAAGAAGGGCAAGTTGGAGGGCCAATCCTTGCTCAAGAAGAAATCAAGACTATATTTGGTAGTATACCAGATATTCTTGATGTGCACACTAAAATGAAGGTACTTCCTCCTCTTCTCACCTCCCCCCTCCAATTTGTATGTTTTGTTTTTTGTTTGGTCATGATTTTTTTTTTTAATACATATTGGGGGATTGGGATGGTAATTACTTTTGATGGTTTTTTCAGAGTGACTTGGAAAAACTAATGATGGAGTGGACAGAAAGCAAAAGTATTGGTGATGTCATTCTTGCCTATGTGAGTAGTTTTTCTTATTTATTTTTTTTTCTTCAACAATGTTTCTCCAATCTAAAAGAACAGACAAACTAAGAGGCCAGTTTTTAATGCAAGGATGATCTGTAGATGACTGCTCATTATGTACAGAGCCATACAATAGGCGTCATCAAAAATGCATCTTGCTCTAAAATACTATGTTTTTAAAAATTGTGTAACTTGGAGACTGACACATAAATATAGAATATCTTTCATAAATTCAGATTGAAATATAATTTTATTGAAATTAATGCATTTAGAAGTTAGACATGAACACAGGGCTTACAATATGAATGCCTGCTCAAGTAGTAGCCTACTCGGAAAATGAGAAACTCTACGTGCCAGGGCTAAATTTTCTCTCTAGTGGCATATTATGATGCAATTCCAAAATGACTACTATTGCTTTCAAAAACTGTGTTCCTGACCCTATAGTGCTCCTTTAAACTGACAAACATGTATTCCTGACCCTATAGTGTTAAAACCACTATCTAGCCCCCTTGGCCCCCTTTGCCTCTCTAAAGATAGTAAAATCTTACTTGTATTCAAGTATGAAGCTGCTGCCTCTGCCTGTGAATATCATCAGAAGTGGTGGCCTGATCCAATCACAATGCTTCCCCATAGGATTGGCTGAGACTGACAAGGAGGCAGATCAGGGGCAGAGCCAGCACAATTAAAACAGCCCTGGCCAAACAGCATCTCCTCAGATGAATTGAATCAATGAATCTCCTATGAGGAAAGTTCATTGTCTGCATGCAGAGGGAGGAGACACTGAATGTTTGGCTGCATATTAGGCAGCCATGGCCCAGGAAGGATCTCTAACAGCCATCTGAGGTGTGGCTGGTGAAGTTATCACTAGGCTGTAATGTAAACCGATCATTTTCTCTGTAAAGACAGTGTTTACAGCAAAAAGCCTGAAGGTAATGATTCTACTCACCAGAACAAATTCAATAAGCTGTAGTTCTGGTGACTATAGTGTCCTTTTAAGCAGCATGTACATCTAAACCGTTTTATTTAGGTGTATATGTCTGGCCATATTATAATTTTTTTTAACTGTAATTTCTGTGACCGTTCCACTTTAACATCAAATAAAGCTTTGTATTTTTCAGTCAGTGTTATCACATTTATTAATACGAACTGGTGTTCTCCAAAATATTAATACAATAATGTATTGTATGCTTCATAGATCGAACTAGTAACCATTGTAATTCCACTAGTAAACTGTTTGGGGTCCACTAATCCATCCCTCATCTAAAACCAAGAAACTAGAATTTTATATAAAGCTATGTAAAACTATGAGCAGGAAGAAAATCCTTGGTGCATTAAAAGCCCAGGTAATTGATCACACATTCTTTGGGAACTTGCTAAATTTAAATGTGGCATTTTTATATGAAGTCCTTGATCATAAAGGTTAGGTGCTGGTATTTGGTGAGTCTCTAGTGTAGTTATTTTGTTTTTGCCAACAGAAGTCTGCATTCAGTTTATATTTGTAAATAAAAAATAACTTTTTCATATTTCTAAATATTTGAAAGTGTTCTTTTTTTTTTCTCTTTACTCTCTTTAAAAGAAGTAACACATACTGTCATGTTTGATCTTAAACAATCTGTCTTTTCAGTCTAAAGACCTGGTGAAAACATACCCACCTTTTGTAAACTTTTTTGAAATGAGTAAGGAGACCATCATACAGTGTGAAAAACAGAAGCCAAGATTTCATGCTTTTCTTAAGGTATGCCATTGATACATTTTGTTATAAAGTAGCCATTTGGCTATTAATGGTCAGGGGCTTTAATGCACTACTATTTAAAGGGGAGTTTGAACCAAAAGCGATGGTTTTAATAAAACTTTTTTTTTTATTATTGGAGTGACTTATGCTGACACAAGCTCCCCTGTTCCAGGCTGCTAATAACGATGCCCGTAGTAACTCTGCATACAGATGCAAAACATGACCACAATCAAATGTTTTCTAGTGCATAATAGGAATGCAGGCATTTGTAACTTTTCTAGTTTGCCACACATCACCAGCGCCAGTTTCTGCATTCAGGACTTAAATGCTGTACTCCATCAGATTAAAATTGTCCTTTATTCAAAAATAATTAATTTGAAGACCTGATCTGAGCAATTGCCATGTGTGGTACGAAACTCATTAGTGTTTGTGGCCGCTCCTCGCACATTATGCCCAAATATCTAAGTTTGCTTTTCAATAAAGTACTGATTTTAATCAGGTGATGGGATGCAGCATTTAAAGGGTTGCTTCAACCACCATGACCACTTCAGTGATTTGAAGTGGATATTGTGGTAGTATGTATGTGCAGTGTTTCTGCTTGATACACTGCACATATGGAGTTACTCATTTATTTTTTCATTTTTTTTTTTTTTTAACTTTATTTTTGTTGTGCAAAAGTTAACACATGAGCTTGTGCTGTCAGAACTGCCTTAGCAAACTTAGCAATAACACAGTACAAAACATTGTCATGGCACTCAGAGAAAACACACAATTTTTAGGATTAAGATTAAATTACACGGTGCATGTAGCAGAAATGTGAGAGATAAGATGAGAAAACATAGAAAGCACATATCTGCACACTCAAACATTTTAACTTTACCACTGGTTGTTGAAATACATAGACCAGATACTCCAGGCTGTTGATTTGGCTGGGGGATAAGATTAAAACAAAGCAAATAGACTAAATGTGAACAGTACATCTAACAACTGGCATGGTGAATAAGTAAGCCCCAACTCAAGGCCCAAGGTGAGGGCTCTGGAATATGTACAGGAGGGACTGTCAGCCTATGCCTAAATTGGGCATCATTGTAATATACTTGCTGTGTCCATTATCAATATTGCAGCCCATATAAGCATCCCCTCATGGCACCTTTTTGTTCGCTAGCCAATCTGTGTGTCTTGATCCTAAGGGTATCCAGTGCCACAGACCCGCTTTTCCGTGCCCTCATGTTCTGCTCTCGAGGCATGTTTAGCCGGACGTCGTCTCGCAGAGGCGTCAACGAGGTGCACTCACCCGGTTAGAGATCGCCCACTTCTCCAGTCACCGGACGCACCAGGCTGCAGAGCCAGAGCAACACAATTCTGACGGTCGGTCTGCAGCTTTGTGTCACTGTTTGTGTCGCTTTTAAGCAATTTTGCCTTAATTAGTGGTTTAGAAGGCCAGAGCTGTGATAAACCACGTCTGGACATCTTGAGTGTAAGGCCCCGCCTCCTCATATTGAGTTATTTTTAATTGTGTGATGGGGGCTAGTTGAACCCTGAACACATCACATCAGACGGAGGCGTGTAAGTCGGCGCCAGAAGCTTAATCTGCCACTGGGTGTCAGGTAAGTAAAACTTTATTATACCACTTATTCTGCAAACTGATGGGGGACTATATTAATAGTGCCCATTAAGGGTTCATTACATTTTTAATTTTTTTTTCTTCTTGAATAGCTTCTCTTATTGCACATTTTTTTTTTTTTTACTTAGACATTCTTCTACCCTCTTAATTGCTTGCTAGAGAAAGCTTGATTAGGGATTTATAAACAAAGTGATTAACTTTAACCAGAAAACTGGGATAAAGGTTAGATTTTACTATATTTCGGGTGATAATGGGGAAGGGGGCTAAATGGTGTTCTTAACACTATAGGATCAGGAATACATGTTTATGTTCCTAACCCTATAGTGTTGCTTTAAGATTTATTTATTTTATTTTGCACTAGTGGTGTTTTAGGCAATGTGACTGCTGCAAGTTGCGGAGTAAAGTGGCTACCAAATTTTGGTTGATTAGTTGGATAATACCCATATCACCTGTGTCTGAGTACAATATGGAAATTGATATTTTGTTCAGTTTTAACATTTTATTTAGGTTTACAATTAAAATGTTAGACGGTGTGAATCTATATATGTTTTTCTTTTCTTTTTAGATTAATCAGGCCAAGCAAGAATGTGGACGACAAACTTTAGTCGAGCTATTAATTCGACCTGTTCAAAGGTTGCCAAGCGTTGCTCTTCTTCTCACTGGTAACTTAGCATTTTCCAGTCATATTATATTAATGTAAAAATAAATCTGTACAACTGATATGTAATGGTGCATGGTACAAGGGAAGATTAACTTTGTTTTAATTATAACTTTTGTAGACCTAAAAAAGCATACATCTGATGATAACCCAGATAAGATTATGCTGGAGAAAGCTATTGACTCGTTAAGAGAAGTCATGACGTAAGTAACCATTTTAAGTAACCATATGTCTAGAAGACACTTTTTTTTTTTTTTTTTTTTTTTAAACCCCTTAAGGACCAAACTTCTGGAATAAAAGGGAATCATGACATGTCACACATGTCATGTGTCCTTAAGGGGTTAAATACATTTCACATTTTAAGATATGAAACATGGAAACATTTCAGGGATTCTTACATTCTTTTATCCGAGGTCCAAGTGAGATGATTTTTGTTTGAAGCAGTCGTCAAGCATATTGGCCTTCTCAAATGAGGACTATGAATAGCCTCCTAATGGCAATTTTGTCGTCATTAGGCCCATTATAAGCTGAAGATTAACGTGGAAAACAAGGATTGACATCTCCTATTTTTAAATATTAGTGAGATTAATGCCTTCTGTCTGTGTAGCACTTTCATGACAAGTCCCCACTTGTCCTTATGTATAACTTTGAAATAAAGCATTTTTATTCATAAAGAGGGGTGCAACTTAAAGGACCACTATAGTGCCAGGAAAACATACTCGTTTTCCTGGCACTATAGTGCCCTGAGGGTGCCCCCACCCTCAGGGTCCCCCTGCCTCCCGGCTCTGGGGGAAAGGGGTAAAAACTTACCTTTTTCCAGCGCCGGGCGGGGAGCTCCCCTCCTCCGATCCTCCTCCTGGGCTGAATGCGCACGCGCGGCAAGAGCTGCGCGCGCATTCAGCCCGTCGCATAGGAAAGCATTTACAATGCTTTCCTATGGACGCTTGCGTGCTCTCACTGTGAAAATCACAGTGAGAAGCACGCAAGCGCCTCTAGTGGCTGCCAATGAGACAGCCACTAGAGGCTTTGGGGGAAGGCTTAACCCATTCATAAACATAGCAGTTTCTCTGAAACTGCTATGTTTATAAAAAAAATGGGTTAACCCTAGAAGGACCTGGCACCCAGACCACTTCATTAAGCTGAAGTGGTCTGGGTGCCTAGAGTGGTCCTTTAAGTTGGATTTGGGACATGCTAACATTCATTGAAAAGAAAAAGAGCTGCTTTAAGTTTGCTATATTTAACTATATGATGTATACTTGACTAGCTGCCTTATGTGAAGTATATGGCTTGCATGCTGACTTAATGCATTTTTATTTATCTTAAAGAATAATGCCTTTTGTACTGCATGTTGGACTTTTTGCCTAATTTGTCACTTAATGTGTGTGTATTAGATCCTTGCCTATTTAACCCCTTAAGGACACATGACGTGTGACATGTCATGATTCCATTTTATTCCAGAAGTTTGGTCCTTAAGGGGTTAAATGAAATGATTCCACCGATCATAGCCTCTCTGAAATGTTGTTTTTCTCCCTGTATACTGGATTTAAATTGCATGTACACTTAAATTGCTATACTACATATGTCTCGTACCATTTTCAATACTCTTAGTGCAAGCAATAGTTGCAGAATGAACAAATTACATAAACTTGTAGTCTAATCTATGCAACCATTAAAAATAAATTATTCTATATGAGCAATATTTTGTTCTTACTGCAATCTATTGTTTTGCTGCTCTTTCTCCTTTTATTATGGAGTGGGATCAACTATTTTGCCGTTATGAAAGAGGATAAATTGTTAAATGTCCAATTTAGAACATATTTAATTTCTAACCTACAGTCATATTAATGAAGATAAAAGGAAAACTGAGGGACAGAGGCAAATTTTTGAAGTGGTTTATGAGGTGGATGGCTGTCCAGTAAGTATTTCATATCGGTCACATCTATATCTTGTTACATATATGATATGGTTTCAAGTCTAAATGGTAGTTTAATTGTTGTAAAGCGGCTCTGTCACTTTCCAGGGTTTTAGCTATTTTTGCAGTGACTGTTTTGCTTGGTGTCCACTGGTGTAAGTGAAGCTGAATTTTACTCATATGAACGTGTCCCTTGCAGCTGCCGCCATGTTCTCTTTAGTTCCTGGCACTTCATCTGCCAGGAGCCCGGGGCAGGAGTGGTCCATCCCTGGTGACCTATGGTATGGGGGTTAAACACCTGGCAGCAGACTAGTAGGAGATGGACACAGTATACCCTGCAAAAATACGACTTATCTGTGTTCATTTACTAATCTCAAACTGATTTAAATGCAATTTAGAGGAAACTGAACTAATGAAAGAGAGCCTTAGCTGCTCTGTAGTGGTCAAGGTAGAATTTAAGTTAATTTGTGCTATTTAGCAAGTGAACAGGGAGTCCATCGGACCCAGTCGACACGTTGTGGGGTGACTGGGGGAGATCAGTAAAACAGGCGTCACTTATAAAGTATAGTTACTTTCGATAATCAGTCTATATTTGTAGATAGTAGTCACTCTGGTGTATTTAAAATGTTTACACTTTTCATTTAATCTATTACGAACATTGCCCATATCTGCTGGTTGTCTGCTGATGTTACTTGTTCTGTGCATTTTTTCCAAATGTGTTTTATTTAATTTTTTTAAACCAGCTTCACCATTTCACCATTTTCAAACCCTTAATGAAAATTCGTATTAAAAAACAGCCACTTCTATAATGAGGTATTGACACTTATTTAAGTGGTAATTCATTTAAACTTAACCTGCATTTGCGTTATTTCTTTAAACTGTTTTATGGAAATGTTTTCTGATAATGTTCTCACTTTAAAGAATAGTATAGCTATTAGACTTAATTTACACCCACCTACTCCCCCCATCCCTCCCCCCCCACACACCCACTGTTAATATTTTTATGATAGCTGATAGCCAAGGACAAATGGGAGAGATCTGAGCTTATGCCTTTAAACACAGCTCAGCTTAAAATATTACTTAACTATTTTCCCATATATCTCCCTTAAACTGATTTGAAACACAAAAAAGGAGTGCACATTTTGATATCTAGTGCTGCTAAAAACGATGTAGTTGAATCTTGTATACTTTATGTATAGACATTCATTCTGCTTATCTATTTACTAGATCTAATCCGTTTTAATTTGTGGAAATGCAATTGAATTCTGGTGCCATTTAACATCCTATATTATAGGCAAATCTGTTATCCTCTCATCGCATGCTAGTACAGAGAGTGGAAACCATTGCTCTTGGTGATGAACTTTGTGACCGCGGAGAACAAGTTACTCTTTTCCTATTTAATGACTGTCTTGAGGTAAGGCTCTATTCAATTTAATATATGAACATGTTTGGCAATCGTGGGTTACTATGAGTTTAAATGTAAAACAAGCTAGGTCCTTGACCTAGATCAGATTGCATGTAGTTGGATTGATCTCCTTGGTTTCACCTTCAAGGTATTCTTTAGTAAACTGTGTTGCTAAATGTAAACAAACCGTTGTGCTTCCTGAAAACAAATTATAGTAAGGTTCTGTTTTTATGGTCATAGCTTGTGAAAACATTAGTTTGAAAGGAAAACTGAAAACCACAATACCCATTTTGTCTAAATAAAAGGAAAACTCATCTCAATGAAGTGGTCTGGGAGCCATGTGTCCCACTCCCTCCCTTTAACCCTTCAATTGAAAACATTGCTGTTATGCATTGTTAAACTGCCTCTGGCGGCTGTCAGTATTTTAAAATAGTAGTGTAAAACTCTGCCACCTGGTAACTGGATATCATCTGATTGACATGACATTTTGTGGAGCATATGCACTAGCCTCTCAATGCTTTCCTGTGGGCCAAATTGCTGATTTGAGCAAAATAGGTGGAGCGACAGAGGAGACCGGTGAAGGTGGGGGAAAAAAAGTACCGTATTTTTCGCTCCATAAGACGCACCTAGTTTTTAGAGGAGGAAACCCAGAAAAAAAAAATACTCTGAACAAACTGTCCCATAGTATTTCTTAACACCCCCCCGTCCCATAGTGTTCCTTACCACCCACTCCCCTCCCCTGTCCCATAGGGATTTTTAACCCCCCCTCCCCTGTCCCATAGTGTTTAACCCCCTCCCCTCGTCCCATAGTGTTTTCCCCCTCCCCTCGTCCCATAGTGTTTTCCCCCTCCCCTCGTCCCATAGTGTTTTCCCCCTCCCCTCGTCCCCATGGTTTGACCCCTCCCCTGCAGTCCCAGGTGTTCCCCCCTCCTGGGTCCCATAGTGTTTCCCCCTCCCTCGTCCATGGTGAACCCCCCCTTCCTGATCCATAGTGTTTCCCCCCTCCTGGATCCCATGAGTGTTTCCCCCCCTCCCTCGTCCCATAGGTGTTTCCCCCCTCCTCGTCCCATGGTGTTTCCCCACTCCTAAGTCCCATGGTGTTTCCCCCCTCCTGGAGTCCCATGAGTGAACCCCCCCCTCCTGTTCCATGGTGTTTCCCCCTCCCCTGGGTCCCATGGTGTTTCCCCCCCTCCTGGAGTCCCATGGTGTTTCCCCCCTCCTCGTCCCATAGTGTTCCCCTCCTGGTCCATAGTGTTTCCCCCCCTCCTCGTCCACATAGTGTTTCCCTCCTAGTCCCATAGTGTTTCCCCTCCCTCGTCCCATGGTGTTTCCCTCCTGGGTCCATGGTGTTTCCCCTCCCTCGTCCCGCTGGTGTTCCCCCCCCTCCTGGATCCCATGGTGTTCCCCCTCCTGGGTCCCATGGTGTTTCCCCCCCTCCTGGGTCCATGGTGTTTCCCCCCACTCCTGGTCCATGTGTTTCCCCCACTCCCGTCCCATGTGTGTTTCCCCCCCCTCCCTCGTCCCATGTTGTGTTTCCCCCTCCCTGGGCCATGTGTGTTTCCCCTGGGTCCCATATTGTGTTTCCCCTCCTGGTGTATTTGGCAGGTTCCCCCCTCCCACCTCGTCCCATATTGTGGGTTCCCCCTCCCCTAGTCCCATTGGGTCCCCCCCTCTCCGGAGTGCGCACTTCCTTTCGTTCCGGACGGAAACTGAAATTTAAGTTCTTGTACTGCGGTGCACGCTTTTCTGCCAGCCCACACTACAACACAGGTAAGTAAAGCTTCACATTCGCTCCATAAGACAGACATTTCCCCTCAGTTTTGAGGGGGAAAAAGTGCATCTTATGGAGCGAAAAATACAGTAAGTAACCATTTAATGTTAAAACCCTGGCAGTGCTGGCCTTGTCATCTAAGGATGACCAGGGCACAATAGCTTTGGTAATACAAATATGTATTCCTAATGCTATAGTGTTCCTTTAATTAACATTGTCTTATGTCAATGCATCTTCATTTAAGTATTATACAATCTTCTAGACCAAGGGTGTTGAATTGTAACCCAAGAAGCCTCTGTTGAACTGGACGGCCCATACATCTTTACTAGCGCTTCTATTTCCTGTTCTTGGTTAATATACAAATCTGACTGAAACTGCTGTATTTCCCCATACTCTGCCTAGGTCAGTGTGTCTAGTATTGCTGCACATTTCTCTCTTCCTAAGACTCTGCAACCAAACACACTTTGTAGGTACACATCTTTCATTTAACTTGTGTTCCGTGTTACTTTTCCATTTTTAAGTTTTTAGACAAGGCTGTGAAAGCAATCTGTATAATGAAGTTTAAAACCACCTACAACTCCCTTCTAGTGCTTATATGCATTGGGCTCACTGGAGTTGAGTCTGCCCCAATATGGACATCCTATCGATATTCCTAGATTTGAAGAATGCTTTCTATATTACTACAACTGGATTTTCTTTCTATATTAACAAGGCGATAAGAATGAAAGCTATTTTATCAAAATATCAAAATTTACAGTTTTTTTTCCTCGAGCCTAGGATGTGGGTTGTGGGAACTATTAAAATAGAGAGAACCTTTGACATCAGCATGTTTCTTATAAGTATTGGTGACTACCCTTCCCTTTTCTCTCCTCTCAAAAATAAACCAAAAAATAAAGTTCACAGTACCAACTGAAGGACAGCCCAAAACTATTATATAACCATGAGACACAGTTCCTAATATCTTCCATATCCCCCTCCCATACTATTAAAATTTTGTTAAGCAAGTGGTGATAGGTCAGGTTTGGGGATTGAATAAAATAATTGTTTTTTTAAATATGTAGAATTATTTTAATTTTTTTTAATTTATACATTGTAATAAAGGGAATATATCTTTCTAGATATGTTTGTATGCTGTTCAGAACATCATTTTAAAACTTTTTTAACCCCTTAAGGACACATGACATGTGACATGTCATGATTCCCTTTTATTCCAGAAGTTTGGTCCTTAAGGGGTTAAATAAGCAGTTATTTAATGTTTTGTTTTATTGTTTTATGCATGTTTAATAGTTATTCACTAATGCTTATTTTTGCAATTGTGTATACATTTAAGAAATATAGTAAGCGCTCAACTCCGGTAGGTAATCCCTTGTGTTATAAACATGCACTATTTAAAGCAGGGTGAAAGAGTGGGTTAGAATCCTTGTTACCATATGAAGATTATACTTACAAATAGAAAAAAACCCACAGCTCACCATTTCATGCAAACATATTTATTTAATTAGATACAATATATCATGTCATAAGTATACAATCAAAAGTGCAATAAAGATAAAGTGCAAAGTATCCACACCTTAAAGGACCACTATAGTGTCAGGAAAACATACTTTTTCCTGGCACTATATAATCCTTAGGTCCCCCCACCCTCAGAGCCCCTGCTGGGCTGAAGGGGTTAAAACCCACTTACCTTTATCCAGCGCTGGTGACCTCTCCTCTCCCTCCGACGTCTGCTCCAGAGTGGAGCCGAATGCGCATGCATGGCCAGAAATGCACGCGCATTTAAACCACCCATAGCAAATGCAATTTTCGCATTGAGCGTCGGGGAAGAGCCTCTTGCAGCTGTCAGGAAGAAAGCCACTAGAAGCTGGATTAACCCTGAAATGCAGGGTTAAAGCCTGGGGGACCTGGCACCCAGATCACTTCATTGAGCTGAAGTGGTCTGGGTGACTAGTGGTCCTTTAATCCACATAAAGTGCATTCTAAACTATATACTGACCTAGGGCTGGAGACAAAAATATCCCAACATTACGGCCATTCTCTGTTATAAAGCTATGCCATGCTTATGCTGTGCTCTTCCACTTCCCGCCCCAATGTGAAGGTCGGAGGTGATTTCTCTTACCTTTATTCCCTTGCAGTGCCGGTCTCCGTGGCTGTCCCACCTCCTTGGTTTATATTACCAAGATTAATGATCTCTGCCAATCCAATGCTTTCCTCTAGACAAGAATTGAGGCTAGTGCCCATTCTCAACAAAACACCATGTTGTAGCAACCAGACTGTCTCAGAATTCAGCCATTTCTATTAAATGGTTTCAAAGCGGCAATTTCAGAGGAATCTCCTCTAGTACCGATCAGGGACAGGCACTAGAGGCATTTGAACACTGCAGTGTTTAAGCAGACTGGGACATAGCACCCAGACCACTTAATTTAAGTGAAGTGGTCAGGGTGCCTGAAGTGTTCCTTTAACTTTATGGATTTATGATAAAGTGCACATTTTATCAGTTATTTTAATGAGCTGGGTGGTGGACCGCCTAACACCCCATCTGGGTGCCTCTGCTAATCGCTGCTTCCTAGTGCTTACCGAGTACCACAAGCACTGCACCAGACCCCATCAGCACCATAGTTCTCCTTTCCAGCGTTACATCTTGGCTGGGGTCTCGCCGTCCTCCACCCACCCTGGAGCCAAGACTAGGATCCAGCTTACAGTGGGCAGACCTCTCCTATTCCAGAGTGTGTAGCAGACTGCTCTTTCAAGAGCAAGTGATTATAACCTAGAGGAGTATAGTGATATAACAATCCCCAGGGTAGATACAGCCGTTTCCCCCACACATGAGCTCTATGTTGAGGGTAAGCAGGAACTGAATTTAATGGTACCACACTTGGTCTTTTATGACAATACCCATGCAAGGGACACTCCCCCCTGGACCTGAGAATAAACCACAGCAGAAACAAATACACGATTACATTGACTTTCAGATCCAGGTCACTGTACCTGGGAGATAAACGAGTCAAGTACTGTATTAACTCCATTATCTCCAGACACACACATTTTTATTAAACCCCCAAAATACCTTTAAAACATACAAAACCCCCACAAAAGTTACATCCACTGATAGCCCCAATCTGCATGAACAACATATCCAAAAATCACCTAGATTGGTTCAGGAATTTCCTGGAAGTCATAGTTTTGGCCGACCGCATGCATGGTCCCATGCCCAAAACAGTTCCATAGAATCGCGGCTAAGTGCCGAAAATAGTTCCAGGGCATGCAGTCCCCCTGAAGTCTATTCATGTGAAGGGAGGGAGCCAGGGAGCTAGCGTTCGGTTCTATGGAAAGTGCTGAACCAGGTGGAATAAAATATGGTCTTTAAAGTCATTGACCTAGCCCATAGTGTTTTGGCAGGAACCACAGACAAAATTTGGGATACGGCTGTATAATCTATAGAGAGAACATATAAAGAAAAAACACAATAGTGTAATACAATATATACAGTGAATCTTGCGCTTTAAATGAATGCACTCACAAGATGATGAAAAAGAGCTTTCATAAGGTGAACAAGCAGGCCCCTCCAAAAGCCCATGGAGAGGTTCTGTTCACCACAAGCTGTATTGTGGTTCTATTAAAATGGGTAATTAGCCCCTGTCAGGGTTTTTCTTTTTTCTATGTGTAATAAGTTGTAAGCCTATCTTATATATTCGTGCTACCTTTTAAAGGCACACTATAGGCACCCAGTTCACTTCAGCTAATTGAAGTCGTCGGGGTGTACAGTCTCTATAGCTTAGTGCTGCAGTGTTAAAAATTTCAGTTCCAGGGAATCTGCAATGTTCATATTGCAGCACTAAGTCTGTCTCCAGAGACTGTCTTCCAGACAGCCACTGGCGGCGCTTCCTGCATCCAAACGTCCAGCGGTATCTGGCGCTGGATGTCCTCACGCTATGCATGAGGAAATCCAGCATTGATTCGATGCTTTCCTTTGGGGAGGACCAATGCGCGCGGCCCTGCATGCGTGTTGGCGCCCACTCGTTACTGGACGGAGGAGGCAGCGGAGCTGCGACTCTGCTTCTAGGGACATCAGCGCTTGGATAAGGCAAGTAAAGAAACCCTTTTAATAGTGTAACCGCTGGCGGTTCCCTTATTTACCACTATAATGTCTTAAAGCATAGAACTTAGTAGGGCTAACCATACAGATATCTTAGCCATAATTTTATATAGTTAGTAAGAGATCCTCTATTTACCATATATAAATAATTGAGAATACAATATAAAATAAGGATTGTCTTGGAAGCAAGATTGTCTTTTGGATATTTATTATATAAAAATATAAAATCCATTATAGCAGAGTTTATAAGATTTAAATTACATGCTTGCAAATATCATTAATCGGTTAACATACCCTTCTGAACATGTCATCATGTCAGCCTCTCTGTCATTTTAAGATGGAGCAGCGTCTGTCTCCAAGTCTCTCCTCTGTGTCTTAACATTTAAAAGTACACCTATTTATACCTTAGGTGTCTCCATTTAGGTTACTGTAGTTCAAATATGAAAAAGTAACACTTCTTTTACTTTATTCAATTTAGGTCCTCCCTTAATTTGGCAAACATACAAGGCCATAACTAAAGGGTGTATACGTCATGGAAATTTTCCTGACTTAGTTCAAGATGGCATCTTAAAGTCTGAATAGGTTATCTGTTGTTTATACTAAGTCGTAAGTGTACAGTCGTGGGAGATTCCCGGATTTGGGGAAGTTCCATTAACTTGGGGTTACCACAGTATATTGTGTACTGCAAGAGTCGTAGCATAGCCTTGAAGCTTGTTTATGCATTATTGTTATTGTAATTCGTCTGGGACAAAATGGCGCATACATATTATGCACTGAGGTTATTGCTTAAAGAAACAGTTATGAAAAACAATATGTTCCATTTCTAACACCTTGTCAGTTTGCAATATCTCTTAAAGACAAAGTACACAGTTTAAGAAATACAACATTTCATTCTAAAACTTGTAATATTTGCATTTGCCCGTAACACCCTCTCCATTAAACTGTGGGCATTGTAGCACATTTCTTCCTTAAATTAGTGAATCAAAGTTCTCCAACAGTCTTTAGGTTTTTTTGTGCTCCCAGCATCTTTGATCATTGTAACAGTAAAATATCCGTAGTGTGATCTTTGCATGTAAAGGTGGTTGATTAAAATGAGCAAAGCTTTTGTCTGGGAAAGAACTGAAAAGAACACCAGGTTCCAGAGTAAGATATTCTTGGATAGATCCGGATATGAATTGTAATCCAAAGTTAAAAGTAGTAATTGTATTTGTAATCCAAAGTCTTAAAGGCCTGTAGAAGTTTACATTTTTTAGATACATTGCTGGAGGTTGTGTTTGTAGAATACTCGGGTATTTGTTGTTTAGTATTGGTTGTAGAGTCCAGCTTTCCAAATATTTGGCTAGAATTGGTTGCAGATATTAAATCAGCATAATCTGTTATCACCTTGGTGATGGTGTTGGTATTTGACTTTGTCTTTTGTCTTTGCTTTTTATTTTGTTTGTTTTTTCCATGAAACATTTTTACACCGTTTATGATGTGTATAGATTGGATACTCTCCGATATTCTTTTACGGAATAAATTAATTGACATAATTTCCAAGACATTGTCTTAAGTGACATGGATCCCATTATAGTAAATGCTATGTTGATACAGCAATTGAAGTGGATTCTCAAGAACGCCTCTTTTTGCTGTGTTTGAATCTTTGTAACATCTCAGTGATAGACATCTCACTGACAACAGGTGCTGTTGTGCTAAAAATGTTAACAGGTAAAATCTGTGGAAAAATCTTTACATTTGTTATAGTTTGTATAATAATGATAGATGAAATAGTAACATAGTTGATCTTTCTAGTGTTTTGTATTAAAGATAAACACCCCTGTATATGATTTAGAGATATAGGGATAATTTGAAGCAGCAAAGTATTTACCGCCTTTGTTCATAATGGTATGTAAAATTACATTCTCTTTAAATGTTAAAAATACTACTTTATTCAAAATGTCTCAATATATTTAGAATAGTTGCTAATTGGAAATATGACGTTAATTATCTTTCTTTGTCCTGTTAGGGAGAAGACAACTTATTCCCTAGTTATTTTTAGTAAATATAATAACTACAGTTATTAGTGGCTTAAAATACCAGAAACCCCCAAATATTGTCTTAGAAAACATTTTTTTTTTTTTACCAAGATCTGACAGCCATTGTGGAAAGTTACGTTCGTAAGACTGGATGCTTAACAATGAGAATCTTAATTGTTTAAGTATATTTACCAGCGGCTGTTTGGTGTAACTTAAGATGATTAGAATGTATTATTATTTCTAAAAGTGAGTTAAGAAAGCACTCCGATACAATATTGAATGTATTTATATTTTATCTCTACCTTTGTATAGGTGGTTTATGTACCTTTAACCATTACAAACCAAATAACATTTTCTTTGTATTTGAAAAACTGATAAAATATTAGATTTCGTGTATTTTAATATACAGAGTGGTATGGATGTTGAATTTATATCTTTGACATCTTTTCACCAGTTTGCAATAGGTGACCTAAATGATCAATTTCCAAAATCATCATGTATATCACCTGGATGGGTTAATCCATAATACTCTTTTACTTTCCATTGACTGGCCTTGGCTCTGGCAGACTGAATATTTTTATCATTATAAATAAACTTTATGATAGTTGAAGTAAAGTTTCTGCCTGTTTTAACTGTTTTTAACTGTTGAAGTATTTCACTTATATTAATTATACCACTCTGCAAACTTAAACGAAAATCGAGTAGTTTCTGTTTTAATAAGAACATTTATATTTTCTTCTAAAGTTTAAACCTTATTCATTATTGCAGTTGTTATTGCAATCATATGATCTTTAACTATCATGATTCAATTATTCATCTTGGTAATTAGCTGTTATGCTCTTATACGTAAGTTTAATATATTTGTTTGTAGGCCAGACTGCAGCTGCATATGGCATTTTAGCAATAATCTTCAATTGCATTTCAGATATTCACAAAGTCTATCCACCTTTGTAATTAACACATTATGTGTTTCTTATACCATTAATTATAGTATCTGTATTATATTACACATTGTCACTGACACATTTCTGATACAGGGAAAAAATAGCATGATTGCTTTAGTAATTACAATTTTTCTGTCCATGCACACATTCCTGGAAGTCCAGAATATAGCAAGAATCCTTGGTCTATGGTCCTAGAGAGCCATTTAATGTTTTGATTGGTATAGTTATACAAAAAGAGCAAGGAGTACGACGGTAGATCACATCTGCAACAGAACCATTACAGATTCCTTGTTGTATCAATGTCTCTGTGTTTATGTTTACAGGAGTTCCTTGCTTTGCAGGTATGTACATAATATGTAGAGTTTAAGAAAAGCTGCAAATCGTGCTTTAGTACAAGTGTCCCATGATGTCAGGTTTCTCAAAGATTTTGCTGGTCTTTTTATATTCCATTCTCTTGGCAGGGCATCTGCTCTTAGTAGGCCGGTATTGTTATTATTTATTAATTGCATCAAGGTTTCTTTCGTTAATTGATGTGTTTCTTCCGAATTCAAATTCATATGCCACCAAATGTCATTGTAAAGTTCATTGTTACAGAATAATGTTCCAGGATGGTTTTCCACTCCAGTAGGAAATCTATATTCCTCTTCTTCTGATCCTTCCTATTAACCTCTTTTTCTGAGTTGTAGGCAACAATCTGTGTCTTGTACTGTGAGGTGCTTTGATAGTCAATCTGGTTTTGTCAGTACCATGTTCCATCTTGAAAAACAGCTGGGTGTTGACAGTTATCAGCCTTTATTTCTTTTTCCGGTCATCTTCTGTCTGGAAACATAATAGCAATGTCCAGAATTAGCATAGCACTTCTTTTCAGCATAAGAAGGCTGTTTGCGGTAGTCACTCAATGATAAACTATATGGCAAAGTATTTTCTTAATCACCTTCATAGGTGCATCCAAAGTCTTTCACTAGCATCTGTCTCGTCTTTTTCTGTTTCCTGCATACTTTGCTATCATCGTTCAGTCCATTATTAGGATTTGTAATAGTCCAATCACATCTTTCTCGTGCATAATCGTTTTTTTTGGAATGATCTCAATAGGTTCCTTGTGAAATACCAGTGTAGGTCACATTAGCAATCATTTCACTGTGAGCTATGTGTCTCTTTTGAGATAGTTCTTGGAGGTAGTCCTCACGATCAAAGAACTTGTATAGTGTACAGTCCAATTCAGTTCAGTTGCTTCCTGCTTGTTAACATAATTCCAATGCAGTTTTAAAACGACAGCTAGGGTTGATGTTATGATAATGCTGCAGATTGTAAGGAGGAGACACCATAACCAATTTTCTAGCATCCTTTTGCTTCTATCTTTGCATTTCTTTCTTACTGTATAAGATAATTCAGGTTCAGTCTGTTTTCTCCAGAGTCTTTCTTATAATGATGTTGATGATTCATTTTTCATACATTCCATATTAACTGTGAATGTATCACGTCTGTCTGTTCATCCTTCTCCTTCACATTTGCAGATTCAGATGTCAGATCATGATTCAGTCTGTTACGTGGCTATGATTCTGGTGGCTTTTCTGTCGTCCTCTGTTTGTTTTATCTTGCCATCTTTAACAGCATCCACTGTGTCAGTCAGTGGTTCTGTGAACGTCCTGGAAGTATTTTAGCAGGTTGTAAAATATCAAATTCACTGTTCTCTGTTGGCTCTGATTGTTCTGTAGTAAAAGCTCTCGGAGTCGCCCTCTCCAGGACAAGCTGGCCAACAGAAGGAAATAGGTGGTGGTGCAAGGCGAGGTGGGCTGGAAAAAAAACCCCTAAATTTCTCTAATCGAACCAATGGTTCTAAGCTCTCCCTGGTGCAGAAATATGTTTGTCAGTGAAAAACATGTAACATTTCATATGGTGTCTCACCATTTGTATCATCAGGTATGTTGTGAATGCTTATCTGTACCATAGGAATAAATAGATACCACTGTGTGGGGCAAGCAGCTAGTAACTTGGTTAATAATCATTTAACCTCAGCATTCTCCCAGACCACAACCCCACTTCTTTGGGGGTGGTTGGGGCACTGAAATCCCAAAGTAACCCAAATGTGGTTGCCCAGTTTTAGGTTTCCTTTGCAGTAAGTGCAGGACCACCATCCAAATGGATGGTCCTGGGATTATCAAATGCATACTAAGGAAGTGAGACTAGAAAACGTGGCATCAGAGGTTGCACTTCGCACAGGATATATCCAAGTAAACCTGGTACATGCATCAACACATACAAAAACATATTTATAACCATGAGATGTTGGCAAACTTCCAATATATAGCAATTCAAAAAGTATGTTAGATATTAATATTTCAATAAACAGTACATCAGTAATGTGGCAATAAGCAAATGCTTATGATTACTAAACACATGAATTACAATATTTCCCATTTTGTGACCATCAATATTCCTTTTCAGGAGTCAGAAGTACATAACCTCTCTCTATAAGAGCTTGTCCTAGCCATGAAAAAGCTTTTAGGGCAAGTCCATCTTTCCTCTATAGGAAGAACAACCAACATATTACCTTCAATGGTTATTATGTAATTAACCCCTGTAAACGATAGGAGTATTTATGCGGATACCAGGTGGATAAGGTCTGGATATCCTTGCAAGCATAAACTCTGCATCATGACTGAGAGATAGGGTATGCGATGTGATCCAGTGACCACAGAAAAGCATGGTAGACACATTGCATCAAAGTGCCTGTTAATGACCAACTACATGAGGAGAGGGACCATGCTTTGTTATAAGCATGTCCATACACGTATTACAATGCCAGGCTTTCAATTTGTTACCACAAAGCAAAATGCAGTTGTGGATATAAACTCACGACGTATCGTAAGAAAAACTGTCTGAACACCAGACTGAGACCCGAGTTCAGTGAGCAGTGGACCAAAATAGATAAATGAAATCTTATCAATTACTATACTTTCAATATACTTTATTTAAATTACTTTATTCTCTGTATTAACTATGAAATATTAAAGTTAAAACAATAACATTTAAAAGCCAACTTTTAGTGTGGATAGGAATTACAAGGCCGTTCATAATGTGAGATAAAGAACAGCTTTTTTTTTTTTTAAATCCGAATAGTCTGTGAACACAAAATGACCTTGCGCTGAAAACTCACTTGCAGGGGAAAAACAAAACCTCTTCTTTTTTCTTTTTCTTTAGTAAATTAATTAATTAATTAAACATAGTTAGAACCTCCCTCAAAGTCCCGATGACTTTGCAAGAAACATGTCGTCCTTAAATACTGGGTAAGTCTATTAAACAGTGACATAGCATTGTTATCCTGTATATCATGTTGTCACAGCTATAATGTGCAGTATAACAAACTATTTTATAAGTGTTGTGCAAAGTGTTCATTAAAAGCCAGTGATCTAGCGTGCTATAGAACATTTATTTATTTATTCTTTAAAGCTCTGACCTCAATTGGCAAAGCAATATTGTAATGGTGTCCATTGCAATCTGCTGTTTTACTTTCAAAAATTCAGAATATGTTCAGAGATTTCTTGGGCAATAATAAATCCCCAAAAACAACAACTTTGCATTTATTCTAAACCTGCCGGTTGTAAACGTATTCTGTATATTTCTTGACATAAGTACTTGTACTTGAATCTGTTTAACAAAGCTATTTATATTGTGGTGTAAAATAAATATATTTTTATTTTTATTATTTATTTATTTTAACATTGCTTAAATTTTAAAGATACCTACATATTTAATTAAATATCCTTTATATGTCTCTAAGGCATAAAATGTCTGCAAATTAAGATTATATACAAAAATGCATGTTTTGGGTGTTCCGTGATTCCTTTTCTATCATTTATTTTTCTTTAAGTCTGGAATCTGATTCCTTTTGGGATGAGCACCCCTCTGAGCCCCCCAGTTTCAGAGGCTTCTTTGGAAGTGACCACTGAAAAGTATAGATTCTATAAAATAGATGTGAGGGGGCATTGGACAGTAATGTCACTTTAATTATACTTTTCATATAGCAGATATGTGATATCCAATGTGATTTAATATATCAGAGTATTATCACTTTAATAGACACAGCATTTTTTTATGCATTATTATTTTTATTTTTTTCTTAAATTTTAATGTCTGTTTAGAATATTGCAGGCTTTGCGATATCACATTAATTTTGCATTAAATATATTCACAATGCTCTTACAACATATTATTAAAATTAGCCTCTTTCAGAATTGTAGAATATGTGGTGGAACTGAATCCTCATATATGAGATTTGAAACTGTATTTTTATTTCTACTCTTTGCCCTTATCTGTATACATAATTGCGGCAGCATATAGTTTTTAAAGAAGCAATTATTTCACCCTTCATGTGTGGTTGACTGTGGACTTTTTAAAACCTACTTTTTAATTTTTTATAAATCTGTTTCTGGCTTTGAGAGAGCAGGCTGCTGAATGCATGTAAATGCTCTTAATGCTTAGTCTCTATACATTTATTTATTTAATCGTATTTTATAAAAACCTAGTTTATGAAATTCACTGAGATTACATGTGTCTGATCTGATTACAGTCAGTAGTACAATATAATTGTTCTAATTTCTTTACTGCTAGTACAGTGGGATAGTACCACTGATTTAAGTAAGCCTTAATCCTGCCATTGCAATAGACTAAATACTGTACCTGAGTAAGCAAAGTCATTATGTGCAGGAATTGTGCACTTTAAATAGTAGAATACTTATGCTATTCTAGTGAATTGGGCTGGCTGCTTAACACCTCATTTAATATATTTTGGTCACATTTAAAGCTGTAAATGTATTTAAAATTTTATTTAAATAAGCCTTTAATAATTTCAGTTTAAAAGTTATCAGAGAACCTGTATAGTTACCATTTTATTTTGCCCCGCTTTATCTTACGTATATATTATTTTTAATTATTTTATAAATATTTATTTTTGCAGAGCATTTAGAGAAGCAAAGGATGTATAACCACCTGTTGCCCTTTTTTCTAGGAGGGTAGTATAATTTCAACTCTGTTTAGGAAAAAATATGAGCTAGTTGGCATATAGTACATAAAATACATGCTGCAGTGTACTGCATTGAATGCATTTAAAAGCCATGTATTTTTCTTTATGGCTGTATGTAATAATGTTGTTCATAATTTGGAATATAAAACAACGACTTCTCAATTCCTTGGAATGTTTACATGTCTCTATCTCCGCAACCTTGGCTGGAAATTCCAGACTCCAAAAATAGTTATGCTGTTATAATTCCTGATTTTCAATCAACAGCTAGCAAACTGACAATATGGAAAATATCACTGTCTTACAAACTTTTCTTATATAGTGGACATTCGAATCCAGAACGCAGTAATGCAATAATTAAAAATCCTGTCTGTCTGTTGCATGAATGTTTTCATTAAGCCATAATGCAATTTTCTTTGCATTCTTGGAATTAGACTTCAAATTTCATCGCTCTGTCTTATCACTTTTCTTTTGACAACATTTTGCATTAATCTTTTTCCTGCGCATGCATACTAAGCAGCTACAAAGAGAACATATCCCCCTGTCTGCAATCCACTGTCCTGGAACTAACAGGCCATGCTATGCTGGTGTATTAGGCATATCAGGGAGTTTACCAAATATGTATATTTGTTCTATTATGATATTAGTTAAGATCCACAATTTCAGCATTGTATGCTAATAACATTGTACCTGGCACCTGAACTCACAGTGCCTTGTTCACATTAAAATCATCTCTAATGATCTCTCTCTGAGTCTGGGCTACAAGTAGCTCAATAGATTCTTGATATTTCAAGACTTGTGCCATGACAAAGTGTTGTGTCTTCTCTTACGTATAAGAGGTTACCTAGGTATTTATTTTATATTTAAAACTTCCAAGTACAATGTCCCTTCGTGGTCGCCAATTGTAACCGCTGGCGGTTCCCTTATTTACCACTATAATGTCTTAAAGCATAGAACTTAGTAGGGCTAACCATACAGATATCTTAGCCATAATTTTATATAGTTAGTAAGAGATCCTCTATTTACCATATATAAATAATTGAGAATACAATATAAAATAAGGATTGTCTTGGAAGCAAGATTGTCTTTTGGATATTTATTATATAAAAATATAAAATCCATTATAGCAGAGTTTATAAGATTTAAATTACATGCTTGCAAATATCATTAATCGGTTAACATACCCTTCTGAACATGTCATCATGTCAGCCTCTCTGTCATTTTAAGATGGAGCAGCGTCTGTCTCCAAGTCTCTCCTCTGTGTCTTAACATTTAAAAGTACACCTATTTATACCTTAGGTGTCTCCATTTTAGGTTACTGTAGTTCAAATATGAAAAAGTAACACTTCTTTTACTTTATTCAATTTAGGACCTCCCTTAATTTGGCAAACATACAAGGCCATAACTAAAGGGTGTATACGTCATGGAAATTTTCCTGACTTAGTTCAAGATGGCATCTTAAAGTCTGAATAGGTTATCTGTTGTTTATACTAAGTCGTAAGTGTACAGTCGTGGGAGATTCCCGATTTGGGGAAGTTCCATTAACTTGGGGTTACCACAGTATATTGTGTACTGCAAGAGTCGTAGCATAGCCTTGAAGCTTGTTTATGCATTATTGTATTTCGTCTGGGACAAAATGGCGCATACATATTATGCACTGAGGTTATTGCTTAAAGAAACAGTTATGAAAAACAATATGTTCCATTTCTAACACCTTGTCAGTTTGCAATATCTCTTAAAGACAAAGTACACAGTTTAAGAAATACAACATTTCATTCTAAAACTTGTAATATTTGCATTTGCCCGTAACAATAGTTTATTCACCGACTTGGGGGGAGGCAGAGGGAGTGGGGAGGCAGAGGGAGCTGCAGTACCAGGAATACAGCTCCAGGCACCATGACCACTGGTGCCAACCGCTAAAGTGTAATTATTGCAATTTTTATAAACTTAAATAATTACCTTGCAGGGTTAAGTCCTCTAGTGGCTGTCTATCAGACAGCCACTAGAGGGACTTCCGTGTTCTTAGAACACAAAAAGTGTAATAAACGACACTGGATTTCCTCACGCTATGTGAGGACCTCAAGCGTCGACGAAATCCCCATAGGAAAGCATTGATTAACGCTTTCCTATAGGGAGGTGTAATGCGCGGTCATTGTCGCGCATTAGGTCTCCCCCACCGATTGACTGCGGGGGAGGAGATTAGGTGGAGCCTGACCTAGTGCAAAGGGACATCGGCGCTGGACTCTGGTAAGTCACTGAAGGGGTTTTAACCCCTTTAGCAACGTGGGGGGTGGGAGGGAGAGGGGCACTGGAGAGTCCCTTTAAGTGTGTGTGTTAAAAAAAAAAAAAACACAAAACCATTTGTGTCGTCGTTGAATAAGATTTTAGCATTTGAAATAATGCACTTTTAAAACTCATGAAAAACAAGTGTAATGTACCCAAACTAAGGGAAATAGTCCCTATGTGGGAGACAACTTTGTAACTTTGTCGATATCTCTTGTTGTACAAATTGTAATAGAATCATAAAGATAGACTATCTTTTTTTTAAATTTTATTTCAGATTGCAAGGAAACGGCATAAGGTTATTGGTACTTTCAAGAGTCCTCATGGCCACACTAGACCCCCTGCATCCTTAAAGCACATCAGCCTAATGCCTCTTTCACAGATCAAGAAAGTGCTTGACATTCGGGAGACTGAAGGTCAGTGCATATTTAAAAATAAATAAATTAAAATATCCAAGTAGTTTTGTACCCATTGTTTTCTTATATGCCTCATTACGCCAAAACAGTCATTTCAATGTCAAGTCTGTTCTCGAACAGCCATGTTCCAATAATGTGTTTAAAATGCTAAATTTAGTGAGCTCTGTTAATTTTCATGACACATTTCTTCCATCTGGTTCTGTCTGTAAATCAACAGTGGTTTGATAGTTTAAGGCTAAATATAGCTGTTGATTTAAATAAAAGATCATTATCTTGGTTGAAAGATAATACTCCTTTGTAAATGTACCATATTTTTTTAATTTTATTTTTAAATTTCAAAAAAGCTTTTTAAAATTTTTATTTTAATTGTCTGAAGGGCAATCCGATCTCTACAGTTTATTTATTTTTGTATTTAAAACTGCATTGACAGTCTGCTCCCACTTGAACATTGAAATCTTATTCGAAGAGATCACTATGCTTGTTCTCTTCGTACCACAATTTTATGTAGCCGAAGTACAGACCTCTAAATACTCCAGGTACATGCTCTTGTTTGGATATAGGCTCAGATAATCTCTGCTGTAAGCAGTTTACAATAACATTAACTAATTAGCCATTTTGTTTTGGTTCCAAACTCTATGCAGGAATAAGTGCAGTAGAGAGTAGGTCTTCATAAGCAGCCATTGAGCAATTGCATGAAATCATAGGCCTATTCATGTCAAAGGTGAATGAGACATGTTCTTAGAATATGGTCCACTTTTTTGTTCATGGTACATTTTGTAAAATACAGATATAAAAAAAATATATTATGTATTTTATATATATTTGTATATTTATATTTTGTTACTCGCATTCTTTGTTATGCTGCTGTTGGTTAAGGAGACAGAAGTTCAAAGCAGGTATGTCGCTGCTTAATTTGCAAGACCCCTGACAGTGATATTGTCTGGTGACCATAGGAGGCAGGGAAATGTAGGTTATGTTTATCTGAACCTGTCCATCGCAGGAGCCGCCATGATCTTTTGTTCTCTTCCACTTCCAGGAGCCAATCTCCACGCTGTACTATTGCATATGCACAATGGTACAGCGTTGATGTCTATAGAGAAGGCCGCGAGATTCTCCATAGAGAAAGTTCCACTCCCTGGAGAAATACAGAGTCAAAGCAGGGACTTGGTATATATAATCACTATATCTCGTGAATGACATTGTTGGAATTTCACTGAAATTCTAACCCAATGTATTAAATAATCATTTTTGGATAGGGGATGACAAAGCCACTTTAACATGTTAAAGACATTGCACACTTCTTCTGCAGAAAGGATTACTGCTCCTCCTTTAACTGGTGGAATAGAGGTGATAGTGTACACATAACTATGGATTTTAAGAATATTTCGGTAGTCCTACATTATTTTTTTTGAAAGGTGCCAGTAATCCGAATTTCATTACTCGAAGAAAAACTAAATTGCGCATGTAGAAGTAATTGAGACATAAGAGATACAGTATCATTTTTCTCAACTGTTTTCTGTTAAACCTAGATATGTTGTAGTGACATGAAACTTAAAGGGACACTATAGTCACCAGAACTACAGCTTATTGAATTTGTTCTGGTGAGGATAATCATTACCGTCAGGCCTTTTGCTGTAAAGACTGTCTTTTCAGAGAAAATGCAGTTTTTACATTACAGCCTAGTGATAACTTCACTGGCCACTCCTCAGATGTCTGTTATGATCCTTCCTTCCTGGGTCATGGCTGCCTAAAATGCATCCAAACATTCAGTATCTCATCCCTCTGCATGCAGACAATGAACTTTCCTCATAGAGATTCATTGATTTAATTTATCTCTGAGGAGATGCTGTTTGGCCAGGGCTGTTTTTGAATCATGCTGGGTCTGCCCCTGGTCTGCCTCCTTGTCAGTCTCAGCCAATCCTATGGGAAAGCATTGTGATTGGATCAGGCCACCACTTCTGATGTCAGCAGACTGCTTGTTTTCCTGAGTCTAACAGCAGCAAGAATTACAGCTTCAAGCTTGAATACAGTAAGATTTTGCTATATTTATGGAGGCATGATGGACCCAGAGGGGCTAGATGGTGGGTCTAACACTATAGGGTCAGGAACAAAACATGTATTCTTGACCCTATAGTGATGCTTTAATATTGATTTAAATAAATGGGTTTTATGCTACTGCACATTTTGCAGGATTTTGCTGATTAGTTGTCTTTGTTGTTTAAGTCCTGGGGATAATATTACACATGTTCCTTTTCATATAGAATTAAGACGCCTGTCTAAGCAGTGAATCTCAAATGCAACCAATGTTTTGGAGAGGTTTTTTGTTTGTTTTTTTTTAAACCTAGATATCACTATTAGTGTTGGTGAATCGGTTTTAGTTTCGTTTTGTAAGATGCCAAAAGAAACATTCCATGCCATCCTCCAAAGAGTGGGCTTTAATGCAGTTAGGACTGCATGGAATGTCCTGCAGTTTTAGTGTGAGCAGGATTAAAGCCCTGCTTGCACCGGGGAGTCCAAGGTATCAGTCGACACCAGGAGCTCTCCACTGTCAGTCTGGCAAATATCTTGGGGAGGGGGTGATCCACCCTGGGTGCCACTTACATTGTAAGGGGTGGCTGGGGGGGGGTAGCTTTCTTCTATTTTTGGCAGGTCCTCTCGTCAACTCTCTAAAGCCCTTGTCATCAAAGGGTTGCCTGGGTTACCAAGGCAATGTTTAGCGCGGCATACCAGGCTCGCAAGAGTTGGAGGGAGGACCTGCCGAAAACAGAAGATGGCAAGTGCTGGGTCCCGGTTGCTTCCTCTACAAAGAGAGTACTACACACTGTACTATAACTGTATTATATCGGTACTACACACAAATTTAATACAGACATGGGCAGCGTACACACAGCCACTGGACCACCAAGGAGTGGAATGTTCCCCTCCTTGGCTATAGTTAAAAGGCAGGAAGAGGTGATGAATATCTGAACCGGGTATCAGCCCAAAAGCCCACAGATGATTAGTATCAGCCCTTGAAAATTAATATCGGTCGATCCCTAATAAGCAATGCTCAAAGTGCTGTATTACACCAATTTAAGTGGGCATTTAAATCCCTATAGCCTGTAATGCACTGATAGCAGGGTTATAGCCCTGCTGACATAAGGAAACACAGGTATTCGTAAATACCTGGGGCTCGCTTGTCATGGTCATTCTTTTAGTGGCCCCCAGGCTGACGGATTAATTGTATGCTTTGCTCAGTGATTCTAGGGCTATTTTCCAGCACATGGCTAAAGTTTATTTCTATTAATGCATACTATTCCTAGTATGGTTAAAGAATAGTGGGAAATGCAAGGTCTTTGCATTTTTAAAGGAACACTATAGTGTTAAAAACCGTTTATCCCACTTTCACCCTATTTAATAAGTAACAAAATCCCACAGGAAAGCATTTGATTGCCTGAGCTCATCAATTCTAATTGGAACTGCAGCTCCTGGTGTGGGTGGGGATCGCTGTTGCTGCTTGCTGGTGGAACTTTGAAAGTGATCATTTTTAATTTTATAATGGTATTGAGCTCACTGCAGGCGTTTCCACTTTAAGCTTGCTTTAATCTTTACCTACCACTGCCTGCATCTTCCCTCACAGAAATGTTTGCACATGGTATCATGGTGTTGTAAAATGCCACACACTGCGTTTGTGGAGGATACACTTGCATGTACTTTGTTGGCCGTTTTGCCTTTGTAGTCTCCAACCTGGCAGCTTACACATAAAATAAATGTATTCATATTACTTGTCATGTACATTTGCATCCAATTTTAACTCTGTATTGATGAAATGTTATTTTAGTGAAACCTTGGTATAAGAAATGGCAAGATATTACATGCTAGGTTTAAAATTCTCCAATTGCATATCATTCATCTAAAACTGCATTTATCAATTAATTTGTTTTGGTAACAGAGACCTCAAATAGAAATCCATCATGTTCAATAGTAGATATTCCTTTTAATTATCAGCTGCTTTTAGATTTCTAATGGCAACACATCACCGCACAGTAATGTCATTGTGCCCTGCTGGTTTGAATTGTGCCTTTAAGCAGCTGCTTACTAATATGTAAATTGCTTGGTTAAATCATCACAAGTAGGTCATAGAACTTCAAAACTCTTTCTACCCAAAAAACAATGTACTTATTCTTGAGTAACTGTCTGCAAATTTCTATTTTTAAACCAGAGTAATATTTCCTTTTATATTTGCAGACTGCCATAATGCGTTTGCTTTGGTAGTGCGACCTCCGACAGAACAGGCAAACCAGCTATTTAGTTTCCAGCTGACAGCAGAGGAGCCTCCTAAAGTGGATTGGCTGAAGATGCTGTGCCGGCATGTAGCCAACACCATTTGCAAAGCAGATGCTGTAAGTTCTCTCCTACTGGTATATCCATGTCACTGTATTTAAAGTGCTTCCAACACTCTGTTTTACTTTTATAACATTATCAACTGTTCTCCTTCTGTTTTTCTGGCAATGAAAGTTAATTCTCGGTACAGCCTTGTTTCCTTGGAGATGTTGAGTGATCTTTTGAGTTCCGCACATTGTGGTTGTTCATACTGACAACTTTGCTGTTAGTCATTTGTTTAGTTTGAGACATTGCCACATTTCTACACCATCTTGGATATTTTACAAAGCTCTACTATTCTATAAATCACGCTTTTATGTCTCCTCAGATTTTTGATCAACTACAAGGCATTAAATAGGTAGAGGGACACTGTTGGGCACACGATAGCTCTATTGCCTGTGTTCAGTAGAGTTTAAAAAGAAAAAAGTGTATCTGTATATAATGCACCATCCATTCCAAGGCTATTGACACTTTAAATGCTTGACTATATTTCATATAATGCTCAGCTAGCCAGTGGGCTTGTTTTGCAGCATATTGCCAATGGATTTTCTTACAAAGGTGAAAGAGCAATCTAAATTTTTAATTATAGGATAGTTTATAGTACTGTCCCTAAAAAGAATTGGGCCACCAATAATATCTTTCTATATACAGCCTTGGGAGGTCTTTCATAATGTCTAGCCATATATTTTTGAATGTTATTTCTATGTTCCATCTACGTTAATGTATGTAGTAGAATAGCCCTATGAGCCTGATATTGGTAAAACTTTTTCTTTTTTTTGTTTTTGATTATTCAAACAAGCCCATCACCTTTATGTGTGTTTGAGTTGGTTCATATTCCCGATGCATTTCTCCACCGTAGGGTTTTGCAGCCACTAGAATGTTTCACTCACATAGAATGTATGTCCTGTCACTCCCACTAATTACTTTTTTATTTTTGTATAAACCAATTATGACTGTCCATGCAACCCAAAGTGCTTTTCACTTTATTTTCTATAAGTTAACATATCCGAGCATCATGGGAAACTGTAGACTGCAAAATATCTGGGTTTGCTGTCATTGCTCTAGCAGTTTAATCTGATCCTTAAAATATTGCAACCTTGCCGTAGTGCTTTAAGTATTAATATCAGTTTTAATTTCATGTCTTTGTAATGCGTTAATTTTAAAGACATTGCAGCAGGAGGTCTCATACAGATTTGTTTTTGAGATTAGAATTTTCTCATTTCATTACCCAAACCTCAAAGGGTTTGGTGGTTTTTATATGTTTTCCTTTAAAAATAAAACCCACATTTATTTTATTTTTATTCACAGTAAAGGTTTGCCTCAATCTAGTTAAAGCTTCCCCTGTTTTTTTTTTTAGTTTTTTTTTAAAATTCAAAATAAAGGAAAAAAATACATGTTATGAAAAATCTGTGTGAAATTGGCAGGTTTTTTTTTTTTTTTTTAAACTAAAATATAAAATACATATTGCAAACGCAGGTTTATTTAGTGTCTATATGTATGTGTCTAAGTTATGATTTTCTTTACTGACCTCTATAAAGAATCTTTAAACCATGAATCGTGGCCGTTGAAGCCTTTGAATACCTACACTTGTGGAATTGAACAGCTATATCACACAGTTGCATTAATATGAAGATCCACTTGATGGCAGTAAAGGTTTAACGAACACGCTAACTATTCTCACTACTTTGATTCACTAATCTAATTTAAGAATTCTCTTATAAAATTTTCTAATCTCAGTATTTTTTTTTCTTCCTAGTTTAAATAAAATATCAACTTATGTATGTCTGACTGGAATTTTTTGTAGGAAAATCTGATCTATACTACTGATCCAGATTCTTTAGAGGTCAACACAAGGGATGTGGATAGTACATTGAGCCGAGCATCAAGAGCCATAAAGAAAACATCCAAGAAAGTAAGTCAATCTACAGTCCATAAATGTACGGATTTAACAGTCCCATCATATAGGATTTCATTATGATTTTATCTGTTGGTATTTTTTTATTTTGTGGGTTTTTCACCCCCTTCCCCCCCCCCCCTCCTTGACTTATCTCAACTCTATATGTTAGAGATTCTCACATTATTCAGTCCACTCTGACATGTTGATCTTTAAAGGGAGATGCATCAATTGGTTTTTCTTTTTTTAAAACAACAAACACATTTAAACAATATATATATAAACTAAAATAAAACAAGAACAAACAATGGAAAGTATGTAATAAACATTTATAAACTTGTTCAGATTGCACCTAAACACTACTTAGCTAGGGGAGTTTCTACCAACTCCCCCCCACCCATCTTTAACCACCCATCTCCATTTCAGACCAGGGTGTCATTGTGCAGCAGCAGGAGCTACCCAACACCAGAGCCTGCTCTGCATGAATCTCACTGATCAGATTCCTCTCTTCTCCCCATGGCAGATGTTGCAATGTGAAGAGATCTTCCAACTGCAAATGTGTAACTCTGTTTGGGATACCCAATGCACTGTTTGAACATTACTGGGGATTTGTACACTGGTTAGATCAGTGTCTCCACTGGAGTGGGTGTAAAAAGAAAAAAGCAGATCTATGTGAAAACAAAGCCTATTTACTTTTTGTCAACCTACAGAGTGAGGCAACTGTCTTATCCAAAGCTAAAACTTATGAATGAGGGTGTTCTCAAAGTGATGCATGTCGCTATAAGTTAAACTTGCTTTCCTTTTATTAGGTGAAAATGTAGAGTTTTAACAATTGTAAAGAAATTGCTTGTAACAAAAGCTATAAAGATATTATTCAATGTATCTTTAGCAAACTTTTTGTGTTTTATTTGTAGGTCACTAGAGCGTTTTCTTTTTCAAAAACTCCCAAGAGAGCCCTCCAGAGGGCTCTAATGGTGCAAAATACACCAGATGGACAGAGCCCAGGCTCAAGCTCAAAGGGCTTTGCTGGTAGTCGCATGTCAAGCACTACATCGTTGGCAGTGAGTAACATCCTTTTCTGCAATGCATTATTAAAATATCACTTTCCCACACTCCACATCAGGCGGCTTCTTAGTCTCTTATTAAAGAAAAGCAGGGAAAATAGAACACACTGGGTGAAAAAGTTGGTCCGTGATCTACAAGGTGTTTTTTTTTTTCTGTTTTGGTTACTGTGTGAATTTGCCTGATGAATGGAAACCATTCCTCATTTTTTTTTTTTTTTTTGGTAACCATGATCATAGAACGCAAACAAGATCTGTGAACTGTTAACAAGAATGTAGGTAATGAACATGCTGTAAGTACTCCAGACTGTTTTAGAATAGTTTCACTTCTTACCTGGTTTCCACTTGTGTTGCTACACATCTCCACTAGAACCATAGAAGCTTCCGTTGGCTCTCCTGAGCCAAGTCCTGCACTGCTTAGACAGAGCGCCTGGCTCCTTTGTAGCTATAGTGGAGAAGCCACGCTTGGCAGACCTCTGCTGAGAAGTAAAACTTAGTTAAAACCGACTGACCGCTTACAATGGCTGAGGTGGAGCAGTGTGCATTGAGTGTTCCTAATGTTTTTCCCAATTCTCAAATAGTTTTGTTTTAATTTCAAAATGTATGGCTGTCTAAACACCGCTGTGTGTGTTTCTTAAAACCAGGGTGCTGCACTCACCTGAACTGCAGAGAAGGGTGCTGCTGAGGCAAATTCATACAATACACAAGATCCAATATATAAACATGCTGTTGTTTTTTTTTTATGTACAACAATAGAAGAATGCCCGTCTTGGAAGAAATTTCGTTAAGATATCATTGTAAATTACATTAAGTGCCAGGGACAGTGAGCACATCTTAAAGGATCACTATTGGGTCAGGAACACAAACCTGTATTCCTGACCCTATAGTGTTAATACCACCATTTAGCCCCCCTGGGCCCCTCATGCGTCCGTAAATATAGCAAAATATTACTGTATTCAAGCCCAAAGCTGTAACTCTGCATGCTGTTTGACTCAGAAAAACAAGCAGTCTGACATGTGGTAGCCCGATCCAATCACAGTGCTTCCCCATAGGATTGGCTGAGACTGACAGAGGCAGATCGGGGCAGAGCCAGCATGATTCAAACAAAGCCCTGGCCAATCAGCATATCCTCATAGAGATGAATTGAATCAATGAATCTCTGAGGAAAGTTCATTGTCTGCATGCAGAGGGAGGAGATACTGAATCACAGGATGCTGTACACAGTGCTGCCTGGTGCTCTGCTGAAAGCAGGTCTGAGTGGATGGAGGCATATTATGCCTCCATCAACTCTGAAGTCCCCCTGGTTCACTCTGAGTGACTGCAACTGGAGGTGTTCCTAGCTTTCAATGTAAACACTGTATTTTCCCAGAAAATAGTGTTTACATCAGAAAGGCTGCAGGGAGCTATAGTTCTCACCTGAACAACCTCATTAAGCTGAAGTTGTTCAGGGGACTATAGTGTCCCTTTAACTTCCAAATCAGTGTTTGGATATTTTTTTTAATTTTTTTTACATTTAATTTTGATACGTCGTATCATTCTCTGGGCAAACTAATGTAGTGTGAATTCTTTGTGTTGTTGGCCAACTCTAAAGGGGCACTCCAAGGTGATTCTCCTTACCCCTATGACAATGTTTTTACATATAATTCAGAAACATACAGCAGTAAAGAGAATATTACTTAGTAAGTTGTAATGTATGATAATTACCCCATCCAACCACTGCTTCTGAGTTTAGCAGAATTTCATTCCAAATACTTTCTGTGCTTAATTAACAGTTTTCCAAGGTTATCTTTATTTTGCACAGTTTAAAAAAATCTATGGAGTACCCCTTTTAATGTTTCATATACGAATTGGATTAATACGGGTTAGAATTAAAGTTTAAGAACTTAGCTGGCATATTGCGCCTAAATGTTTGTTTTTATGTTTTAATGGCTCATTCATTCCTGTTTATAGATAACACGTTGTTCTTCTGCCATCAACATAAATGGACCAGCTAAACACGCTAACGTTCAGCGATCAAATTCCCTTGATGGCAGCTCGCTTAGTCCTAGGTCACGTGCTATTCTGTGCCCAGGATCTCCTAGTAGTCCTATGCCACATAACGGCCCATTAAGCAAAGTGCAGACTGTTCCCCACATTACAGTAAACTGTGACCAGCAGAGGGAACAGGGAAATCGCATTTCCTGCAACAACAAATCTTTGTCTGTAAGAAAGGAGCCCTTGCTATGACAGCGAGCTAATAAGTGAGCTCATCACAGTAATTATTTCCCCAATTTGAATGCTGTCCACACAGTGGTGTTAGAATATTGTGGCAGTGGTCTGTTTATTTGCATGAAGTTTTTTTTTTTAATATTATTTATATATATATATATGGTCTTTCTTTCCAAGGATTTTATCTTTAAAGAGAATACAAAATAACCCATGATGCATTACAACGCCCAATTTTGCCAAATGTCACTTTATCTATTTAAATGTTTTTTGTTTGTTTTTTACTCTATCAGTCGACCTCACCAACTACACGTTGCTGCTTTTTCAGACGACACGTTCAGGTGTGAGTTTATACAATACGCACATTTGACATCAGAACAATTTCAAAATAAATTCTGCACTGCCATACTTGTTTGAAAAATAGCAATCAGGATTAATTTGAATCTAAAACCTAGTTTTGAATGTGTACACTTCATGGTTTAAGACTCATTTTTACCAATTTCTAGGGAAGCTGCCAACAACATCCATGACTGCTCAATGTTGGCACCCATTAAATCTCAAGTTATTTAAAACTAGTAACACCTCCATTAAGGATCTATTTGGATTTATGTAAACATCAACATTTTTTTTTTTTCTCTGAATCTCTTAATCTGAGGCTTTTTTTTTTTTTTTTTTTTTAAGATCACAGTCTGGGATTTTAAAATGTCATAACCTGGACTATTGTTCTTATCACTGTCTGAATGTCTTACAAGATTAGGATTATATATAGCAGTTATGAAATAGCATTTTTCGAAATAGATTAATAGACCAGCATGCACTGTCCTTTTTCAGCTGTGGGTCACTTTAAGGCTCCATGAACATTCAGGCAGATTCGTTTCTCAAAGGCAAAAAAAGTGGTGCTACCGAAGGTGCATAGTTATCCTACACAATTTATTGAAGGTCATGTATACAAATGTTTTGACCATTAACCCTTCATCAATAGATAGACTGGGGGACTGGGCACTCAAATGGCAGATGAAATTTAATGTTGAAAAATGCAAAGTTATGCTTTTCGGCGTAAAGAATACACAAGCAACGTATACCCTTAATGGAAGCGAGTTAGGGATAACACACGAAAAGGACTTGGGAATTGTTATAGACAACAAACTATGCAATAATGTGCAATGTCAATCAGCAGTGGCCAAGGCCAGTAAGGTATTGTCATGCATGAAAAAGGGCATTTATTCTTGGGACGAGAATATCATTTTGCTTCTTTATAAATCACTGGTAAGAACACATTGAATATGCTGTGCAATTTTGGTTCTAAAGAAGGATATAATGGCACTAGAAAAAGTGCAGAGGCGGGCTACAAAATTAATAAAAGGAATGGAACATATCAGCTTTGAAGAAAGGTTAACAAATTTAAACCTATTTAGTTTAGAAAAACGTCGCCTGAGAGGGGTTATGATAACATTGTACAAATATATTCAGGGCCAATACAAACCATTGTGTGGAAATCTATTCACAAACCGGACTTTACATAGGACACAAGTCCATGCGTTTAGACTGGAAGAAAGAAGATTTCGTCTAAGGCAAAGGAAAGGTTTTTTTTTTTTTTTACTGTAAGAACAATCAGGATGTGGAATTCTCTGCCTGAAGAAGTGGTTTTATCAGTCCATGCAGATGTTCAAACAGCTACTAGATGCATACTTGCAAAAACAGAATATTCAAGGATATAATCTTTCAATGTAGGGTAATAACCGCTTGATCCATGGATAAATCTGACTGCCATTCTGGGGTCAAGAAGGAATTTTTTTTTCCTAGTTTGTTGCAAAATTGTGCTTCAAACTGGGTTTTTTTGCCTTCTTTTGGATCAACCGCAAAAAACAAATGTGAGGAAGGCTGAACTTGATGGACGCAAGTCTCTTTTCAGCTATGTAACTATGTAATACATTGACCAGAAAATTTGTGTAGCACAGCTTGCATCTTTTTGGAAAACGCTTTATTAAATGTATCTTTCTCCCCTGTGAAAGTATGTTGTGCCCACTAAAGAAGCAACAGTGTAGTGGAGTATTGTCAAATTGCAGTTTACTTTCCTCATATTGTGGCTTCTCATGCAGATTATGTATTAAAGAAGTTTAATTGCATATCATCCAGTTTGTGTTCTACCATACAAATGTGTGAAAACAACCCTCACTGATGAAAGTTGGGAGGGGTTAACACTTCTAGACAGTTGTAGCTCACCTACTTGTTAGTTTTATTTTTAGTTAGAAATAGATGGAACATTTAAAAAGACAAAAGCTATATTTTCCATAGTCTTAACATGTATAGCTTGTAGGAAAGACGAGACAGGGGGAATATGATAGAAACTTTTAAATACATAAAGGGAATCAACACAGTAAAGGAGGAGACTTTATCTAAAAGAAAAACTACCACCAGGGACTAATGAAAGTGTTTAGAAAATTAGGTAAACTAGATGGGCCAACTGGTTCTTATCTGCCGTCACATTCTATGTTTCTATATTTATCTTTTCCAGATAGCTTTCCCTTTCCTAAATTTAGCTAGTTCCTCTTTTGTTTTGTTTTTCTATTGCAGTGAGTCTATTTCCTTTTGGAGGGGATACTAAAATTGGAGTATTGATATTCATTTAAATTTCACAAATGTTGCTTGTCCTTAAATACATAAAGGGAATTAACACATTAAGAGGAGACTATATTTACAAGAAGAAAAGGTACCACAACAAAAGGACATAGTCTTAAATTAGAGGGGCAAAGGTTTAAAAATATCAGGAAGTATTACTTTACTGAGAGGGTAGTGGATGCATGGAATAGTCTTCCAGCTGAAGTGGTAGAGGTGAACACAATGAGGGGAGTATAAGCATGCGTGGGATAGTCATAAGGCTATCCTAACTATAAGATAAGGCCAGGGACTAATGAAAGTATTTAGAAAAATGGGCAGTCTAGATGGGCGGAATGGTTCTAATCTGCCGTCTCATTCAATGTTTCTTAAATATTTAATATTGCAGAAGGTTCACTTTCCCAAATGTTTTACAAGCCTATATTTAACAAATCATATTTGTGAGGTGTAGAAATTTAAATGTAAAAATCCACCTCTATTTTACCCTACAAGCTATCAAACATGGTGATTTAATATTAGTGCACATGAATAGCACAAATACTTTCAAATACGTAATTATTGCTCAAAGAGTGGCATATGTCGCATCTTGGAGTCTATGGAAATTACTTTGCATTTGAATTTGTTAAAAAAAATCAAAACATCCCCCTTTCCCTAACTGTACAACCTATCTCTAGTGTTTATGTAAACAGATTTGAGGTTTTTTTTTGGTTTTTTTTTTTAAAGTACATGCAGACGTTATTGCTTTTGCAGTACCTTGGCTAAGGAAACTACACATAAAAACTTGGAAAGAAAGATTGAACTTTTCAACAAACTATATTGTCCATCATAACTGTGGAAATGGGGCTTTGTTTCACTTTTTCTTCTTTTCTCGGGTGACAGTGTGTGCTTTTATTACACTTTACTATGTTTCACGGTATGTTTAATATCGCATGTCCTATTACGTGTCCATATGTTTTGTGTATGAGTTTATTTCTTCATTTAATTTGTGGGAAGAGGGGCTAGTTTGTACCGATACTCTATTACACAGACCTGACCCAGATATCTTGTGTTTGTATTATGAACTGTATAGAGAGCTGTTTGTGGAAGTGCTTATGTAATGTCCTTTGTTTGGTGAATGGAGTGTTCCTTTCAAATCTGTAGTACCTCAGCTTGCTTGTGGAGCCCCACCCCCTACCTTATTAAAAAGTTCCTATTACAATAGAAAATACATGTTTTCTTTAGGGTTATATTAGTTACTAACTATCTCTTAGAGAAAAATTTGTGATATATTCTTATTTAAGATATCATTTCTTGTCTTGCAGACAGTCCACTCGCCTTCGGTGGTAAACCTTCCATCTTTGTTTGAAAAGAAGTACCATACCTTCAGCCGATCAACAACACACCTCATATAGGAAATGTTAGTTCCTGCTTTAAATGACAAAACAGCTGGCTGTTCTTAAAGACTTGGTAGTTCCAATATGGTACTCATGGGTAGCACTTCATAGCAGCTTGCAAGTAAAATGAAGTTTAAAGAAAATGTCTAAGAAGCTGCCTTGGGTGGACTGTAAAGACTTAATCTGCACAAGTGGCACATTGGTTGTGTTCTTTTCTCTTTAACATTGCTTTGTGTGTTATATATGTTTTTATGTCAGACCTTGATCCATGCATGTTTACATGGGTCTTTAAACAATGTCAATGTCTCAGTGCTTTTTGGATTATTTGAAACCATATTTGATCTGTTTACTGTAATTTGATTAAATCATGAGCTGAATATTAATATTTCAATCTTTAAATATGAAAATGATCAAACTATCACTGTGGTGTGGTGAATTATGAAGGTATTTTTAATACTGACAATTCCCCATTCTGTAAGGATCTCATTTCTAGTTGTTACTTAAGCATTCTGCTAGTCTCAAGGCATTAGTAAAAATGTATTGTAATTTTCGGTGGGCAAAGTGTATTGCAGTCTGCAGTAAAGTTGTTACTGCTTGTAATTGAATCCTGAAAACGACCATGGTATCTTCAGAAAGTAAAGTCTTCCATCCTGCTTTGGTTACAGGGTATGTACGGAAAAAGCATCCTCTTTAAGATAGAACGTATTTCAGGATTTTAATTATCTGGCATATTGTCAATTCATATAGTGACAGGTATAACTGGCGTATTTGTGAACCGTATGAATAGCTATAATAATGGAAAATTTAAAAAAATTGAACATTCAACATTTTTAAAGGCTTGGTTTGTGTCAGGAGAAAAAAAATTCTGACTCCCTTTAAAATACAAAGTCAGATTCTACCTTGCAATTAGGAAATGACTTCTTGTCTTCAGATATTTTAAGGTGTTTGGATTTTAAACAATTTATACATATTTATTTATAGCCAAAATGTGGCTTTTAATGCAAGAAAATTGTGTTTCTGATTCTCATTGTACTTGTAACACTAATTTTTTTTTTTTTTCGTTTTCTACTGTAATTTTGATGTCTCTTGAGTAAAACCTGAAATTTGGTATTTGACACAGGTATTCATTAGTCTCAAAATACAGAATTTTGTGAGGGGCAAGCTTATTGAAGCAGTTTGCATTCATAAAAACTAACTTGTATGTAAATAAACGTATAAAACACTTGTTTTTGCTTTTGTTTCTTTGGTAGAATCCTCTTTGCACAATAAATCTGCTGCTATTGTTTACAGTGCAAAATATGCACACCCCCTAAAAGACAGACAAGACCTCAAAGTTGACATGTCTGCTTGATGTGCATCTGCTGGGCTGAAAAAGATGAAAGGAGGTATACTTACCTAAAGATCTGCTTATTTTTTTTTTTTTTGGCTGGGGGGAGGGGGTGCTGCCATCTTCTGACATACATTTTTATCTGAGCTCTGCATTGGCTCTTGAATAGAGGGGAGTTCTGGCTAATTTTTAATGGTGATGAGGGGTGGGGGAGGGGAGTTGTGTGAGACAAGAACCGCAAGGCTTAATTTTTATAAATAATAAATACTGAAATCTACTGAATTCACTAGAATTTCAGGCACATTCCAACACTAATTGATTTTTTTTTTTTCTTCTTTATGAAATACTCCTAGTTACAGAACTGCATTGTGGATACCTAGCAGCTATATGCATATAGGATTGAGTTACTGGTAAATATAAATTCAGTTTAGTTTGTGTAAACACTTATTGTCTATTTATAATCATTTCTGCATAAGAGCTTTGAATCACTACTCTTAATGTTAAAGGGACACTAGGCACACAGTAAATAGTAATTGTCCTCCATGCTGCCTAGTAGCCATCTCTGCAGTGAAAAATCTTGATTTGTCAGTTGAGACTTGCCATCACTGCAACTGGTTCTTATAGCAATCGGCCACCCCGGGTCTATTTTAATAATTCAGTGTTAAGAAGAACATCAAAGTTTGACGCAGGTCACTAAAAGCTGACATGGATATTTTCTCTCGGAATAAAGCACAGAGGCATGTAAAAATTGTCAGGTCGACACTATAATTTAACCAAAAACCTGGTACATATTTTTACAATTTGATATGTATGTGGGAAGGAAAAAAGCGCAAATTATATTTTTTAAATCATTAAATTTTTTGTGTCCCCATCATATTAAATTCATTCATTCTTATTGTTGCTTCATTTATACAGATAAATCAGATCTCTATTTATACTTTAAATAATAGATTTAGTATGCATAGGTGCACTTTAATGGTGTATTGAACATCTAACAAGTACAAAAAAGCCCCCTACTGCAAAAGTTCAGGGATAGTCCTTAAATAACCTCAAAGTCACATATCCCACTTCATTTCAAAGAACTGGCCTGCATGCAGTGGACCTGTCTATTTAACCTCTCAAGGTAAAACCTTGCCATTTTGCAGAAATGGTAATGCTTATTTCAAAGGGATAACACCTGCAGTGTAGAGCACTGAAAGGGACTGGACATGTTTCTGCTGCACTGACCGTAGAACTAGTGTTATGCGGAAGCCCCCATAGGACAGAATGTATGTGCTTGCTGTGCATGCACATCAGGTCCTATATGAGGAGTCCTGGACTGGACCATGCTGGAGGAGGCAATGAATCCTAAATTATGACACTGTTCCTTTAAGATATAACCATTTTTAAAGGAAAGAGAAGGGATTAATTGGAACATTCAGGAACGTAGCAAATATTTAAAATCATTCAGTAACTGATCCAGAAGATTCTTATATGTAAGGTGTACTATTTATCACTTGGGTCTTGCACTTGAAGTCTCCCTGGTCTTGTTGCCTCAGTGCTTTGTAACTTCAGCCAAAATATACATACTGTGATAGTTCAGTTATTCTGCTTGCCTTTATCCTCGCCATCAAATGCAACTTTTACATATTATGAATGCCATAATCAAGCCAAAACAGCAAGCTTATTCACTAAAGTGTGAATTGTTCAACATTCAGAGTAAACCTTTTATTTTAGACCAACATAGCTAAACTGGAGACTCTCCAAGAAGGCTATATTTTCAGTTCAATTATTAACCTACAATTTGGTTTTCTGTCATGTCCATGTTGTGACATTTTATCTTGTTCTGAATATACACGTGTAATAGAGGAATAGTTTTGTCATACAGTATAGTTTAATCTGAGTAAATATAGATTACCTTTTTGGCATTATCTTGGTAACTTGGCTTGCAGACTAGCTGCGATGTTTAAATATGCACATTTAAATCTGGTCCAATGTTTAAGAAATATATAAATATATTTTTTCTCATTTTTATTGCAGTTCACGAATGTGTAATGAGTATTTCATAACTTTGTGCACACTTATTTTATAGAAGTGGCAGAACTACAGAAGGTGCAACTGCACTATGGCTCCATCACATTGCCCATGCACTTAGGCCACTTGTTGGGTATTATTTCTTTATTGCTGAGGAGCCGGTCTTTAAGAGCATGACTGGGCCCCTGCACTGGCCAGCTGGAAGGAAGTAACAGACAATCCCAGCTTAAATAGCGAGTGCTGCACATGCAGGAGGGAGGAGTAATAAGAAAGCTTCATGAGCCCCCACACTAGAGTCTACCTCAGACAGCAAGACCACAAGCAACCACCCTCTTGGTTGGTTATACAAGTTAAGCTAACTGCTATAGTAAAAAAAAAAAAAAATATTTGTGTGCCTATGTGTATTTATAATATTATTGACATTTGTATAGCGCCAACAGATTCTGTAGCACTTTTCAATATTATGAGAGGGTGATTTAACTATAAATAGAACAATTACAAGAAATCTTACAGGAACGATAGATTGAAAAGGACCCTGCTCAAACGAGCTTACAGCCTATAGGAGGTTGGGTATAAGACACGTTAGGACAGGAAATAGCAACCAAATAAGGTGGGAGTGAGGCAGAGCTGGAGGAGAGAGTAAAGTGCTGCCCTTTAGGAGAGCGCAAAAGACAGGTATGTGAGGTAGAGGTTGTGGCTCAGCCCAGACAGTCCCCCCTCTCCAATTTAAGACCCTCAGGGCCATGTAACCGTTGGTCACCATTGGTGTCTATAGTGCTGCCAGCAGGGGGACTAGCTGAACAGACTAGCAGTCTCCCTCCCTCCCCCCCCCACCCCCCCAGTGGAAAAAGTTTGAAAAAAGTAAAAAATAAATATATTTTTAATAAATAAATATATATTTATACACATATATTATATCTGTGTGTGTGTGTGTATATATATATATATATATATATATATATATATATATATATATATATATATACACTGCTCAAAAAAGGGAACACTTAAACAACACAATGTAACTCCAAGTCAATCACACTTCTGTGAAATCAAACTGTCCACTTAGGAAGCAACACTAAGTGACAATCAAGTTCACATGCTGTTGTGCAAATGGGATTGACAACAGGTGCAAATTATAGGCAATTAGCAAGACACCCCCAATAAAGGAGGTGTTCTGCAGGTGGTGACCACAGACCACTTCTCAGTTCTTATGCTTTCTGGCTGATGTTTTGGTCACTTTTGAATGCTGGCGGTGCTTTCACTCTAGTGGTAGCATGAGACGGAGTCTACAACCCACACAAGTGGCTCAGGTAGTGAAGCTCATCCAGGGTGGTACATCAATGCTAGCTGTGGCAAGGTTTGCTGTGTCTGTCAGCGTAGTGTCCATGGGGGCATGGGGGCACTACATCAGGAGACTTGGAGGAGGCCGTAGGAGGGCAACAACCCAGCAGCAGGACCGCTACCTCCACCTTTGTGCAAGGAGGAACAGGAAAAGCACTGCCAGAGCCCTGCAAAAGGACCTCCAGCAGGCCACAAATGTGCATGTGTCTGCTCAAGCAGTCAGAAATAGACTCTATGAGGGCCTGACGTCCACAGGTGGGGGTTGTGCTTACAGCCCAACACCGTGCAGGACGTTTGGCATTTGCCAGAGAACACCAAGACTGGCAAATTTGCCACTGGTGCCCTGTGCTCTTCACAGATGAAAGCAGGTTCACACTGAGCACATGTGACAGAGTCTGGAGACGCCGTGGAGAACGTTCTGCTGCCTGCAACATTCTCCAGCACGACCGGTTTGGCAGTGAGTCAGTAATGGTGTGGGGTGGCATTTCTTTGGGGGGCCGCACAGCCCTCCATGTGCACGCCAGAGGTAGCCTGACTCCTTTTAGGTACCGAGATGAGATCCTCAAACCCCTTGTGAGACCATATGCTGGTGCGGTTGGCCCTGGGTTCCTTCTAATGCAAGACAATGCTAGATCTCATGTGGCTGGAGTGTGTCAGCAGTTCCTGCAAGACGAAGGCATTGATGCTATGGACTGGCCCGCCCGTTCCCCAGACCTGAATCCAATTGAGCACATCTGGGACATCATGTCTTGCTCCATCCACCAACGTCACGTTGCACAGACTGTCCAGGAGTTTGCAGATGCTTTAGTCCAGGTCTGGGAGGAGATCTCTCAGGAGACCATCCGCCGCCACATCAGAAGCATGCACAGGCGTTGTAGGGAGGTCATACAGGCACGTGGAGGCCACACACACTACTGAGCCTCATTTTGACTTGTTTTAAGGACTTTACATCAAAGTTGGATAAGACCGTAGTGTGTTTTTCCACTTTAATTTTGAGTGTGACTCCAAATCCAGACCTCCGTGGGTTGAAAAATTTGATTTCCATTTTTTAATTTTTGTCTGATTTTCTTGTCAACACATTCAACCATGTAAAGAACAAAGTATTTCAGAAGAATATTTAATTCATTCAGATCTAGGATGTGTTATTTTTGTGTTCCCTTTACTTTTTTGAGCAGTGTAAATACATATATTCATACAAAGTGTTTTTGTTTTAATTTTTAATAATATATGCCTACCTTTAAATTATCTGAAATAATTATCCCTAAATCCTTTTCCTCAGATGTTGAGGTTAGGACTCTATCAAATATTTAATACTCTGCCCGGGGTTTTTATGTCCAAGATGCATTATCTTGCACCTATCCACATTAAATGTCAGTTGACCAACCTTCTAAATGCAACAGTGTCAAAAGCCTTACTGAAATCTAGGTAAGCAATGAGACTCAATTTAAAGCAGCTTGTGCGGCTCTCGGGGTGAAGAATCGCTGCCGTGCTTTCTGGGCTGGCCACATGCTAGAAAGCTGGATCCTCTGCCTCCTGGTT